CCTCAGACAAAAATGATTCCAGAGAGTGTAGTTCACTGCGTGATTCGTGATTCAGGCGTCGGAGCGTGCGGTCCTTTGCTCGCCAGCTGCTCGCCCGGCAATGCTGCATGCTATAGAAGCTGCTCTGCTGGCAGCTCTACTGAAGTGAGAAACGAACGAATCACTTGAGGAAGTGATTCAGTTCAGTACGTTCACTTAAAAAGATTCAGTTCTTTTGAAGGAATCGTTCGTGAACGACACAACACTATTATACAATGGTTTTAGACAGTATTAGGGATTCAGGAAGAAACATTTGTCTCAAGTATTTACATGCATACTGATCCAGTTAATAAATAGCGTACATCACCCCTCTTGACCAGAATTCATAAGCCAGATCAGACCGCTCTCTTTGGATGGAAGAGTTCGCCATAAAGCATCAAGTCTGAATTAATCATGAATAAGAAAAAACGATGTCAACAAGCAGTGCTTTCTCCCCCAGCAGACAAACACTTCAACTTATTGGACATGGGCTTGGTTGGTTTTGCTGTCAAATGAAGCTGAAGCCGGTTGCCAACCACCCTCAGAATAACTAGTGCCAAATTAGAGGCGGAAAAATCTGCTTTTTGGATTTAATTTGGATTAGAGAGGACATGTTGCAAACACAGGTGTTGTCTTAGACGTGATAAACTCTGCCATTTAAAATTCACTCTTGACTGTTTGTGTATTCAGCAAACTTTATATTATTATCACGTTGTTGAATGATGCAATCGGGGAACATATTTACCCTATCTCACAGAGGCCTATTGGGTGTCATTTTGCAGATACTGAAAAGCACTGATGTTTGTAAAAAAAAAGAGCACACAAGGCATACTCGCCCGCTCTGACGTACACATCCAGGCGCAGGTGTTCATATCACATCAAACATGTTATTTCCCACTTGATCAGACAGATAGATAATACTATGTTGCTGTGCAAAGAGAGCATAGATGAAGCTACCCACAAGAAGCCTCTCGTCTCCTGATACCTAACATATCATTATGAAAAGCCCTTATTTTCCTCTATCTCTCTAAAGCCCTTTTACTTCAGCTTTTGCATTTCCTCCTCTGAGTCAACAGATGACTTCCTTCCACCTGGAGCACATGTTGCATATATCGAAGTAAGCTAACCAGCTATTATGGACACTGCCCAATTAAATCCTCACACTTCTAGTTTCACACATATTCAAAGGCCAAAGTGCCAATCAACAAGCAAAAAAAAGGAGTATTTTCTGTAATATAAGCCAAGCAGAAAACAAAATAAATAGGTAGGTGGTGTGGGACTAAAGCAGTCAAAATAATTAAGAAAATAGATGCTAAACATGGTGAACTGGAAGCACTCATGTACATATGTTCTTCCCAAGATTAGGAAGATACACCCTAAAACATGTCTCAAAAGGTCTTAATCTCATACACACACACACACTAGCATAACAACAAACAGACACACTTCCACGCACAGACTTGCGCGCACAAGCCTACTCCGGGCTTTATTTTCACCCGGGGAAATCAAGATGATCTGTGCTCCCACTATGGCTCCTCTTTGATGCTCAATTAACTCAGGCAGACCTGGATAGCAGAGCCAATTATTAATTCAGCTAAGCAAGTGCATGGTGGAAGGCACAGGAGTGATGTCATGGATAGGCAACCACAGATGTATAGCGCTTATATATTTTATTCAAACTATTTGGTTCTTCTGATATGCAGTGTTTCTGTTTAGACTGTGGTAAATATAGCATGCTGCAATGCTGGAGTTGTCTCGTTTCATTGTTTTTCCATTGCACTTTTTTTTTATTCCTCTTGCTGCTGCTGCTTATGCACCTCTCTTACTCTCAAACAAGCTCCATCACCAGCCCGTCATTGCCTGCCTCTGTACTTTTCGCTTAAACCTTCATCTCCCCCCCCCATCTTTGCCATCATTTACCCCTTCCAGTCAATCCCTTCTTTTCTCAGCTGCACCCTTAACACTCCCCTCTCTTCCTCTTTCTTCATCACATCACTCATTTTCTTCCCCATCCTTTTTATTTTTTTTTTCTTCCTTCTTTGTTGTCTCTCGCACTTAAGACTGAAGGATAATGGAGCATGGGGGGGAGACGAGGAGGAGGGCGTATGGGCTGACAGAGGAAGTCCCATCTGCAGCGAGCTCGTTAGAAGATGGGAGGAGAATCGGCAGCAGAAACACACCAGGCATCCAAACACCCTGCTCTCTCTCACTCTCTCGCTGTCTGTCTCTCTCTCACACACACACACTGCTTTCTCATTGGACTCATTCCAACACTGACACGTCACTACCTCCTCACTCTCTCACTGTCTCCTCTCCGTAGCCATCCTCGAAGTCCTGCTCTCAATATTCACGAAAATAAACAAAACGGAGTCCCAGCACTGTACGGCTCATATTTTACTCCATCGATGAAAACGAAATCGAGAAATCCTCAGAGCATCGTTGAAGCTGGACAACTTTTCCTTTTCTTTTACTTAAAGAAGGAAGAGCGTGACACATAACTGTTAGGAAGATTAAACACTGAAGGACAATTTAGGAGGCTGAATCCCAAACTGCTGCTGAGGCTTGACCGTTCCTTTATAGATGGCGCCATGAAGCAACCTGACAGACGATTTAGGGAATTATTAACAGAGCCTTCAGTCTTAACAACTGTCTGCCAAAGTGAGGGATAATAACCACCTTCCTCTAAGCAATTGTGCAGGTTTATACAGTTTATACCTCTCTACAAATTATTTTCACTGGCTCCCCTGGCTAAAAGCTCAACAGATTGTGAGTACGCACTCACTGTGCAGTAAAGTATGAAAATACTCATTCCACCCTGTGGCCTCTTTCATCCCCCGCTCTCTCCCTGTTTCCTGCTCTACCCACTGTCCTCTATCTGTCAATAGAGGCCAAAAATAAATCCCAAAAAACAGATCCCTGTACCGCCATGTAGAGGCCTACCCCAATATTCTCTACTTTCTTTTTATTTAACAGAAACCTTCATCCTCCTTCAGCAAGAATAAGTTTCAGCCAATAAATCAATCTTTATTTATATAATCACTAAAGACATAAAAAGCCGTCCTGGACCATACTGTATACTGGTGCATACTGTCTAGGGCTGGGCGATATTGCCTCAAATCAATATCACGATAAACTGAGCATTTCACCTTGATAACGATAAATGGACGATAACGACTCCACAAGCTGCTCACCCCCTCCCACATTAACTTCATCTACTCCAACCGCTCCAACTTTTGAACCGTCCTCCATCTCCTCACCTGTCTTTCCCTCTTTGTTACAGACTGGATGGGGTGGAGTCATGTCTCCAACGTAGGACAGCGTCTTAAAGGGACATGAGATCATAGCCTATCTACACACATCCAAAACCAACTTTAATTTATTTATTTATAAATATATTATTTGGACACCGAATATATTGACATAAGAAAAATGACACCGGTTATTGTTGTAAATTTCAGTATCGGTAAATTTTCATTTTATCGCCCAGCCCCAGCTCCATCAGCCCTGCTCCCATCCCATCTTCAATCATGTGTGTGTAGCACTTTGCAGCATTTAGCAAGTTACAGTGAAGAGGACAAACTTCCTTTAAACAGGCAGAAACCTTAAGCAGAACCAGATTTATGTAAGATAGTCATCTGCCGCTGCTACATTGAGTTTAGAGAGGGGGATAGAGGGAGATGCAGAAATAGAGAGGTGGACAGAGAACAGACGTAGGTCTACAACAGTGAAACTCTGCAGTAGAGATCCAGAGGAACCTATGACATGAAGAAGTAGAGAGACTCCCAGAAAAGACTGTGTAGTCATGATTCTAACTGGACATAATGATTGTCTAACTATGAGCTTTATCAAAAAGGAATATTTTGAGCCTACTCTTATAGAGAGGGTGTCAGTTCCTCCGCACCTTGACTGGGAGATGATTCCAGAGGAGAGGGGCCTGATAACTGAAAGTTTCATCGCTTTTCCTTCCTTACAAAGAGACAGAAAAGGTCAGTTACAAACCGACACCCTTTAGATGGTGCGTCCTGCTCAAGGACACACCAATGATAATAACAAGTCCTTGACTCCATGGTTCTGTGTACACTCAGTGTGTTAAAAAGCGTTCTACTCAAATGCACTGAGGTATAAAAGGAAATAAAAAACAGCATCACTTAGATGTACTGAGTTTGAGAGAAAAACCTCATCTTGACATACTCTAACACTTTGTGACATACTTCTGAAGGCTGTATCAAATCTCACAGCTCCTATGTGAGGTGTAACATGCAGTCACCTGCCCAATCCCTATCTCCATCTTCACAGACGTCAAGACACGCTCCGGGTAAGTGTGGACATAGACAGGGCTGTCCTACTGTCACATCATGAAGTGACTGAAGTTGACTTTAAAGCACCACATCACGCACCTTTCATATCTCCACATTTGCTGTGGGACTCACCCATAGGCTGATTTGCACAAAAATAGGCATTGTTCAGTACTTTCAGTAACTCCTGGACTGGAATCTGTTCGTGCTCCATCACACATGCAATACATTAACATAATATAAATGTCCTCATAAGAAAGGTAGAGCTGTGTTGCTTTTAAAGGCTGCATCAAATGGGAAAAACTAATAAATTCACAGACACATGAAGGCTGAAAATTAAAACATCTTCGACATTACTGAGACACATCCTCTGATGGCCATGTTGGGTGCACTGCACACCCTTGAGGGACAGAAGAGTGATATTCCCGGTTTAATGGCGCATACCATGTATGTAATCTTGCAACAATTCCACAGTAATGGACATCTTATGAAATTGTCCATTAGCGAAGGCACATCAGTGTTTTTATGCCATTAAACACGCTCGTAAGCATCAAGTCGCCAACATCAGCTTCAAATCAGCTGATTGATGATCACACTGCAGCTGTCAGTTCAAGGCTCTCTCATGTGCTTAAATATGTGATCAATACAATTGGCAAGTATGGATCAAGTGTCAGCTGGTTTGTTGCCTTGGGGATCATTCAAATTGCATTTTAGTGTAGGAACAGAGGAAAACATGAAAAATAGATAACAAGGTTAAAGAAGTGAGGACATCAAAGTGTTAAATTCAAGTATTCACTTTTGAATTTCAGTATTCTCCCTTTCATCTTGGTCTACTTTCATACTGCCGCCTGATGAATGCTTTTCATAAGTCATGTAGTAGTGATAGATAGAAAGGAAATCAACAAAGAAACACTTCTCACTGATAGAAAATAGCTCCCTTTGAGACTTCAAGGGAAAAAAAAGTCACAACACAAGCTTAATTTCATATCAGTCAATATCTCGACTGATAATAAAAGATGCACAGTCAATACAACAATAGCTTTCTTTTTCACTTCATGTTGACAAATTAACAAAATCAGATCTTGCCTCTGGGCTGGTGTCACATCTCAAAGAGGTATTTGCCTCTGGGCATCATTGCTCCTCTAGAGGAATGCCATTAGTGCATTATGTTTAATATTTATGTCCTGAAAAACAAATGAAAACATACTCTGAGGGGACAATGTGACATTAATTTAGAGGTATTATGACATAGATGTCTAGTTCACTGAGGATGGAGGGGAACCTTGAGGCCCTGTATTCTTACAGCTCCTGTGAGCAGGGGCATATCTAAATTATTTCATTTGGGTGGCCAGACTGGGGCCCTTATTTTTGAAGGACTGGCATTGAGCACACACTTTAACTACATATATTTACCTTTAAATATCCATTATTTACTTCTGCTAATCTAGCATGATTGTGAACAACTGAGAGGCAATGTTAAACTCCTATTAGCGGAAGACCTTTGTTTAAAATCTCCATCTGAGGTATCAACAAAAACAAACAGACTAAAAATGCTAGAAGAGTGTCTAGCAGCCTTTAATAACACAGTCAAAATAATCTGAACATAAAACTTAGCTCTAATTAGGCAAACAGCCAATCATGGTTTAGGATTTTTGGGTGGCCAATCACATTTCAAATGGGGTCAAAGTAGACACCCCTGGCCAGACATGCCAAGAGAAAATGTTTTTGTTGTTTCGAGACAGACTAAAATTAACATATGGCTTCATAGTGGTCTGCAAAACTACAAAATAACATCAGCATAAAGATTTACAATTTTAATATTCTAGGTTTTAAAATTTTGCTACTTTGAGGCCAGAAAGGACGCAAGAGGAACCAAGTTGTCTACATGTGAAAGGAGCTTTCACTGTACAGTAAGTAGAAAAACTTTGTGATATCTGGTTAGATTGTAGATTAAAACACCCCCTTGCTCACCCCTCCCACTGATAAGATAATGGCTGTGTCCGAAATAGATCACTCAATGCCTAACCCCTTACCCCCATATGGGATTTTACTATATAGTTGACTATGTAGTGAACTCAATTACCGGAGGTTTCGGACACTACATGGCATGACCCAATGCATGACGGGATGCCCACCACCGGTGAGTGACCATCGGATGGTCACTACATTTTGCAATGCTTTATGGGAAATTTTGAGTCACCCATATAGGGCACTGGAATTGATTACTGAGATTTCGGACACGCCTCAAAATGGTGCTAACCCCCTTGTAGTCACCTATATAGGGGTTAGGGATCTATTTCAGACACAGCCAATGCTTCTTCTTCTTCTTCTTCTTATGACCAATAAAAATGGGTATGTCTGAAACATGGCTGCCTCTATGGTTAGGGACCCCCCCAAGATAATCATAAAAGACTTGTTCTAAGTTACCAAAAGCAAAATGCTTTTAGTTCTCAGGGGATTTTTACACTGAATTAAACATACTTACAAATATTATGTTAAATTTTCACCATACCTGTTCTGCTACATGCAGAAAAAATACTCCACTCTGCACCTTTAAGTGAGATTCAAGCTTACGACAGCCCCGGGACTAGTTTGAAATCCATTTTTTACTCATTGACAGATGTTGAAGGACAGCGTCCCTGTTCACCACACCACCTTTCATGTCACATCAATCATGAAAAGTCCTGGAACAAGCAGAATTAGATGGGAAGGACATCCAACAAGGGGATTCCTGCCTTGTTATAAAAATATTTTACCTTGGACAAATTGAGAGGAGCTATTTCCTTCACTATAAAACTTATAATATCAGTATATCATATTACCTGCACAGCATAAAAGGATGGTTTTAAAGCAACATAACATCAAAAGTGGGCAATTGAAGGGGATTTCCAACCTCTCAAGCACTCAATCCTTGCACATTTCACACGTCAAGACTTGGCTCTGGGTTAAGCATGCTAAAAGCTGTATTAGATTCATGCCTGGCACAGAATGATGTTTGATCTGCAACACTATCAATGCTCCAAACCACAGCCCACTCTAATTCTGAGAGGAAAACCAAATTCATAGCAGAAAACAGTATTTCTAAATTCTCCCTGCAGCTCGGTCTGCTACAGGGAGGAAGACGACTATAACTCAAACTCTTCCCTCCTCATCAGCACTACTCTATAAGGCGACAGGCGGGCCAGCTCATCCCGGCAGCTCTTTGGACTGTTGTCAGCACTCCATCCTGTGGACGCCTGCCAGTAGCCCCTCCGTCCGATCAATAGGCACCGGCGGCTAGCTTTCCCCCCTTTGCTCTCTCTCCTAGCACAGTATAAAGACTGCTCTGTTCTGCCGGCGCAGCATAGTGATTAGGCATTAGGCCTGTGCTGCTGTGTGAATTAGCTTAATCTGTGTCCGCGATGAAGGACGAGGCTTTTCATGCCCACTGGAGACATTCACTGGACATAAAAAGAAGCTAATCTTTAGGAAATTTAGAGAGAGGATGGAGTGTGTGTATATCTGAGAGAGGGAGACACAGTTCCCACAGTGATGGATCTTTTGTAATGCTGCTTATCCTTCAATAATAAAAATCTATTGATGTGACTGAAGATGTGTGCTTACAGGGGAGGAAAATGTTGTACTGTCATCACTGAAAGTCGTAGAAAAGGTGACTAATACACTCTCTGAGGAATAAGCAAAATCTATATCCCCATATTACTGCACCAGAGGTCAGTTTAAGGGGAATTAGAGGGGATTGTGCTCTCCGTGTTGCACGCCTGCTTACCTGACCACTTCTTAACCTGCAAATTTAAACCCAAACTTCAGCAGCACTTACACTAAAAGACAATATTCATAGACCTGAGCATTCACTGGCACCTTTCCCCTCTCTGTCCATCATGCACCTACCTGAGTGAGAGCATGCAGTCATCTGAACATGAACCCACAGCATGCCTAACAGCAGCCCTGCCCTCCTCCTCCACATCATCTGCTGGATAAATTGTACGCCCTTGACAAACTGCCAGCTCACAATCCCCCCCCTTCTGCAAATGTCTATTGATCAACGCTCAAGTACGGCTGTGGGAAAGGTGTGGAGTCCTTATCCCTACTCTTATCCTTGCATCACCTCCAACAGGATGTTCCAGACAAAGAGAAATTCCATCAAACTTAATGGGATCGTCAAATAATGAGATTTAAAGGCAACACCGCCATATGACGACTCAGGAACATTCATGATTAAAAAACCAATCTATCTTAGCCTTCGGTATAATTTAAGGTGGCATTTTGGGGTATTTTTAAGCATGAAACAAAAACTCAACTTCTCCCAGTTGTGAAAAGAAATAATCATCATCCTATGAGGCAGAGCAACCAAAGCCCTTCTTTTGTTTACAAGGTGTTTTCCAGACCTTTAGAGCACTTTAAAGCACCACCAATGGAGAATTTGGGTCAGCAGTCAGCTGGGGCCAAATATCTGCTGTGTGTTGGGTGATCTGAGCACAGCTGGGCGCTTGTTTCTGAGAGAAGCCTCCCAGCAAGGTTGTTAGCAGGAGCAGGGCATCATTTTGAAACCCACACTTTCCCAGAATCATCCACCATGCATGAGGCAGAAGTCATGCGTATCTCCAAATTGCGCGATCAAGTCCCACTCTGAGAGACGATAATGGGCTAAAAATCACAGGCGATCGCTATCACCTGCTCGCCTCTCTGTCTGCCCGATCATGTTCAGTGTACAGCTGGGAAAACAACGTGATGACTTACCGAAATGAGATCCTGGCCACTAATCAGCGACCGGCTTCTCCTTGTTTCCTCTCTGCCCCCTTTGGTCCGCCTCTCCTTCAAGTCAAATCCGCAGCGTGCTTCAGATCAGATCACAAACAGATCGGTGCGCCTTTTCCGCTGCGTCCTGCGTCCAGAGTTGCTGGGAATGGAACGACCATTTGCCGGTGTGCTTGGCCGGGGGTGCAAGCCTGAGACATCAGCGGGGAAGGTGGTGGAGGAGGAGAGGAGAGGACGTGGAAGAGACGGAGGAGGAGGAAGAGGCGAGGCGCTGGGTACGAAAGCGAGAAAGAAAGAAAGAGAGAGAGGAGAGCAGCAAAGCACTGCAGCGACGGGGAGGAAGCAGCGCCGGAGAGGAGGCAGACAGCAGCTCCCTCTCTCTAGCTGTGGCACCCGAACACGCACCTGCGCGTGCACGAGCAGCATGGTTGTCTTTCAAGGAGATGGAGCGCCATCTTCAGGTAGACTCCCAGGGAGAGATGGTGAAAGTTGTATAATAAGACAGTGTATGGAAGTAAATCTGTGCCATCTGATTTTGAATTTGAGTTTCTAAAGCTGATTTATTTTGCATCAAAATCAGACTTTGTATTTTGAAACTATTGAATGTCAAACATGCTTTTTATTTCTAAAACCTATTTTTTCACAATGATAAAAAAAATTCAGTGAAAAAAATCAGCCCTTCAAAAAAATTTGTTTAGTAAAAATCCAACTTAAAAAAAATCTGTGTAAAAAAATTCAACTTAAAAAAAAATTCAGTTTTAAAAAATTCAGTGTAAAATAAACCAAGGCCCCATCCCAAACTGCCCCTACACACTCGACCTACACACTCCCCCTCCGTTTGCGTGTCCCCACCATATTGAAGGTCGTCCCAAACCACAGAGTAAGGAGGGTGAGTGGACCGTTCAGCCCTCAAATAGCGAGTCTGCACCAATGCACACTTACAGCAGGATTTGCAGGTAATGCGCCGGCAAAAATGAAGGCGGAGGAAACAACATACAAATTTGAGTTCCGTATGTGTCCAAGAAACGCTGCCATGCACAGGATGCGTCTTTATGTTGCTATGGCGATGAATCTTTCCATTTTCCAGTGGAGTGAGGAGGGCGTCCCATACCCTCCTGTCTTGTTCATACCCTCCTATTTCAATTGAGGCGCACTCCACAGCTGTGAGTGTAACTTTATCACAAGGGACACTTGGTAGTGAAGGGCGAGTGTGTTGGGGGCGGTTTGGGATTGAGTCCTACTCAATATCCGGGTAATCAGGGAGAAGCAATCGACTCCTCAATCTTCCACTGGGGTTGGTGCCACATGACCAATCTAGCATTAATTGATTGGCTCGACGATGGATGATTGAGCCAGGAATCGATTGCTTCTCCCTGGTTACCCTGATGTTGAGTCGGTCTGTTTTACACTAAATTTTTTGACACTGAAATTTTTTTGATGTTTCTAAACAGTTTTTTTTAAGTCGAATTTTTACTACATGAATATGATTTTTTTACGCTGAATTTATTTCATCATTGTGAAAAAAGTGTAAGAAATAAAAATGCTTGCTTGAAATTTGATGGGATTGAAATTCAAAGTCTGATTTTGATGCAAACAAAATTCAGCTTTAGGAATTCAAATTCAAAATCAGATGGCACAGATTGACTTCCATAGCAGTGTGTTATAGGTGCAAATTCATCTTGTAATTTCTTTGTCTTCTAACAACCACTTTGGGATTTCGTCAGTCTTATTGTCAACCCAAACTCAATCCATAACTTCACCTTGAAATTTAATGTGTTTGATCTGGTAAAGATATAGTTTTCTTCCAATTTAAGAGGAAAATCTCAGGTGATTGTAGGAAATGATTTCCCACTCAGCAGCACAACCATATATATAAACTCCTTATACCTTCCACCCTCCCCCTTCTCAACGCACTCACACTAACGCATCCTCCATAGCAACTACCTCCCTATAGGGTTACAATGATGATAATATCACCTGACCTGCATTCCATCCTCTCACAGTCCCCTATTCCCACATGAACACGCACACCTGGTTTTTCAAGGTCAAGAACTGCTGAGTGTTTCAGTTATGTGGCTGTATCATGATTTCTGCATGCTCCTCTCTGCTGGCCTTGCTGGATTGTGGATTTCTTTCTGATTTAAAATAGCTTTCTCTAAGGTTGATGTATGACCTGCATGCTCTACTTTTTCAACCAAGCTGTTATGGACCAAGATGACCTTTTCTTTCTTTATTATCAATACTTCTATCACCCTTTGCCTCTACTATTTAGTTCATATGAGACTGTGTAATCGAAATGTCAAATTTGAGGTTATATTCAAAGCAGGGGAGGAAGACATGAGGGAATTGCACCTCTTTTGTAACAAAAGTATCCAGGGTAGGTACTAGGGCTGGGCGATAAACCGAAATTTATGACAATTTATGACAAGTCCATAACAAAGAGAGAAAGACAGGTGAGGAGATGTAGGACGGGTCAAAAGTTGAAGCGGTTGGAGCTGCGGCTGAAGTAGACAAAGTTAATGTAGGAGGGGGTGAGCAGTTTGTGGAGTAGTTATCGTCTATTTATCATTATCCAAATGAACTGCTCAATATATCGTGATATGGATTTGAGGCCATATCGCCCAACCCTGAGAGGTACTTCACTTCAATATCATATGAACACACTGCTTTGCAAATCAGGTTCAAATGTATTTTTATTTAACTTTTTAGCCAAATGCATTACAAAATAATGTTATTTTAATGCATTTCAGGACAAAAGCTCCATCTTTGCAGGAGTATGCAGGAATCCCCACAGAGGACCATGAAAAATATCACATTCATCCACCCTTTTCACCACTCGGTATGATCAAATATTCAAACTTATTATGTACATGCAAGCAGCTCAAAAGGTCATTTGAAATGCTACTGATAAATTAAAAATATTTTTCAGGAAGAGAATTTTTATGGTATTTACAACTGTAATAGTAGTGTGACTGGCAAAGTTAATTTAGCATTAAGAAGTCAAGCCTTTTTTGACTAAGACTGAGTAAAATGAGTAAAACCAAGCTTCTTGTATATTTTTATCAACCCTCAAAGGTTTCAAATAGCAACTTTAATACTCCCAAAACACAGATTTAAATTTGTACCAGCTTCATTTTGCAGATGTGAGAAAAAAGATGAGGGTGTGTAAGGATGTCCTTCACTCCTACAGGAACTCTTTGAACAGGTTAGAGTTGTTGCCGACCTAAAAAGAGACACAGAGAGAAATAAAGTTTAGTTTCTCAGAGTTGAGTTACAAACAAATTTCATTAAATCCTCGTGAATACATTTCTGCTTTTGTTTTGATTAGAAAGCGAGGGTTAAAAAGCAGCATACATCATCATATTTTTGTTGTTTTTACTGATCCAAGTAGCAGCAGCCCAGGCTTATGACTGTCAGCTTTTGTTCTGTGTTGCCAGAGTTCTGCTGACACTGTTACAGACTGTCTGCCGGAGAAAGCACAGAGCCATAAAGATCTGCGTTAATTATCACCGTTCAGCTGTCTTACAGTTTACGACAGGAGGTTTTACGGTCTGTTTTCACTGCCTCTTTGAATCATTTTTATATTTGTTTGTGTTTTTTTTTCCCTGCACTGTCATGTCATATGGACGTGTTTGTTTGTGTGTTTGTTTTATCTCCCACATATGGACATATTTCACTTCATTGCACCATCATCCCTTCTTGAATTAGGGAAGCAGCCAAAAGAGAAGTGGAGATAAAGATACTAAAATCTTTTCCATATTGCTGAAGAGTCGAGTTTATTTTCCTCGTTCATCTCTGCCTGCTGTTTTACGGCCTGTTTTGAAAGAGGGAGATGTAACAAAGATTTGACGGAAAGCGGAGAAAATAAAAAGACTAAATGTGCCTAACTTCTGTGATTAGGGGATTCATATTTTCACACCAACAGCTTTTTGTGTCACGAAATGAAATTACAGTGAGAGCTTTTTTGTGCGTGTGCATGTTTTAAGAGTAACCACTAGATGGCGCATCTAAGCCATCACTCATATCTAAAAGCAGTGACTCTACCATCCAGATGCGGTGACATCTGCTACAATCAGGGGCCCTTTTTTTCTATCAGGGCCCTTTGTGGTCATGTTAGCTAATTTTCAAAGTCACAGTTTTAAGTGCCGATGGTCCTGAAGGTCCCACAGCTCTGAATATCCTTTGCTAAAGTTTCCTCGACTCGCTTTTATTAACACAGACACAACTTATATCTGCTACTGCTGCACTTCATTTAACTGAAGGCTTGTGGAAACAGACAAAACAAGTTACAGCTCATTACTTTCTTGATGCATGAAAAGTGGTTAAAGTGAGATCACAGCATCTGGTAAGGAAAACATTTCAAACCCATTTATGGACATCTGGGATTGGCAATTTTTCTGATCAATTTGTCCGTTGGGGCAATCACAGTTAGTTTTATGCAGCTGAAAAAGGGACAGTTTGCCTTCTGACACATTATTGATGTTGGAAAAGATAAAAGAAAAAAACATCTGTGCTGATTCATGACAGTTTTTTATGCTTGAGCTAGTTCAGATTGAGAAAATATTGAGCTGCCGATGAGCAAACAAAGAGATATTGCTGCCTATCTCTCCTCAAGTATTCAGAGAAGAGGGATCAACGTGGATGCTGAGAAGGTGCAGGAGGGAAATGAAAGACTACATCCATCACAGAGCAAAAATGAAGAAAAAGCAGTGAAGAAGCAAGAGCAAAAATAAAGGAAAGAAGCAAGAGACGAAGGGGAGAATATGAGCCTTCTTGAAAGGGAGGAGTTTCCCCGTTGAATGGCAACTCAAAGCCAAGTTTTCTGCCTGAGCTATTTTACAGGCTCCAGTTTAATTTAATGAGTGTGAGGCACCGAACTTTAAGAATAACTCTGGAGGAGAGCTTTATGGTAGACTGTCAGGGAAATACATGGCCAAAAGTTTGTATTAGAAGGTCTGGACTCTGTTTAATTGCATGCAGATTTGGAAAGCTGGCAAAAACACTTTCCCTCCCATTCATTCATAAGAGCATGAGTGAGGATGGGTCCCAGTCAGTAACCCAACTCATCCTTATGGTGTTGGATTGGACTGGGTGTTTTAAGAGCCTGTCATGTGACAGACTTTGAAGGTCTAACGCTGGTCAAACTGGAGAAATTATTCTTTCTTTGGGAGAAGGAGCCCTGCTAAATGGTCCACAAATAAAAAGCTGGGGTTTGCTATAAAACTGCCTTCATTAAACAGAGCAGCTGAGGAGCATTGATGTGGGATACTTGTACAAATTTGTTCACCCCAAGGACACTTGTGAGACTTAGGACAATGGGGCAGGGGATCAATTCTTAACCTTCTGGGGAGGGGCAATTGACTCTACCACTGAGCTACAACCACCCCTACAAATTTAAGGAGCCCATAAACCAGCCTGATTCACATACTAGTGATGGGCACGGCAGTTCTTTTAGATAGACTGAATCACTTGAATCAGTTCACTAAAAAGATTCATTCAAAAGATTCGTTCACTGAATCACCGAATCATTCAGCGCTTGGTAGGAGGAGCCTGTGACCCCGACCTCCTGAACTGATACACAGCTGAACGGTTCAGGATTCAGTTCAATTCAGAGCTTCTGGGACTGAGAGACACAAGTGTTTGGCTGTGTTGCTTTGGCAAACAGGTTTGTAAAAATGAACTTGTTTATAAGTCATGATGTTTTAAGTGTACTGTCCTATGGTATGCTATTTATCTGGTCTGCTTGGTAAATTGGGCTCAGTGAGTGATTCGTTCACTGAAGGTTTAGAAGAATTCATATTGAACATGCACTGTTCCCTCGCAAACCACTGCAATAATAGGATGCTGCCGGGTTTTATGCAATACTTGTTACATGCTGTTTATTGTATGCAAGTTGTTGTAGTGGCAATTTAGCAGTAAAAAAAAAAGGTAGTTTTGTCCAACAAAAATTATTCCAGAGAGTGTAGTTCAATGCGTGATTCATTTTTTACCAAGTGATTCAGGCGTCGGTGCAATGCGGTCCCTCATTTGCCGGCTGCTCGCCTGGCAATGCTGTGCTGCTGACAGCTCAAATGACGTGAGAAATGAACAAATCACTTGAGGAAGTGATTTGGTTCAGTACGTTCACTTAAAAGATTTGGTTCTTTTGAACTAATCGTTCGCGAATGACACAACACTAACCACATACTACCAAATACTGAGGTCTCATCAGTGAGATGCTCACACAAAGAGTGGATGTTGACTTTAGGACAAAAGTTAGGGACAAACCATCTACAATGATTTTTAGTTCAAGGTTGAACACTTTCACATGCACTCACAGCTCTCTGACATGTGCGAGAGACAGGACCATCCTGGACAAAACTATACACTAATAGTGCACGAGATCAGGCTTTCGTAACATCAGACAATTTCCAGAAATGGGTGTGTGATATTACTCAAGTAAAGCAAATTCCTCTTTTTTATTGATACTCAGTCTCCACTTTTTTTTTTATACGTTTCCCATTCATAACATCTGATGCAACTCATTTTATGGGAACTGGTCACAGTAGTATTGTAGCTTTCACTTTGGCATGTGAAGCAACAGTCTATTCCAGTATATGTTTCAACATCACACCCTTGTGCCTGTCTGGAGGTTTGTACTGTAAGTGGGTGTGACCAATAGACAACACTTACAAAAAATGACAGAGGAATTATTTTCAAGTATGCATCCGATTGTTTATGATATTTAAAACACGTTTGCAACTGAAAGTGCACATTCAGCAGTCGGCCTTACTGTAAGGCTGATAACAGAGTTGACAATGTGAGAGGTCACAGTCACAGACTAACAAAGGACAGACACAATGGCAATAAAAGTCTGCTCAAGATAACAGTAACAAAAGGTAATCAAAACACCACCATTCAACATGGCGCAATATTGTGTAATATGGTGTAACTTCATGTCATTATGATAACTTTTAATGCTGCATGTCAAATAAAATATCAAACAATGCTATAATACCATTTGATACCATATGCTATAAACTCAAACAAATAATAACCAAGTTGCATGTAAACACACAACAGCATCATACACTGCATATTATCCATAATTCCAATGCACAGCACAAATAAATGAAAATGACAGAAACATCATGGAGTCATTACAAACCATGCAACAAGATGATCCTGATAAGAAAGACAAAATACTCTCCTCAGTGTTTGGACAAAAGTAATTGGCTTTCATGTGCTGAATTACCGTGATTCTTCGCTTCTTGCATTTTCTGCAGAATTTGCTCATGTTTATAAATCACAGATGCCTCCACCAAAACAGCCCTATTTCCTGCTGTGTCACTGCTGTGGGGTTTAAAACAACAACAACTGCATTCTTGTTAGGAAACCTCACCCACCTGGACCTGACTGAAGCCCTGACCAACGAAAGCAATCATTGGCTCTGCTTTATGAATTTATTCTGATGGTAAGATAATATACTCTGTGTTTCTGAGGAACATAAAAAAGGAGAATTGACATCAGCACACAGATGATAAAACGCCAACTATCAAAATGAAAGAGAAGTCCATTTTAAATGCCTCCGATGTTCATTGTCTCATTACACACCGCACATAGCTCGTAAATGAATCACAGCACAGCAGGAAACAAAAGAATCTCGCTCAGGAACATCATCTGTGTGTGTTTGATTGCCGTTGTCATGGTTACACTAATCCGGTTCAGGGTCCCATGATGGTAAGCTTCCCAGCACCGCTGTCATATTCTGATGGATGACTTTAATTACTATGAGCCCCAACACTGTGACACACACACACACACACACGCATATTTTAATACATTTTACTCATGTTTATTTATTTTAAAAGCCAGCATATGAACTATACTCGCTGGCAAAAGCTGTTCTGTGCACAAACTAATGTATTCTATGCAATTACAATCTATCCTTATTTCACCCCTTGTTTGGGTCAGGTTGCACCCAGACTGAGATTTCTAGCAGTAAAAACACCCTAACTGTGGCTGTTTTGAGCTTAAACCGCATGACTTTCCCTCAAGTGTCCCAAAATACCTAAAAACTTAAACATCTAGAAACACCCCTGTCTGCCCCTGACTTCCAAAACAATTTTTCAACAGAGAGGCCTCTTGAGACCCAATGTGACCCGTGTCCGCTGAAATGGATTTCAAATCCTTCCGTATAAATCAAATAATAGAAAATGGTGGTTCGAGGGAGTCTTAAAACTGTAAAACGGTACCTGTTACATCTAGTTGTATTTTTGAAGGGGGACCTTGACAGTATCATGAGAACTGCCTGTGTTCCCACCACATGTGCTAAATGTTTTTGCAGACGGGCACCTGTTGATCTCAAAACTGTGAAAGAGTAAAACCGCAAAAGAATGATTATATTATATTTATGATGCATACGGGAAACAGAAGTGCGAGAGAGGTCAGAGGATGACCTAACTTGACACATCTGCAAGATTTGCACCAATAAACGCAATCACTGATAATGCAAATCAGTCAGGTTTTTCTCCCCCCAAAAAATGTGTAAAACCTTAGAAAATATATCTCCCTGCTCTCTGAAATGTAAAGAGCTGATTAATCATGTATGCATTATAATAGTACACTATTTGATCCCTGGACCATAAGGCAAAGAATATAAACAGCATGTAAGGGTTTAAGATGCCTTTCACTAAAATAAAACACCAGCTAATAACTAAATAGCAACAAATCTCCATTTATGGCATGTGGGAGGTTGCAAAGTGAAGACGCCAAATGTTGTTAGATTACGGTTTTCATCTGGATGACAGCTTCTAAAAATATTTGGTTTTAAAATGACTGACTTGCACAGAAATAATTAAAAATAAAGTAAAAAGTGATGAAAGGTTCAAGTGCTTGATTTGAAAATCTGCAGATTGAAGAAATCATCAGAAGAAATGCGTGCTATTCACAGAATGGAGACAGCGCACAGCATCTGTCCTTCTGCTACTTTCCACCTGTTGATAGTTGTTGTTTGGAGACAGCTTCCTCTTACACATTAGCTAAAACATATTGTTAATTTTATTTTTTTTAAATCATTTAAATATGCTTTTCACTTTCATTCTAACATTTAAACACAGACAGCAATACTAAGATGGAAAAATTTGAAGATTATTTCCATAACTTTACCAAATCACTTGTCGCCTCTAAGACAGAGTGTTTACTGAGTATTGAATTAGTTTCCATTGCACTCTGCCAAGCTGCTGCAGTATCACTACTCCCAGCGTCTCCTCCCCCTCCTTATGTGTCTCAAAGACGGGAAAGCAAACCTTTGAATAAACAGTGCTCATGTACAATTGAAACCAAACCTGTTATGAGCACAGTCCATATTTAATAACCTGTATCACCTTGTTGCGCCTTCACGGAAGAGGAAATGTAAATTAACCAAACTGCAGACATGTAAGAACCTGACTAAATAAGGAATATTGAAGTCCTACATGAGAAGTTAAAAAATACAATTTTAATAGCATTCTCTAATATTGATCTTAGTGGCCGCCTCAGTCTAATCATGTTGCTATGATGATGTACTTAACTCTCTCTCTGCTTGGACGTGCTCACTCTACCTTACACCGCGGATTGTCACTTCAGCCAGACTCTTTTCAAGCACACTGACAGTATTGTGCAGGTTCTGTTTTAACACATATTGGTTTGGTGCTTTTGAGTGCAGACTTTCTTACAGTATGTTGTTCTCATGTCAAAATTGTTAGCAATGCTAACAATGTTGAGAGCCAACTCTCTGACTCAAGACTGAAACATGGTCAACTGGAATTTGACCCTGTTCCCAGCACTGAGATTCAACCTCTGAGGTGTTGACGCCCCATTGAGAGTCACTGACTGCCAGCATCTCAGCCTCAAAAACACCAAAGTGTCATGATTCACTTTTATACAAGTCTTTACCCCTCTGACTTACACTGTGGCTTGCATCATAATTTGCGTTTTGAACTCTGACATACCTGCTGCGGCTATCTGACACTCTCCAAAACCGGGTCTTTTGCACACTTCTCAGTTCTGCTGGGATATTTCCTCATGATCTATAAAACCTCTTTATTGCCTCTACACAGTTGCACTTGCTGCTGAATCATAATGATGTCAGTATTATTTGTGATGAGGCACCGCCATAAAGGATATCCATCGAGCATTTATATTCTACACAGGTGTAGTCCATTTAACGGCTCTGAAGGACGAGTTAAACCTTAAAGTGACTGTGCTTGTGTTGCACATGAAACTTAGTGTTTCTCTATCCCTCTATTGCCTTTTGTATCATATTTGATACATACTTTTATATACTTCTATCAAATCAATATCATCAACAAATTACTAAAAAAAACACCTGAATACAGTCAAATAAATGATGAAAATATCCTCTTGTAGTTTATCAGTTTCCAAAAACATCTAATGTATCAAACAAGATGAATAAATATGTTTGTTAAATCTTAAGGACATTTTGATTTTTGGGGGTTTTTCGGTAGTAAGTGAAATAAATATTACAGCTCCAAAACATTTGAATTTTCTGGCCATAATATGAGGTGTCAGGCGTTAAAGGGCTATTCCCTCTAAATCTTATTTAAAAGTTTATGTCCATTAATGTTTTGTTTAACATTCAAAATGTCTTTGTTTTGTAAAATTTTCTATGAAATACAGCTCCCTATGGTTTGTCAGTATTGTTACACTTAATTGTTTCAGTGTTGTTGTTTTCAACTGTAATCTTTAACAAGCTGCTGTAAAAATGTGAAGTATTTTAACAGTAAAGTACCGTTTTTTGAGAAAAAGGAACCTCTACAGCATTCTGTCATACAATTTAATTACTTTATTTCTGTGACTGGTACTTTTTGCATTCATGTTTAAGTCAAAAAGCTAGAATCAATGAAAAACAGGAATAAGTGATTTCTTTTGACCAACACAGAGGAAGGATAAAGAGGAAGCATCGCGGAAGCAGTTTTCTTTCAATTGAATCTTTTCAGTAAGAGAAGTAAGCATTTCAGTTTCACTAACCTCTTCTTTTCTTCTGCTCTTAACAAGGACCGCGGTTACAATCCTGAGCCAAACACCTCACTCTAACATGTGTTATTTTGTAATTCGGGGAAATTACATGGAGTGTGCTAACTGCGTACTGTTGTGTCTCCTGAGCATTATTGCCAGAAACATGTTGATACAAAAGATTGAAAAAGAAACTTGCCGAGTAACCAAACACAGTTGATTGCTAAAGTATGCAAGAAACAACTACTGCAGTGCAGATCATGGAGGAGGAGATGCCAAATGAAAAGGCAGCACTCTTATAGTGATGAATAGTGTTATAAATCGTTTTCCATAATTATTAAAATAATGTTATCGTTTTTCGCTGATGCTAATCATAAGGTAAATATTAGATTCTGTAGTTTCCCTCCTGTTAAATATTCAGAGTAAGATGTGACTTTTCTGCAGTTACAACAGACAAGGCTTTCCAACACCACTTATTTGAATGTGTTGCTTTCGTTGACCTGACAACAAAGAGGAAATTCTCATGTTCTGCCAAATAATGCAGATAAGAGCCAAATGTTGATTGACACGAGTTAACAGATCTTTAAGTGTATTTTCCCTCAGTGCACCAGAGCTTTCCTCCAGTTTGCAGTCCTTATGTCAGCCTTTTTTCCACAAAAATAGTTTGCTAACACACACTGACAGGGATGTCTGCCAACACAGCCATTATTAAGCACACCTCCAGGTCTCCCAGACACTCAGCGCACTGCTTAATATGACATTCACTGTGCTGGAGGAAATGGCTGCAGGAAAACTGGAGTTTGTCCAAAGATCATCCTCTGTTAAACCTGAATTATTTTAATATATATTATTTTTATATTTCACACTAAACTTCACACAACCAAATGTCAAAGACGGTTTGCTGTTTTTATGTTTCCTTTCCCATAATGATAATAACTTTTTAGAAACAGACAAGTCTCTTTTAGTCTCCAAACAAACATTTGTCAGCTTTATTACCATTTTTAAGAGGGTTAAGTGCTTAAGTGTGTTTTTGCTTCTGTAGGGTATAACGTCTCAGTTAGTATAAGCCCTCCAAGGGGAAAGAAATGCAAATGACTGGGATGTCCTAAAGAGAAAAGAGATAGTCATCTTGCAAAAGATGTGAATACACATAATTCACTGGGCTGTCACAATGAACAGCCCACACTGCAACCACATTTTCCTGTTATCTTTTTGAGCTAGCCAGTTCCAGTAAAGTTTGTTTATTTAGCACAGTTCAGTTTTGTTAACTATGCATCTCAACGTCTGATTTTTCACATTCTGTACATCATGGTTCACTGCTCCTATAGAAAACTGACAGCAATATGAGGGTGCAGTACATTATGTACAGTTTGCACTGCAGCTTGTGCAGTTTTGTGTTTGACACATGCTCCAAGACTTGCACATTTTAAACTGCTTCAAATGCATCACTTAGCTACTTAATGTTTTTGATTTGATTTATGTTGTATCCACCATTAGTTACAACATGCATAATTACAACAACATAATTACAATATGCAGCAGCTATTCTTCCTCTTCTATTCCATTTTCATTCTAAATTTAGACATATACTTACAGATATTACACTTACATAACACTCATTCTACATTATATTCATACGGTAGCTCTTATTCTCTGTTGTTTGTTGAAAAATAAACCAAAACATAAATAAGATGAAGAAAGAAAAGTGCAAAGACAAAAAAAGAAAAACTTAATCCATCATAGAGAAGAGCTGAGTTCAATTTCATTCATGGTACTCCATATGTAAACAGATATACCTTTTAAACTTTAATCGTTTGTCCAAGTGTTAATGTTTTGCTGAATGTTGAAGCAATTTGGTAAAAAGTACTTGTAGGTAAAATTTACATTTCAAAATATAACTCTTAACATCAGAGTGTCTTGGATTTTTCATTCACATTATAAACTTTTGTTGACAACTTGATAGGTAAGTCATTACTCCCTTCTTTTGAAAAACAATACTTTCATCCATTTTCTGAAGAGCACCTGATCCCGACAGTAAAGTGTTGGATACTTTGACCCCACATAGCACTCACCCACCCCTTTTTTTTCCATGTAAAACTCTTAAAAACTGTTTGCAAAGAAATTACATGGAACTTTCTGTCATATTTGTAGTAAAGTAATTAAGTGTAGATTGAAAAGACAGTAAAAATGTTGTAAAATAGGGTATTTTACTGTAGTGAGTTGTTGTTGTTGTTGTTGTTGTTGTTAACAATAGCTACAGTTGATTTAATAGGTAATTTGTAACAGTGTCACTTATATAACCACTGATATGATGTTTTATCTCTCGCATGTGACTCATTCATTTCCCAAAAGTTGATATCAGAAGCTTTTAAGCGCCAGAAAAGCACTGACCCCACTGAGGAGCAATGTCAATCACAACAACCAAGTGATCAATTTCACTGTGAATGAGGCGGCTGTGTAAGCCGGATAGGTGGCAAAAAACTGGGCGTGGGCAGGCATGACTCATTAACACTTATTTTATTAACAGTTCTGATTTGTTAAGCACGTCCCCCCTTGCTGCCTTTTTTTTTTTTTTTTTTTTTCTAGAAATGGAGCGTTTTAATGGTTGACTGGCTTTAACTGTCATCTAATGAGGCTCGAGGTGTGGTCTGCAGCTGTGGTGGGTATCACACGTGGAAGAATGCCCCCCACTTCAGCCGCAACACCGCGCGTATTAGTGAAAAACCACGCTATATCGCCCTCCATCACCACAGACACTGGATTTAGCGGAGTGATTTAGAGGGTTGAACTGGACGTCTTACATGAGAGTAAAGTGAAACTCTGGGGACGGAAGTAAAATCACATGCTGCGGTTGCACAGCTGCGTGCGTACAAGGGACGTGGTTGAGGACTGTACCCGTGCGCTCTAAAGGCACCCAAACTACCACAAAAAGTGATAAGGTAACCGCGGCTGTTCTACTGTGTAACCGGGACAGATAAAGCATCTGAGCAGCAATGACGACTCACACAAGAGCTCCAGTCTCCTGCTGTAGCCCGAGGTGAATATGAATGAAGACTGACCAATGGTAAGTAGGCGAAGCAAAACGCGCTGCTTGTAGTGGTGTGAAGTTGTGACGCATTGATCAAAATTGACTCCAAACTCCTTAAACACGACCAGAGACTACACAGCTTTGAAGGAGTGATAAAACAGAGTTGATATAAAGCCTGTTTCATTTAAAGTAGTAAAGTAAAACGTTGTCGAAACTTACCAGGAGCCGACTCCGTGCGCATCCGTCCACAGCCTTCCCAGCCGAGCGACTGGCTCACAAGCTCTGCGTTACGGACGTTTTTCCAGGCAGGGGAATTCCGAGTAAATAACTTCCCATCTGCCAGTCAGAAGGAAACTGAAATAGATTTAGGATTTACTGGAACTGGCTCCTGGTTTACAGGAATTGGTAGAGCCATGTGGGGCCGGATTGTAATTCCTTACCTGTTAGAGGGTTTGTTCCTGTAACAGGTAAGAATGACCCCATTCATAGTGCTGAATTGTTGTTTAACTGGATTTTTAAACGCTGATTTTTTTGGTAAGGGTGTAACAATTGTCAGATGTCAAGTTTTTCTAAAGTACTTGATTGATGGATTTTTGATTGAAACTTAAAAACAGTTGAAAATACAAATTAGTGACAATCAGAAAAACAAAACAAGACAGTAGCTGAATCTGCAATCCTCTCATTTTTAAGCCCCTCTTTTTACATGAGCGAAAAGGACCAGGAAGAAGTATAAACTTGCCTAATCCTACCCTCTTGTACTTATGTTGACACAAAAAAGGCATGTTGGTCCAGGTTTGAATGAAAAATCTATAAACACATGCGCTGAAAACATTCCAATAACTGTGCTTGCCTGGCCTCTCACCATGGCTGAATTACATTTTGCCTCTGAAATGTTTGTCTCTTTTGGTATTTGTAGAGTATGCTATTTTAATGGTGTGTGCAGGTCACTAAATTGATCATTTGTCTGTGTTTTCTGGCTGCTTCTGGGGCCAATATAACAAAAAGCTGCCTCAGCAATAAAGGGAGGTTTAAACTGTTTACAGTGTGCAACCAGCTGGGGCGCAGAGACACAGCTGTACACAGGGGTGGATGTTTAGACAGACTCTTATTTGGATGTCATGAATGAAAAATGTTGGGCTGCAGCCCAGCGTTCAGCATGTTATGAAATTGTATGTATTTATTTCATTTCTGCTCTCTCTCTCACACTGTGACTGTAAACTCTCAGCCTCTTCTGTGCATTCGTCTCCTCGCTCTGCTGCTTCTACCTCTCTCTCAGTCCTGTGAGAGCCAAAGGCCTCCCACAGAAGTCAGAGACGACTACATGGCAATCGTGCAAACTCTTCTCATCAAAACAGTAAGATACTAGTTGTGCAAATACTTTTAACTATTTGGTATTTCGTAGTACATGTCACAGCAAAATAATGGCACCAGACTGATCTATATCTGGCTTGCACGTACAATCTGTATGATGATTTAAAAAACTATGTTGAACATGTGTTAACACCTAATCATTTCACTGGAGAAATCTTATCTTTAGGAGGAGACAAAATGCTGTGAAAAGAAACAGACGAGTTAGAACAACACTTGTAGAAGTGCAGGATCACGAAGGATGTAAAAAGTGCAGCAAAAGCCGCAACCTGATATGAGGTGTTAGATGCAATCCAGTTCTTTGTGCTTTTACTATTCAGCAAGATTGATGGTTCAGTTTTTGATTTTTTTTTTTTTAAACAGCTTAACGTTTGCTTTAAAAAAAAAAAAAAAAAAGACAAAATGAGGAAACAAACTATTTTGGCAGGTAAACGGAGTAACGAAAAAAGCCACACACAAATAACGATAAGGGGTGTGAACTTGTCGTTCTTCCAAAAACTTGTATGGGAAACCCTTCCTGCAACGTGCAACGTGCAGCATTGCCACAGAGTTAGATGAGGGAAGACAGATTGCCCAATGCAGCATTAAAAAAAAAAAAAAGACTTTAAGAATAATCCTGACATAATACACAAAAGTTCAGATTTTAAATGGTTTGTGTCTTTGCTGCTAATATTGAGCACTGTTATGCTGTCATTTCTTTAAGGAGGAAAATATTGCAACCTTGCTACAAAATTCAACCTGTCCAGAACTGAGACACAGGCCACAAAGGTGCTCAGGTTCACAAAACCAGGTAAGAAAATTATTCGTTTTTTTTTACATGTATTTATTTAATTGCTTTTTGTTCCTGATTTGCATTATATGTTATTCAAAGTGAGAATACACTGAAACAGAGACCCTGCCCATTGGTATTTAGCATCTCACTGATGTGGTTCTGATGTTATTAAAAGCACTCAACAGAGAATTAGATGTAAATCTCATTCAGCCTTGAGGTGGTCTTCATGATAACAGCATCCCTAACAAGTTGACTCCTTGTCATCATTTGGCCAAAAGCTCAAAGAGCTCCTCTCTGTTTTATTATTGTTGGCCGAAAATGTGTTACAGAAAGGGGTTTGTTTTGGAGAGTGTGTACAATATGAGTGAAATGTTGCATACTCCTCTGTTCAGCAGGATGTTGTGAGCACCCTGCACACCCTCAACTGCGAAATGAAAAACTCAAAGTCTGCTGTGACGGAGAAATTAGCCCGGGACATCGGGCAATCCATACGGTGCTCTTGTCCTGAGAGACCGGTAGGTTAAATCCTTTAATCTTGGATGCATATTTTTGATTTATGTGAAACATTGTACTAGTTGACACAACTTAAGAGGAGGCAGCAGCAAGGCCATGACATTTTCTATCGTTTTTTCTGCGGGGGATGCTAAAATAGAGGAATGTTGTTTGACTGCACAGAGGATGAATCACTAAAGGCTTATTTATTATAAAAAACAAACATTTATGACACACTGTGGGGTGTGGTTGCAAGGTTTAACAGCATTGGCCAAAAGTTAAACAAATTTCAACATCTTTAGTTTCCATTTTTCGTACAAGTTACACTTGAGTGCCAAAGTTCAGGTATCTGTATCTGAGGTCAAGAAGTGGGTGTATGCTCTGTGTTTATTCACTATCTCAGTAAGATGCTGGGAAAGCCTGACACATGTCCAATGTTGTTAAAATAAAAATAAAAAAAAACATGGAAAACTCGTTAGTTGTGTAATTTAAGAGACGGCAGGATCATTATTAGTTCTGATGAATCAGACTCATAGTTGAAGTCTGAGTCATGCAGCAGAGCAAAGCAAGGCCTCTTTAGTGGCACAGTAGCACATGTTTCATTCAGTAGCTCACACTTTAACTTCTCAGGTTTGGTCTTACATTCACTCATGATTATCTGAGCATTAAGAAAGCATTAGTAAATGCTTATGAGCAGAGGTATTGTAAAGAGTCTCCACCTTTTGTACTTTGATCAAGCTCCATATACGGAAGAATCAGAGTGGTTCGCTGTGATTACTGTCTGTGTCGTCAGGGGTCAGACTTTGATTTGTCAGTGACAGACTGGGTGGTGTGCCTAAAACATTCATAAATAATTGAAGTGTATACTATCAAAATTTCATTTTTAGTGAGCATTGTTATTTTGAACACATTAATAAGCATGTTTTTTTCTGTGTGTCACCTTCTGTTGACTAGACGAAAACACCAAACGTGACATCAAAGAGGAAGAGGAGTGCCAAAGGAGAAGGAAGAAGGAAGGAGCACAGAAAATCTAAGAGGGAGAGGAAACTCTGTAAAGCTAAGGTGATCCTTTCTCACATGACTGAATGCTACGAGATGCTGAACTTTATACTGGAAACCTGAGGCCAGAGGACTTTCAGCTAGCCGGGTTCTTCAGTACCATTACTATCCTTCATTGGATCATACGAGATGAAGCTTTCACTTCCATTTAAGCTAACTTGTCAATGCCAGAATATCTCTCCTGCAGCTGGGTGTTGTGTGACCACTGACTCACTGATAAGTTTTCCAAGAGATGCAGACATAAGCTAATATGCCAAGTGGAAAAGAAAGTTTGAAGGTCAGCAAACAAACGGAGCTCTCACGCACTTCTTCCGCCCTCTACTTTACGGATACTTTAAAGAATGTCTCGTACATTAAAGGTGCATGAGGCACAGCACGAAGGAGACTTTAGACGGCTGAAGGTGTTTGCAAAAATATAGTTTCTTTATTTTCAAGATTCAAATGTGCAGATGTGTTTTTGTGTTCATTCAGAATATGCTATGACTTTAACTTGCACATAGACATAACCTCTCAAGTACACCAGGGCATACGGTGCTTTAACAGTTTTACTTTCACTTTTGGATGAGAACGACTAGCCCTGACACATCATTGTTATCTTGGCTATCTGAAGCTTCTTTGTTCAACTTTTTTCGCCTGGGAAGTTGTTTTAGGCTATGTGTCAAGTTATGGTTCATTCTTCTATTATGACAGTGTGTTGATATGTCATTGAGTAAGACTGATATTTTAAAAGCACATTTTGTCACAGATGGCTAACTTCAACCCACTCCTTTCCGGTCGGGGATGCAGAAACCTTTCCTGTCACGTTTGGTTGGAACTTTGATGAATGTACTGTAATTAGGGTGAGAATACTTCCGAGACCCTTTTGGTGCCAGACCTCCCCTTTCCCGACAATATAAGCACATGCTGCCTTTCCCCTCAGTCAGTCCAGCTGCAACTCTTTAAGTGCAGCAGCTATCTTCTCTTCCTGTGAGAGACAACATATGATGCATTAATATGTAGCTACATTTTCTTTTGTATATTTTATTTTATATTAAAGCACAACCTGAAAGGACTTTGTGTTGGACCCATAGCACATGTACTCCAAATATATTTATACCTCAAATTGCATATGTCTGTGTATTAATGTCTAATAACTGTCCTAAACTATCTACTTCAGATTTCTTTGACTTTTCTTCAGCAGACACTCAAAACTCAATCACAGATGTCTTCACAGAAATTTATTGACAGTGGATATATATGGCATTAAATGCACAACCCTATCCAGCCCAACAACTGTTGCAATCGGTACAAGTTCAACACGCTAGTCTTTCTTCTCGTTTTACATAAATATAGTTAGCTTCTTTAAAATTAAAATGAACCCTTTTGCTTCCAAAATTGAGTACAATGATCATAATCACAGTTATAAGCATTTGTGATTATACAACGACCAATGTGTACCTCAAGTGAAGGCCTTTCCCTCTTAGTGTACCAGCCTGATATGAACTGTGTTGGGTCAAAAACGGTGCTGAGAGATAAACCGAACCTGAAGAGAGCAATTCAAATGACCGCCTAAATGAATACTGACTAAATAGAAACACTGTAAAGGAAAAGCGACCGCAACACATTCGTAGGTTTCATACAAATCCAAATAAAAACACATTTCAGCTCAGAGGAGCTTCAACAACAAAAAAAAGGTGCACTCATTACCAGTAAAAATGAAAGTGAATAAGAAAATAAATAACTCATTGCATTGTAGAAAAGTAGGAAAAAACAGTTTGATTCAATGCTACAATTATCTACAAACATCAGGCTTATGATGGTATAAGTGAAACAAACTTTCGCCTGTAAAGTGACCTTCAAGAGAGCAATGACCTTGTTACTGCTTTTCGTTCTTGGACTGGTCCCTGACAAAACATTGGAAAACCTTGCCAAAAGTTCCTCACGTGTTTTTTTTTTTTTCTTTTTTGAATGTCTGTTATTTTTTCAGTAGTCAATTATATTGCACATTTAAAGGAGCAGAATCTATTCGTGAAGGAGTGAAGGAAAACGAGAATAAGGAATGCGTTTCAGACCAAGGTTGACTGGAAGCGGGTAGACCAGGGCGTTGACACCCACCTCTAAGGAGTCGCTCGAAATTTTTCCTTTATTCCTTTTCTACATTTCCATCCTACAGCTCAGCCTTTCTCCTCTCTCTGACTCATCTTGTATGCAACCTCTTCTCAGGATGCACCACGAGCTTCAAACCGCACGCAGTGACCCAGTTATTTAAGTCATTCATCTTGTGAACATCGCCCACTGACAGCAAGGTTAAGTTTAGTCAATTTAATGCTTAAGTTGAATGTAGCAGTGTCAAAGTATGAGCTTCTGAGAATGGGAGGACATCCAGCAGTTACAAAGAGGTCAATAACAAGCAAATCCTGTTTGTTGCTACTGTATTAGATACAGTTTCATGCAACTCCATTACCAATTAGCTAATGGCTAAAATCCCCCAGCCTCCAGATAGAATTCCTTAGTAGTGATACGCAAAATAAAAGAGAAGGGGATTGTTACTCTTGTTTTAAGCGTTGCTAAATTCATAACACACAGCTGAAGTATAAACCTAAGGGTGTTATAAGCAAAACTGACCACCAGACTCCATGGGGACAAACCAGCAGTTAGGAAAAAATCACAGCATCATAGCTTTGCCTCCGGCTGTACCACTTACCTGCTGTGAAGTTACGCTCAAGCATAAAAATACAAAGTGGTAAAATTCTAATCAGCTTTGGTGAAACTCTCTCTGATCTGATCCTAGTTTTGAGTGCATCTGTCATGATCCGCTTTTTCCAGCCTCCTTCAAATACACATCCTCCTGACCCCGCACTCGCAGCAGAACTTGGCAGATTCAACAGGGTACTTGGTGCCACAAGCATGACAGAACTTGCTCTTCACGCCACCGTTTCCGATGTCATTATTTCCATCGACATCGTTCCTAAGAAAGGACGCAAAGTTGAATTATTGGTATGTCAGTGCCCGGTTGGTGAATAATGTTTTAGTTAAGTAACTGGAAGACACTCCGGAAAATGAATCATTGGGGAACTTGTGAGAAGAACGTGATACAAGTTGCAAAAGTACTATACTCATGCTGGCAATGTCATCACACTACATGCAGTCATGTGAGGTGATTACAGGCTCTCGATAGTTTAATTATCAAGAGGACACTAATACCTTTTTTTTGAGGAGCACACCAGTATTTCATTGGAATATATAATTCTTTAAAGTTCAATGCAGTTCACAACAAATACCACAAGAGGTCAGCACACTCCAGCAATAATACAGTCTTACTCTGGTTTGATTCATTGGTGCTTATTCACGTACCTGTGTTGGTGAACTCACCTAGATATGTAGGTATCTACTTTTTTCTTGTTGAGTCCTGATCCGGGCTGCGTGCTCCTCCCAGAACCGTAGCCAGAGCTAGCTACTCGGGTCTTATTTCCCGCACTAAAAGGAAAACAAACAATAAGAGGAGAATGATAATCACGCACTTGGATAATACTTGGTAAATAAAGCACAAAACTTAAAGAAGGCTTATATTTGAATCGTCTAAATGAACAGATGTGACATGGAGTAGTTTAATACCATCAATTAAGTCATCATGGTGTCAAACAGTCATGAAGAGAGTGTGTATGTGTGTACTGACCCTGAAGGAGGGGTTGTGAGGCCAGAAGGACTACTCCTCACTATACCTGCGGAAGACGTCCTATTAGATGGGATACCTAAGGAAAAACAGAGACTACAAATGAAAACACAAATAACTTTATTCGTGTTTCTAAAAAGTCTATTGTCGATGAAACTGATCAAAACAGCTGTGGGTCCTGTTACCAGTGGGCTGTCCGAGGCCTGACCTCTGAGGTAAACGAGAGGAGGCTGAAGGGATGGTGGACACGGCAGGTGAGCTGACCTTTTTCGCAGGAGCAGGAGCCTTGTACTGCAGAGGGATTCAAAACTATATTTTACAAAATGCATACAATGATGGCAGAACAAGGGATATGACATGAACAGAATAAACATACTGAGGCTTTCTTGACCATATTGTGGCCGTACATAAACTCTGACAAAGCTGTAAAAAAAACTTTATCTGACGCTTAGATCTATAAGAGATTAAATAAACACACTCCACCACGGTACACTGGAAACTAAAGCGACATAATCATCAATAGCTAAGGTTTTCTTGTTAGCCAAAACTGCTTGGACACTGTTGTTTTATCGGATGCCAAATGAATCGCAGTCGTTGTGCTTAAGCTGTTGCTAAGTGACAACAGTAACTCCATGACAGCTGTAAAGTAGGTGTTTAAAAATGTTAAGAATAGACTAGGAACTGTTAAAGATCCACGAACAACACATTTTATTTATTAAAAAACAGCTACAGCGCAGGATGAACTACTTATCTCTCTCCTGAATAACAATCTGGGAAACTCAAATCAGGATAGAAACTTCGTATGAACATGTTTTCCATCTTTAGAGGATAGCTGTGAGTAACAATTTAACTGTATCCATGTATTCAGTGCATCATATATCAAGTTATCATGCTGTTAAGTCCAAGTCAATATGTTTTGTGTACAACATACATTGAAATGATCACCTCTTTATGACCGACAAAGGCAAACAAGACAATCAGAGACATGAGTGACAACAAGAGAGATTTCTTCATCAGAAAATGTTACAATGGTCTGTGCAGGACAGGACCAGCAATTTGTGCCACAGTCCGCACTAACCAAAAGTTCCCCACAGCAGCCTTAAAAAGTGGATGTACCTGTGTGCGAGCAGGAGGCTTCTTGGTATCTCCTAACTTGCTCTTGTTTGACATTCGGGCGGCCTGCTCCTGGCAGAACTTGATGTGTCTGTCAGCTGCACTCTCGTTGAACCTCCGCTGACAGTAAGGACACTGGACATAATCTAAAGACAGAGAGGATGGGTAAGAATTCTGACCTCTTACGGTATCAACTGTAAAGACAAAACGGTGGAGTAAAATCCTGTATGCAGAGCTGCTGTATCTGTGTCATATGATTGTGGCCTAACAGTTTCTGCAGAAGAAGATGGCGAGTTTTCATTTAGTTAGAAGAACCATTGTAGGACATTGAGTGGCTATTTAACTCTCATTCTTTTGCATCATACTTCACTCCCACAGAGTATTTTGTTACCTGGGTCATAAGTAGGAGGTGGTGGTGGGGGTAATGGCCCCCCGTCTTTCATGGCCTGAGTAACACCCTTGGCCGCCCGGATGGTTGCAATGAAGTCCTCATGTTTCTTACGCCAGTTCGATTGCTTCTTAGGAGGTTCTGGCTGGCAGGGGGCAAAACAGAGGAAATGTTTGTTACAAAGTCCTTTTTTTTAATGACCATAACCTGAACAGCTAAATCTGCTGTCTTGGTAAATCTTATCACTAGTCTTCTTGTGAGTTTTTACTACTTTAGTAGACTGCATAAAGATAATTTACAGCCATTTATTTGTTCTTTATTAAAATGATTAAAACTCTCTGTATCTAAGTTTCTCTACTTGATACACATTTTTAAAGGTTGACATTTTTCTGAGCCACCAGGACGAACACTAATAACAGATGAAATCCATTTCTTTGAAAGAGATCTCCTTCCTTTTCATAGTGGCAGCCTGTGTCTCATCTTAGGCTGATGATTTCTGACAGAAGTAGTTCACTGAGTATCCGCTGAGCTGTGATCCTGCTGACTTCCTACTTCCTCCTATACTGTTACAGTCTTCAGGCTCTAAAGGCATGTCGACAAATGATAACTCTATAGTGTTTAGAGAGAAGGTTTGGTTTCTTATAAAGGACTCTGCTCATACCAAAGGTGCCGGTGAGAACAGAGAGTGAGTTAGAGCACAGAAATGAAGCCGAGCAAAGAGTTTGCTTATCGTAGTTGACATCTTAACAACAGCTCCGCTAGAGAAGTTTTGACCAAGCAGAAAAGGATTTTCAAGTCGTGATTATTCAGACATCACTTGAACATGTATGAAGGTCGTGCCATAAACAAAATTCTGAAGTTGTAAGGTTAGTTGTAGAGTAAGTGTGCGAGGCTAAAACAGCTATAAAGATCATAATAAATCAATACAAAAACATAGATTGTGAAAGCCTGTTGTGGCAAAATTAACAAAGGAAGAAACTACAGCTTTTGGCTAATTTGAAACTAATGCCACCACCACAGTTCAAGTTCACACATCTCCAGATTGTTAAACTACCGATCAGAGCCAGGAAATCAGGGTCTATTAAGCCAGAGAGAGTGAGTAAACAGTAAGAAACAATGAGAACTAAGTGTGTCACTGATTTCGTATAAAGAAAGACAAAACAATTTTAAAAAGACAAATCAACTTACTTTCACAGTAGATGATGAACCTTGTGACTGAAATACAATTAAAAGTGATTTACATTTGAAATTAAACTGCCAACATATGATACTTACTATTCTAACTAGATCAGTAACTTTGAGTATAATTGTACACATTTAACTGGACAGATGAAGAGAAATCTGTCATTCTTCACCAAAAAAGGAAAAGACAGTTGCGGTCTGAATGTTTTAAAGTTGATAAAGTTTGAACAGAAATGTGACATTCGGCTCAGAAATATGAAGTTGTGAACTCAGACTTGCTGCTGCTTGACAAATAATCAAATATGAATGGCTTGAATATGTGTGTTAAATGCCAATGCTTCTAAAGAGCCATATTCTTACCCTTGGTTTGATAGGTTTGAGAGTAGAGATGTCAGTGCCCTCAGCTCTTTGTCTGCTGGAGTCAAAAACCTTCCTCCTTTTGCTTGCTGCCTTTTGACAGATCTTAGTATGCTTCTCCTGTTAAAAAAAGAAAAATATGTGAAAAATGCTCTCAGCACATGCAAGGCAATTTAATAACATGTGATAAAGAAACACAAGTGGATCTATTTCAGCAGCATATTGAAATCTGCATTTGCAAAAAAGCAAGACTAATACACTTCCTTCCTAATAGTAGCAGATCTCCTGAACTCCTAATGGAGAAGCAAGCAGGCATATACAAATGCACACTTCCAAGGAAAATAATGCTCTTATGCATCATGCATTTATCTAACTATCATCAACTAATGATGTTAAGTGCAACAACATAGCTGCCTCTGTTTGCATCAGCTGGAAGGAAGATGTTTCAATAACGCAGTGCAATGTTCTAGCAGTATCAGAATCAGAATGCCCTTTATTGTCATTATACAGAAGGTACAACGAGATTGGAGAGCTTCTCCATTTCCAGTGCAATAGAAACAGAAAAAAGAAAACTGAGACCGAATTAAAAGTACAAAAAAAGTTGCAAGAATAAAAAATAAAATGATGTAACGCAAACTATTAAATAAGTCAGTACTGTGGTAGTAAGAAAAATATGCATTACAACCATGATTCTGTCTATTCAGCTTCTGTACAGAAACAATTAAACATATGAAATGATTTACAAAATATAAACTCACTGAAATTAAAGAGCCAGGCAATTTTGTTGTTAAAGTCTGTCCTCTTAAAGCAGTCAAGTGTTCAAATCCAACATTTCACACTGACTTTCTAGGAACGAATTCCATGACAAAGAAACCATTATCTACATTATGTGCTCTTGGTTTTCATTTGATCATCCATTTGATCATCTCCTTTCCCATAGCTCTATGTGTTTGCTTGAACAAGTACATCTTACAGCTCTTTGCTGAAAACTACCAGCTTTTGTGCACGCACACACACTGACTCACATAACAGCTGATTTTCCATCAGCTGATAGGATCATCATTACAGACTCAGCACTCTTCATCGCGTGTTTCAAGAGGAGTAAAAACTGCCTTTTAAATCAGACTAAATCAAGTCGTATTAAAACAAAATACGGGTTGTTTGTTTTACCAGGACTTTAGGGAAGAAAGACCTTTGACAAATGTTGCATTGAACCAGGTCCTCGGCAGGAGGAGCGTAATCATCTGAAGGAAAAGACATAAAATTATGTTTGCAGAGAGGAGACAGAGCTCAAAGCTGATAAAATCAACATCTGGAGAAACACACAGGGTTTGTTATAACATAGTATATGATGAATGGCATTAAAGAATAGGAACTTTCTCGATGTGAGCTAATAGCCATTGTGAAGGAAATAGGAAAAACAATGAATCAATGTTTAGATTTCCCAACTATGAATCCTTATTTTGGTCTAAAGGCCAAAAACTATCACAAAACACTTCACCGGGATTCCCGTAACACGGTTACAAGTGGATACAACTCCATATAATTCATATTTAACGGTTAGTTAAATAATGTGTGGTTTATTTCATCTCCAAAATTCAGAATGTAGCCTGCTAACACTTTCTAGCTCCCGTGGCTAATGCAGAGATCACACCCATTCATGGGAGACAGTCGCTAGCTTCTGGCCCTGGCGTTACCTAGCATTACTTCAGCTAAATCCCAAACAAAACGGGGTCGCTTACAAAAGCCGCCGCGCTAAATTAACAGTAAATTATTCCATTTGACGGTGTAAAACGAGAAGGTTCTGAGCTACATTTCTCCACGGAGAGCTAAAATAAACACCTGGATGGCTAAATTTAGCTCACCTTCGAATTCCTCCATCATTAGGTTTACGCTATCCCTCTTTCTCTGATGCTGGTGTGTCCACCAACCAACAGCAGTTAGCCGGACGAAATGAAATGATTCCCCGTCGGTTACTTCCGGTGTTGTGCCGTAGAATGCATCCCCTGCATCCCATTCACCCGTTAGCTTCTTAGAGTGGAAGAAAATGATCTCGTATTTAAAAATACACGAGTATTGGATCATGAAAACGTGTTAAATGGAGCAGCAAACTTTCGTAATGTTTTTATGTCTTTCAAAAATGCATATATACAGAGGTACTTCGATATAAAAACTGTACAGTAAGCTGTCAATGTGGAGAACATTATATTTTCAGGACAGCAAATATTCCGAATAAAGCGGCTACTGTTTTCGGCTTCCCTGTATAGCCTGAATTAAATCATTAAAGGCACACGCTCTTCAATTAATCCAACGGTAAGTAAAACTTGGATTATTTTGCCTTGTTATGTACTTTCAACTGCGCTACCGTCAGGGGTGCGCTCTACGGCAGGAGTGCATTCTACGGCACAACACCTGCCTGGCCAAACTACAGGGAATGCCATACTGCTACAGACAACAACACGTCTTAATCAATTCATTATTTTCCTCATAGCTTGTATTTCACAAACATTCAGAATAAAAGTGTGAAAATCTTTCAATAAATTGCTCTTAAACTAAATTCAATGTGAAGCAATGGTTGCCGAAGCTTGACGTTGATATATCTTGGCGTTATTGATCTTTGGCTACCAATAGCAACTAGGTTGTCTGGTACCGCTTCATGTGCTTCCATCGGGGGATTTCATTGGTTGTTACTGAGCGTTTGGGGTTAATGTGATCTGTGCAGCTACTGGGCGTGGAGGGCGATTCTTCACCCCCTGTTCAACTCATAAACAAAGAGGGAGTAGAAGTTTGTCACCATGGCATTTTTCTATTGTATTATAAACGTTTTGATGACATCTTAAATCAGATATTGCAAAAGTAGTATTGTTAGCTCCAGTGATTAAGTTGAGAGGAGAAGGGAGTGGGGTTATCAGCCTAGAAATATATTAACCTTTGATTTGCATCTTTGCTCTTTGCGAGATTACAGAATTTATTTTTGGATGGCTGTGAAAAAGCTCCCTCACAATAGGACTATTGTATTCCCTTGTTGATTATATTGGCTCAAACACTTCCCCGGAGCACTTGGATCTCCCTAGTTTGGCATATTGAGCACATGTGTCATTTGAAAGGAGTAATTCACAGCCAGATGCTATGAGACCACAGGGAACGCTTTGCTGAATAGCCTAACTGCACAACAGACCACTGTTCTCAACACTCACACACCCCAACTCACACATACACACATTTGACCACACACACAGAACCTCACTGTCTGTTCATTTGTCATGTGACCTTTTAGTTTTCATTAAAAGTTGTTAGGGTAGATGTCTCCCAGGGTTCATCACTGAGGGCAAAATAATTACATAACAACACAATGCTGGGGATGTAGGGGACACCGGGGCTTGTTGTCACACTTTTAACTCTCTTATATATTTCTTGAAATCAATACATCATATACAAACAACGTACCACACGAAAGACCGAAGTCTCAGGTATATATTTCATATTCATGTCATTTTCATATCTTGTGTCAGTGCAGAGCAATCAAATAGAGAGTGTGAACATGTGACATGTTGCCCCACCATCGGGTCAGTTGTCTCACTATATGGGGTAAGATGTCACAGCTAATAAAACAAGGACAAAGTTATTGTTATTCTAATTTTTTACTTGAGAGTGAACATCAAAAACAGGCACAGAAAATGTTTATCATTGAGCTAGAAAGAGAAAAAATGTTAACTTAAAATATTATGCAACATGCTCTGGAGTTTGGAGAGCTGTCTGACTCAGTATTTTGGCTGGGGTGAATATTTTGCAGTACTGAGCCAGGCTATGGTAGTTGACATTAAAGTCCTTTATTGTACTCCAGATTGATTTATTAGCTAGGGTCACCTGCCTGACTGCCCTCAGCATCATGTCAGGAACTGCACTGCCACGCTCTGTTTTTCTTTTGAAATTCCTGACCATGTCCTCTCGCTTTCTCCTCTCATTCAAACCACTTTTTTCTCAGTAAAAATAAAGTCAAAATTTTATTATGACAACTGCTGATAAGCAGACTCTCTACTTTAATTTTAATTCCTTTTAAACATGTGACAACTTTCCCCAAAATGACTGAGACATGTCGCCCCAAACTACCATGTTTGCTAATTCTAGCTCTAGGTTAAAGTTATCTTAAAACAGAACAATGACTGCGGCATGACAGGATGCCTTAATCTCTCCTCTAACAAGTCCAAGTCCTCTGCTCGAAGATGAAGACTTATTTTAAAATATATATATAAGGTTATTTTTTTTTACTTTGGGTTGTGCGTCATGGTTAATTGTAGCTCAACTCAGCTCACAGTGTGCTTTTCTCTTCTCAGACAGGACTTGACCCCTGACCATGTAAAGGAAGAAAACTAGTATTCCACTTTTTAGTTGCGCCCTCTGGTGGCAAAGACAATTGCAATGTGATGACTTATCCATGTGACAACAAGCCCTGGTCTCCCCTAATACAGGCAACTGATAATTATACACTCCTTTTAATTAAAAAATGTTTTATCCATCCAATTTTACATGCTGTTATGCTTCTATTTTATAGCCTTTATTATATAAAATTTTGCCTTAAAAACTTTCGTGTTGTCCCCAAAAAATCCTGAATTCCACTAAAATATAGAATAAACTACATCATATATTCAATCTTGTAAGCTAATGCCTATCTTTAACGATGCGTGTAAGTGAACATTACCTGGCCGTTAAAAAAAAAAAGTAAACAATGCCGTGCTTGAATTGGTGACACTTTATTTTGAAAGCTCAACCGGAAGTTAGAGTGACCTTACAGTGGACTGATCTTGATTGTGTTTCTTGAGCGCGAGGGGAAATACCGAGCCTGCATATCCACTGATACGAATTTTGGGAGGCCATTTGACCCGAACAGGTACCATACTAATAATAATACAGCTGAATTTAAGGGTAGAGTGTCACTGAAATCCCTCGTGCAGTGGCATTTTTCTCACCACGCATGCTGTGTTTACTTGCACTCGGGGTATCTATCTGACTTAAGAGAAAGACATATGGCTGTTTATGTATTATTGACATCAGTATTGGCATGTCGATGCTTCTTAACCATTAGTGGCATGTCTTTTGATAAGGTTTACTGTGCCAACAGTGCAAGGGTTTTTAATGGAGCTCCACTGCGCACGACTATCCTGAATGCAACGCCTCCACTATATGCCTGTAATACATGATAAACTGGGCATCAATAATTGACTTTGTACTCTAGTAAAAGCTCTAAATGGAATAATGACAGCTCATGCAGAGCCATTCAATAATTATTGAAGTAACCATGTAGCTTCAGACTGGATATGAAGAGGAGAAATCATATACAATACACATTCACTGTTGTAAATTTTGTATTGAAACTGTTCTGACATATTGGTGATACTATATTAAGGTATGATATTATTCTGCCAAATGGTTTTGCAGTGTGTGTGTGTGTGTGTGTGTGTGTGTTTAAGCGCATGTGTTGGACTTCATTACTGAGATGCCCGGCCACCTAGAATAACATTGGCACAAGTTTCTGGGACTCAGTTTCTGTACTGCCGCCCTCACTGCAAATTCTCTGATAGGGTTGTTCACAGCACATGCAGCCATGTTTTCACTTTTTAGTCAGCGAAGATTACAGATTACAAGGGCCTGATGTATTAATCAGTGATTTGGTCATTTGTTTGGAGTCTGCCGGATAAACTACTGTTTAAGCCAGCTGAGCTCAGGTTTCCATATGGGAGCAGAGCCAGAAGGAGAGTACACAGAAACACATGCGCACTGACTTAGTGTTGAGCTGCAGTCGGGTGCTCTACATCATGGGTGAAACACTTTGACTAAATTATGTAAAGTGTCAAATAAATGTTTCATAGAACAGCACAGTTTACACTTGCCAAGGCTGTTTTTTTCCTGGGAAAAAGTGATAAAAAAAGTCATGATTATAAATAATCTACTTAGATGATTCAATTAAAATTTTGTTTTAATATTGTACACTTCAGTTTATGTATGTTTGTCCTTATTAGTCACAATTAGGCAAAAGAGGGTTCCTATGTCAGGAACTACCAGCTGTCATGCAGGTTTGAACTTGTTGTATGTCATCTTGTGTTGAGACTGACGACTGGATGTGGTGGACATCTGTTGGGTCTTGCCCTTCTTGACACCATTTGGAGAATGACAGCTGAGTGGGTGCGTGCTCAGATGATGACAGAGAAGCTTTCTAAAAATAGCCGTTGTCAATCACAGTTCGCTCAGGTCTGAAAATAGCCACAAATGGATGTAGGAGGTGAGGTCATTTTTTGAGCATATGTCCAGCTGACTTAGAGACTCAACATGTAGACTGGAGTCAGCATCCTTGTCTTTTTACACTGTGGGGTTAAGATGAACAAACACATGGTTTTCTCTGGACCCTTATATAAATGCACTCATTGAGAAAAAAAAGATGATAAAATAATCTGATGGATTTTAATTACTGAAAAACCTGCTAACAGCTGAGGGGCAGCTTCACCCAGACAGATTGTTACAGCGTGAGAACATCAACAAGAGGGTTTAACCTAAATCTCCGGGGCAACACAGCTCCCATCATGCACTCTGCACAGTTCCAGTGGGATGACATTTAAATACAATGCTGTCCTCCCTTGCGCCATAATTACTCCCTTGAGTGTGTGTTTTTGGTCGCTGGGTTGCATCAGTTTAAAGCACTCTCATTTATTTTCATTCCTTTACTGAATTCTTTCAGTGAATTTTGCTCCTCTGTGTCCGCGGAGTGTCCTCTGCCCTAGACCCTAGAGATTAAGATAGATTAATGGGGGATTATGTTATAAAATAGGGGGAGGGAAGGATGTATTAAACCCACTGGTAACCCACTGTACTTTTTCCTTCATGTCTACAAAATTTGCTGAAGCATCAATCGTGAGAGTTGCTTACTACAAACTGAACAAATTGTAACTTTAGCATAAGTGCTGTTTATTTCCTCGGTTTAGTGTGTATCCATTTACACTTGTGTTGTGTTTAGTGTGCGCAGCCATGTGTGCCAGGCCCTGATATGGTGAGGTGTGTTAGCGATGACGGATGTGGAGGCGACCTATGAGGACTTCATCGCCTCTCAACGGTCCGGCCGAAGGAACGCCATCCATGAAATCCCAGATGCCCCTGGGGTGCAGGGACCTGCTGACCTGTCCCAGAGTCTGGCACAGCTCAACATCAACAAGCCAGGTGAGAATGTCATTTTCAGACATCATGTTTCGTGGCGGAAGCAGAGGCTCATGAAGGAGTGAGGACAACTTAGAATGAACCAGCTACTGGGAAGACAATTCAGAGTGACTATGGGAAATTTTGAAAATGTGCTTGTCATTGCAACAACCAGGGCTGCAGATGGTGGTACAGTATCTGTTACTACCACCAGGGGGTGCCAAAGCACAAAATTTATCTGTATTAAGTAGTTCAAAACATAGACTGTAAATAGAATGGATGCAGTCTGCACCCTTGTTGGGTGAAGCCACTCCGAGAACAGCACACTCTGGCGATTTTTTCCGTGATTGACACTTGATACAGCCTATGGGCGTACGCAGATTGCGTAGCTCAACTGGGGGCTTCAAATCCGTAAACTGGCAGAGGGTGAAACCAAGTTGTCTATAGTGTGTACAGTCTATGGTTCAAAAGTGGTATTTTGTACAAGAAATAGCGTACTCATTTGGAGCCGTTGTTTTGGTGTTTTTCTGCCTCTACATCTATCGTCACTGGTCTACACCCTCCCCGTCGGTCAACTGTCAGGCGACCAATCATCACTGTGCCTCATTATCACGGCACTTCCGCCCCCTCTGATCACTTTATGAATTATGAAGTTGGAAGCAATGGTACTGCAGATCCTCCAGGAAGGCTGAATTTTTGATGTTCTTGCAACTGAATTGAAAACCTTGCTTAAAAAACACCTCCATGAGAGACTTTTAGAGTGAAAAAAACATAGTATAGTTGTCGTGTTTTGTCTAAGTGTTTGATATTCTAAGAAACCCAATTATTAAAATGTATCCTCATTTAATCCACTCTGCATGCTATGAGCTACCGCGAGTTGTCTTTTCTCTCCCTCCACCTTGGTGGATTGTGTGTTTGCCCTTTTCTCCCTGACTCCCTCGCTGATTCAACCAACCTCATTCGCATCACTGCCCCCACACTACTTACTTATGCATGAAACTGACTGAATCTGTCTCCCTCTGTCTGTCAGGTGATGAGGGAGAAGACACAGAGAAGAGCCAGGACTCTACAGCTAAAGAAGAGGAGACACAAGCTGAGAGCAGCTAAGCAGCAAAGGCCTGCTGATTTATGTGAACTCAAACTACAGCTCCTTCTATCCGATCCCTAAGTACTCAGCCTGTAATTGATCAGATGCACTTAATGACTATGAGCAGACACAGAAAAATCCTCCACTGCCACCATCCCATTACCAGGACTGAAATGCTAAAGCAGCTTCAATGCTGTTGCCCTGTTGCACTCAGACTTTGAATTTCCCAATAAAGCCTCCTTTCCTTGCTGCCTTTCAGTCACTGGAGCTAATACAAGAATGGATGTGATTCGGTCTGACACAGAGAGCTAAAACCTGCTCTGTTTGCCTGTCAGTTGACCTAAGAGGAAAAGACAGAGGGAGGAGCCATTCAAGGCTTTTAGGGGAGAGTTGTTTTCACTGAATTAAAATGTGTACTCCACCATCACCTTGAATCTATCACTCTTCACGTGGCTTGAGGGACACAACAGGACAGTGATTGGATGCCTACTTCTTCTCTGCACTTCTTGCACTGACACGTTACTCTATTTTTATCAGTAGTCACTGTGACTATTTCTGTTCCCCTTAAATGTTTTTTTGTTCATCCATCTATAGATTTTCTGTGAGGATTTTCAAAGTTAATTTAAACACCTGAAGGAGTGTGATGTTGTATTTTATTTTTGTCTTATATCATTGTCAGATGTGGTGTCAGAGCAGTTGAATATTTCCGATATAACAGATGGGGTTATGCCAGAATCAGAGGACACAGAACTGATTTTAAAGCTATTACGATGAGTTTTTGATGTGTGTTAAAAAATACTGAGATTTATGCTGATGCGTTTTCTTGTTATCCAAAAGCAAACAAAACCTTCAGGGGCATGATCGAGAATTTGCAAAATGTAATTCTGTAATATAAGGGAGATTGCAAAGACTTTTTTGTCCACAGGGGGGCGCCAAAGTTATTACAACAAAGGTTTCTCACAGGAGCTGAGCTAAGGGAAATGTTTACTTGCTCCAACATCAAGTTTTTTCTCACTAAGGCATAGTTTCTTCCTCAAATGCAGCATTTTGAGTTCATTTTGTTTTTGTCTCGCCTACTAATCGTTTGCATATTTAAGACTTTTATATATAGTATTTTTGAAATGAAAACTACCCATGGTTTGCTTAACTTTGATTTACAGTGTGAACACTTTATGACTTCAAACCCTGTTTGTCAGTAGATGCCAGTCCACAAGATAGTTTTTTTAGACTTGTGGTGAGTGATTTACATGGATGCAGAAACCCTCTTGCAAAGTACTAAATGTGAAGTTATCTCACTTTGACCTGGTTATCCTTGATCGTTACACTGCCATATATCGAACCCAAAGGTGTGTATAAGTGTGTGTGAGTGTGAGGATGTCTGAGTGAAATGTATTGATTTGCTGCTGATGACGATAAGAAGAGAGACGACACTTCTTGCACTATAACATTAGCTGTTTTTATAACATATTATTGTGTATCATAGCTGTGTACAGGTGAATTTCAGTGTGAATGGATGTCTGTCTGACTTATTGTTGTGGTGGTACAGCAGACTTGTGATTCTCCACCTCTCCCTTCACTTTATTTTATCAAACACAATAAAAAACTAAATTTTTGTTTGTGTGATAAACGTCCTCTCATTTGATGTCTTTGACTATATTTTTAATGTGCAAAATTTCTGAACACTGATTCCCATCTGTTGACATGACAACAGGAAAATAACCAAATTACAGTTTCCCCCTAGTGGTCAATTACAACTGCTGTTCAGCTACACAAAACCAACAACATCTAGACTGGACAGTAAAATTGAACTTTTTTATTGCTGTACTGTAACCTCAATATTGTTTGCCAACCATGCTCTGTAATTCAGTCTTGTAATGTAAGTGAGCACTGTTATTGTTAGCCTGTGTGTTGGACTTTGTCCTGTTGACCAGTGATAACAGTCCACCAAGGTCGGGCTATGTGGATCAATGTTATGTGACAGCTTACAGCGGTGTCATGTTTTTGTATGTCATGTATTTGTTTTAATATAATTTGCATCACATAATTTATTTACAATGTCATCCTGAGACCTGGGGTGTCAGTGATGTAACCCATCATTGGTGAGTGAACACTGAGTTCCTTGATGAAACATGGGCTGTGTTACTGAAGCCATCTGCTGTCGAAACCATTGACGCTCACACTGTTATTTTTTCTGTTACAGATATTCTTGACCATGTCAAAGTCTCTTTCTTTTCTTTTTTTTTTCATTTTGCCTCCCTGTGCATCTCTTCTCAGTCCATCCACTGGCTGTTATCATAACCTCTATTCTGTCCAAGTCACCTGACTTTTTCACTCACCTCGTGACCCACTTGAACTCTCCCTTATCAGCCGTGCAGTGCTTGTTTAAAGGCTGCTCTTAATATTTTGATTTGATTATGAATCCTCTATATGATAGCTCAAAAAGCCCATGTTTTGGTGTTAGCATGCCTATGATGCATTAATGAGATTTGTTGATGTTGTGTTTTTAAGTGAAGAGCAGACACACCTTTAGACTCATCGGGTTTATTTGTTAAATGAAAAGTATGAGTAAAAGTAATCTTATAATCATAGCACCAGCATTACACAGACAACATAAACAGTGGTAAAAGCATTTATAAATATACAGGCACAGGCAAAAATCAATGCAAAATCAGCAAATCTAAATGTTGCCTATTGAGCATACCAAGAGAAACTTTTTTTTTACATCTTGTATAGGGCAGGTATCGCTAGACACCTTGCACATTCATCTCACTTCTAAAATGTAAAGTTTCTAATGGATTTTCTTGCAAAGCAGTTTTAACATACAAAGTAGATAACTGTCTGATTTCACTGGGGGATGAAGAATCCGTGCAAATCCTTGTGAAGCCCAGAGCTCACATAAGCTCGAGCGACTTCTTTTAAAGTTTTGCCGTCGAGAAGTAGAATGAAACTGGACTGTCCTGGGTTGGAGTTGATGACTGATGTCAGGACCACACCTGCAGATGTAAAAAGAAGAGGTTATCCTCAGATTAAAAAAAGATGAAATACTTAAGAAATCATAGTTGAAGAATATGCTGTCAAGTTTAGCTGATAATCTCACCGTCATCCTCTGACTCTCCATTTGGTCTGGGGACGAACACAGGCTCTGATGGGAAGCAGTTGTCCTCACTCCATCTGAGTTTTTCTTTGGTTTCTGTGTCTATCTTCCCAACCTACATTTGACAAATCATTTGGTAAATGATTACTCATAACAAGGTTATTTAAACAAACATTACAAGTTCCTTGAATTGCATCTGATAACACCTCCACGAGGCTTGTGATAAGCATTGCACATAATCGAGGTTGTCCTGATTGCTTGATTATAAAAGATATCACAAAAGAGACATAAGGCTTTGGGTTGTGTTGTAACTTTACATAAAAATACATTTTGTATACACCAGCTGTCCAAGCTGAACTCTGTTCTTAGTTGTAAAACAGACAATTCAAGAGCAGTACATTAATGAACTTGCACTGACACCATTACAGTATTAACTGTGCAGACTTTAATCGAAGGGACAGGTTAGGATCACTGCCTGTTAGCTATAAGACAGAAAACACACATTAACCTTTAGGGTTTTATGTGAAATCTTTTCACTTTTTATTGGTGGATTTGATATTACTAAATTGTCAGTAAATGGAAAAAGGGAGCATCAAGAATTAGGTCATGACAATAAGACTGGAGTCTGGATAAAGGGGGCCTTAAGGTATAAAACACATCTCTCTGCACAGCTAGCAAAGCATGGTAGGGCTGCCAGTTCATCAAAAAGTTCAACTATGTCCAAAAGTCCAGCTAGAGTCATACCTTTGAAGTTGTAACTCTGTCATTATGTGCAGAAAAACTCTAAAGATATTTGAACTTATGAGCCAAGCACTTCCTGTACATGCCCCAGGCCTTATTGCAACGTTCAAGGTCCCATCTCTCCTGAGGGAGCATTGACTTCAACCATCAGCGCATGTGGCTTACTTTTTCCCTTTGATTTGCTCTGATGTTAATTCACTTGGGTTTAACGCACGTAAACTCGTCTCCACCAACCATTTGGATTCAAAGAAAACAGGAAGCTTCCTTTTGTTGTCGGGATTCAATGTCAAATGGGAATGAATAGAAAATATCAGATTGTCTTGACGAAATGATTTCCTTTTGCTCCTTCCTCTAAACAGGCATTTCATCTTTTCACTGCGGGTGTGCAGGAGGATACAGTGAAACTCTTTGAAGCCTCGCTGCTGAATTTACAGCTTCTCTCCATTGTTTGTGATGCCTTGATGCGAAGTGCACCCAAAGGAACGAACATTTGGATAAAGCAGAAAGAGTGATGGGGTCCTTGGTGTTTGCTTTTTTAATTCATTCTTCTAAAGACCGGTGATTCTTAGATCTCTAAACTACTTCCTACCTCTGTAAAAAAAAAAAAGGCTGCAGAGGACAAAGTGCGTCCTAACCTTGAATTTAACTTCTCTGTTCTTTTACAATCTGCAGATGTCATCTCTCTCCTGACACATTACACTGATGAGCCTGAGAAAGATGGGGATTATCTTTTCTTTCTTGCAAAATTAAAAAACAACAGAGGATGTTACCTCTCTTGACAGTGCAGAGTCCTCCACAAAACTCCCATAGATGTAGCGGTGCTTCTTGCCGTTGATGTCGTAATTCAATCTGGGCAATTCAAAGCCTGACAGAGATAAAATGATAGCGTTCAACAGGAGTGATACAAACCTGAATGTGTGGCACACCACTTGAGTGTTTTTGATTTTACCTTCACACAGCACTTCAGCCTGGCACATCAGTTTGCCTTCTTTCTCCTTCACGGCACTTGCTGATGTGTGTTTGAGCTTCACCAGGTCCTCTCCAACTGCAATGCCCTGCAAAACCCAGCCAAAAAGCACATTAGTGTTGTAGATACAGTAGGACTCACTCTCAAGGTGGAATAAAGCAAACTTTTTAAAAATAGCAAACCTTGTCTGAGCGGACAGGAAGGACAAATCGTTTGTATTTTGGCCTGGAGTAGCTATCATCCAGTTCGAGGTTCTCCCTCAGCTTGCTCAGGTAGAACATATTGTAAAGACTGTTGTCTTTGTAGGCGATGACGTCAAAGACAACATGACCATCTTCCTCATAAGCATTGACATGATGATAAACCACCATCGATCCAGTGTAGTACTTGGTCTCCACCTCTTTGCCCGTCTTTCTGTCTATCAGGTGGATCAGAGTCTGGGAGAGAAATCGAGATTTAGACAGAGAATTACTCAGGTTTGGAAAGATTTGGATAAAGCAGAGGCACCTTACATTTTCCTCTGGGCTGAATTTCAAACAGCTGGCCCAGTTGACTCCTCTCATGTATGCAGTGGCCATCTTGAGGATGTCCAGCTTTAGAGGCTGCTCGATGAAGATGAAGTAGTTTTCAGTGATGCCGAAGCTGTGGTAGTAGCTGGGCGTGAGCAGAGAGCGGCAGGGTAGTGTGCAGATGACCTCCACGTTCTTCAGTGCGGGAACGTTCTTGTTTTTATCTAAATTAAAAGTTAAGTAGCTGTAGTTATACAATGTTTTTCATCCCTTCATGAGATCTCTGGAAAATCAGTCACTAAGGTGCCAAAGCTCACAGTCTGCCTCCTTCAGAACAAAAAACACCCCACAGTTTTATCACATCTAAGGCTGACGGTTCAGATTTCACAGCTGAAACTTATTCAGACTTATTCTGTCTCCCTACAGACTTCCATATCATACCCAGATAAGCTGAGTTTAACCCCAGATTGTGAACTGCAGCATCTGTTTCCTTACAGACACGTACTTGAAGACATAAACCGTGACTCTGTATAGCTCTATGTAACAGATTTGATAAATCTTCAGCCTGTTATGGACTTTGACTTTAAAGAAATATTGCTGAAGTGTTTGACACTACTTGCCAGGATTCAACTTTTCACACTCTGAATGCTTCTCCTGTTCATCTCAGTTCTCCTTTTGTTTTGATAAATACCTCTATAAGATATCCTGAAAACTGTTCATATCATAGCTCAGATTACCATCATCATAATTGTACATATTTAAATATAAAAACTGCAAAAAAAAGAAATCAATCTTTAAGATAAAAAAAACATGAGAGCAGGTGTTAATCAAAGTCCATGGTGCGGATGGCAATCAAAGCTGGAGACGAAGTTAAAAATCCTTTATTTGGTAGGGATAGTGTATCTATCCCTATCAAAGGGATTCCCTATCAAATAAAGGATTTTTAACTTCGCCAGCTTTGATTGCCATCCGCACCATAGACCTTTTTTATGCAATCTTTAATTTAATTTTGTCACATAAAGACCACACAAATACTGAGATTTACACCCGGCTGCACTCTGCTGCACGTGACCACGTGAAGACTGAGCTGTTATCTTTTTTTTGCATAACACACATGCTGCATGTAAAATGACCGAATCTTCAGCAAAGTGCAGCTGATAGGAGACGAACGCGACAAGAGGTCAGGACAAACAGGAACATGTGAGGTGCAGATACCTGTCTGAGAGACAGCAGGGACTTTGAACAGGATGTATTTGGTCTTTCCTTTCTCAGCTATTGAAGTTCCCATGTTGTAGGTGTTACCCTCTTTGTCATAGTGTGGATGGGATGAAACCAGGTTCACAGGGAGGTACTTCATGTAGTCCACCTGGGGAACAACACAACAAGTCATGAGTTGGAATACTTTTTCTTTATGAGTAAGCAACAGGATCAGACAATGATGTTACCTTGTCCTGTGTTTCCAGGGTCACAGGATCAATCTTGCGGATGTAGTTGGTTTCAGAGGTGGCAAAAACGTCATTTCCATATCTAATAAAATTGCTCGCTCCGTTGTCAGTGAAGTCGGGCACTGTGTGGTTGAGAAAGGTGATCGCTCTGAAAAGAAATCAGACATTTTACAAAGTTGTATTTTTGAACATTTTTCATTGAACAGCTGAAAAGAGACAAATAAGGGGAGTGGAGAGTATGAGGGGGTCGAACCAGTGACAGTGAGACTAAAGCCTGTGTACATGTGTCATCAGCACATCAAAATAAGGCATTTTAAGATGTCATATGAAACTAGCACTGTGTCACATATGCCACAGATGGTATCAAGTGGATGCCCCTGCAGAATTGTGCAAAACTATAAACTCTGTGAAGATGCATTTAATAAAATGATAAAAACTCTGTCTGAAACACTTCAGAGTATACTCACTTAAAAATGAAATTCTTGCTTGGGTCTGGATATGCCATTGTGCCCATTTCAGACACAACAATCCTGTTCGAATCCATGTTGGCTTTGTAAGTGTCACTTCGCAGAAATCTGCTCCTGTGGGTCATCTCACCTGGAAGACAAACAGACAAATATTTAGAGCGCACTCTTCAAGAATCAGAGCTGCTTTGGTTAATGCAATACGAATTGGAAAACCAACCATCTTTAAAGGCAAAGCTGTGCATGATGGCCATGCCGTCAAAGAAGTGCTCATAGCTGGTGTCCCCCACAGAGAAGATGCCAGGGCCATTGCGCAGCAGGGTGCCCTGCAGCCAACTGGGAATAGTCCCTGAAAGAAGGAGGAAAACCACAAACGAAGTGATCCAATCAGTGCATTTATCTGCAGTTTCAAAGTATGAAACACTTACCTTTCACTTCTGCCTTCACAGGCTCAGGACTCTCCACTGCATTCTTCCCAAAGCTTGTTGCCATGTTTGCAGACAGGATACTGAGGAACATGCAGAGGTGTCTGAATAAATACTGCACCGTAGACCACTCCCTTTAAAGCCCTTGTCATTCTTAGAAGGGTTGGCAAAGGACGTATCAACTTATCTGTCTGGACTGTCGTATGAGGTGATTGCACCAAAATCTCGTGGCACATTTCAGAGAAAAGGATTCAACTTTGACTCTTATCTCCTGAGTCATCTGTTTATTGATACTCTTTTATAAGTTTCTTGTTTCTTTTATGATTTAATTTGTTCAAAACATAGCATCAATAATCATATGTTTTCCCCTATTTGGTTATATTTGGTGTTGCCAGTTTACAAAAAATGCTGAATAAAGAATAAAGCTATTGTTTAAGTGTTCACCTCTTCAGCCATAATTCCACAATCTGCAAAACACTTATATCAGCCACCATGAGTTTCTTAAAGGACTTATATTTCAATGTATTTGTTTGTGGTCAATATTGCAAAGAAAGGATTTTCTTGAAAATCCTTGTAACTAACCTTGTTAGTGGTAACTAAGCCCATAAAATAAGGGTGCAGTATGCTCACAAGTAGTTTGAGTGTAAAGGTGGTGTGATCTTTGACCCTAAATACGTTTCTTTATAACTCTTTATCAACCATATTATGATGTTTATAGCCTTATATCACAGCATAGCATGATACCCTACTTGCAGTTTATCAGTCATTGTCACATATTTTTTCATGTTGAATTATTAATTCTTGGAAAGAGAAACAAAATGACTTCCAGAGAGGTTAAGTAACACTTTTAACAGCTATCAGCTGCAGGGCTCTTATCTTTGACGGATTTTATGTGTCTGTCCATGTGTGTGTGTGAGTGTGTGTGTGTGTGTGAGGAAGAGAAAGGGAGAGTTGTGCGGTGGTCTGTTTATTTCCTAGAATAGAGGACTGGCTGTCCCGAAATGACCAGAGGTAAAATGCAGTCATTGATCTAGATATATGCTCCTTTCCATAGTGAAGTGTCCAAGCTACAAACATCACACCCTCAGTCTCTGATCATCATCTCTGGAGACTTTAATCATGCATCGCTGTCCTCCACTCTCCCTACCTTCAGCCAGTATGTAAACTGCCCAACAAGAGACAATAAAACTTTGGACTTGCTGTATGCAAACACCAAGGATGCATACACCTCCTCCCCCCTCCCCCCGCTGGGCCGCTCAGATCACAACCTGGTGAGACTGCAGCCCATTTACATACCTATGGTGAAGAAACAACCCCCCACCATCAGGTATGTTAAGAGGTGGTCTGAGGAGGTCACTGAGGCGCTGCAGGACTGTTTTGAGACCACAGACTGGGATGTACTGTGCGGCCCACATGGTGATGACATCGACACCACGACTGACTGCATCACGGACTATAATAACTTCTGTGTTGAGAACACCGTACCCACCAGGAAAGTACGGTGTTTCTCCAACAGTAAACCCTGGGTGACCCCGGAACTGAAAGTCCTCCTGAAGGAGAAGAGGAGGGTCTTTAAATCTGGGGACAAGGAGGAGCTGAGGAGGGTGTAGAAGGAGTTGAAGAAGAAGATCAGAGAGGGAAAGGCCAGCTACAAGACCAAGATGGAAAACCTTTTGCAACAGAACAACGCAAGGGAGGTCTGGAGAGGCCTGAAATGCATCTCAGGTCATAGCAGGGGCCATGAGAGGGGACCTGAAGCAGGAGACAGGGAGTGGGCCAACGAGCTGAATCTATTCTTCAATAGATTTGACTCTACTCCCACTCCTCACCCGACTCATCTAACCAGCGACCCGTCTGCTGCTCCTTCTTCTTATTCACACCACCTCAGTCCCAGGGCACCGACACCATCAACCCCCCTCCACTCATCCTCCACCACCCCCTCCAGCACCACCCCCAGCCTCTCCATAACAGCTGACCAGGTGAGAAGTGAGCTGAGGAAGATGAAGCCATGGAAAGCCACGGGTCCTGATGGCATCACCCCCAGACTCCTGAAAGACTGTGCAGACCAGCTCTGTGAGGTGCTACTGCACATCTTCAGCTTGAGCCTGAGTCTGGAGAGGGTCCCAACACTGTGGAAGACTTCCTGCGTGATTCCTGTCCCCAAGACAGCGCACCCCAGGGAGCCCAACCACTTCAGACCTGTGGCCCTCACCTCTCACCTGATGAAGACTCTGGAGAGGATCGTGCTGAGGAACCTCCGCCCCCTGGTGAGCTCTCATCTGGATCCTATGCAGTTTGCGTACCAGCCAAACATCGGGGTGGATGACGCAATCATCTACCTGCTGCAGAGGTCCATGGCTCACCTGGAGAACACTGGCAGCACTGTGAGGGTCATGTTTTTTGACTTCTCCAGTGCGTTCAACACCATCCAGCCTTCACTGCTCAGGGGGAAGCTCGAGCGGGCGGGAGTGGACTGTCACCTAGCCGCATGGACCGTGGACTACCTCACCGACAGACCACAGTTTGTGAGGCTTCAGAACTGTGTATCGGACATGGTGGTCTGCAGCACGGGGGCTCCACAGGGGACAGTGCTCTCCCCCTTCCTCTTCACCCTGTACACCTCAGACTTCAGCTACAACTCTGGGAGCTGTCACCTCCAGAAGTTCTCTGATGACACAGCCATCGTCGGATGTGTATCGTCAGGGGATGAGCGGGAATACAGGACTGTCATCACTGACTTTGTCAACTGGTGTGGCACAAACCACCTCCAGCTCAACGCCAGTAAGACAAAGGAGATGGTTGTGGATTTCCGCAGGAGGGGGACACCTCAAACAGTTCCAGTGAACATACAGGGTCTGGACATCGAGATGGTGGAGTCCTACAGATTCCTGGGTGTCCACCTCAACAACAAACTGGACTGGTCAACAAACACAGACGTTCTGTACAAGAAGGGCCAAAGTCGTCTCCACCTGCTGAGGAGACTGAGGTCCTTTGGAGTGTGCAGGACTCTGCTCAGGACTTTCTATGACTCTGTGGTAGCATCTGCACTTTTCTATGCAGTGGTCTGCTGGGGGGCAGGGAGCACTGAGAGGGACAGGAAGAGACTAAATAGACTGGTCAGGAGGGCCGGTTCTGTCCTGGACTGCTCTTTGGACTCCCTGGAGGAGGTGGGTGAGAGGAGGATGTTAACAAAGCTTGTATCCATCATGGACAATCCCTCTCACCCACTGCACCAGACTGTGGAGGCTTTAGGCAGCTCCTTCAGCAGCAGACTGAGACTCCCACCCTGCAGGACGGAGCGCTACCGCAGATCATTCCTCCCACTCTGCAATAAGACTTTACAATGAACAGTACCAAAACTGGATTTACACCACCACTTTTTTATGGCATTTAAATCGTGTATATTGTAGAAAGCTTTATTTTTTCTTCTCCCTTTTCTAATCTTTTTCTTAATTATTACATTTATTTAAGTTCTTAATATTAGGACCCTTATTGTTATAACTGCATTTTTGCACTTTTGTCTTGTCTGTGATGCTGCTGTGACAAAAAAATTTCCCCCATGGGGGATCAATAAAGGAATATTCTATTCTATTCTATTCTATTTCCTATCTTGATCCTCCTGCCATCCTCTCAAAGGTCATTTAGTTTTATGTGTGCACTGAGCTCAAGAACGACTGTTATTTAAGTTTCGCAGATTTATCCCATACACGCTGATGACGTCTTTGTACTCTTTTCATTGTTTGATGAAGGCACTTTCCTTCCTCTCACTCGCAAAATCATTTCAATGCAATATGTGACGCTTTTTATTCTGTTACTTCCCTGATGGACCTCTTGGGTTTGTTTGCATGCTCAGACAGCATCCAGGTAAAATTTCCAGCCCCGTTAATCATGTCTGCTATTGTGAAGAGATTTGAAATGGTTAAGAGCTGGGATAAATTTAACAGTAAGGTCCCTTTATAACCTTCAAAATTCAAAGGGAATATTAACAAAAAGATTTGAAATTCCACTACTTTAATTTCTAATGCCTGGGGGTGGTTGTCAGGTCAGGAAATTTACAGTTCAGTAAAGGATAGAGAAAAAAAAAAGATTAATTTTTACTTATTTACCAGAAAAAATTCACAATGAGTGATAAACAGCATTTTTCAGTTTATTTATTTATTTTATTTATTCATTTTTTTCGAACATGTGAGTGCAACACAAGAAAGTAAACCGAAAACAAACAAACAAACAAACAAAACCAATGAGAATATTCAAAAAACAATAACAATAATCAAAGCAAAAAAAATAAAAATGAAAATTACTACTAATAACAATGTGAACCCAACATGTTCCAAAAGGGGTAGGATGAAGCATTATGTTTTTTTAAACCTACCCCCTCTCCTCTACATAATAAACAGTCAGTCTCCAACATATTTACTGTTAAGGGAAAGCAAGTTGAGATATTTTTGCCAGAATGTGCAAAAGAAATTATCAAAAGATAAGATGTATTACTTTTTCCATAAGGGGCCAAAATCCATAGGCTCGTATAACATGAAGTACTCTTAAACTAACTCCCTATCTGAGTAGATAGCCAATCACATTCTGGTATTAACCTCTACAGCTTCTGGAGGGATCAATCAGATTTCTAATGGGGTCCGTGAACTCTCACACCACCCCTGGACACGCCCCTGCTTTCATACTCAAATCATGAACAACTTTTTTAATGAAATTTACAGAAACCATTGCCCCAAACTTGAATCACCACACAATGAGCGTCATATCTGTCCATGCCTGGTGGACTGTAGCTCTCAAAAATGAACAGTTGTATAACCTCAAGACAAGATAACCTTCTCACTTGTATCATGAAATCTTGTGCTATGCAATGCTTTTGTGGTTAATGCTAATCCATCCCTCATATTTCTTCCCTCTCTGTATTTTGTTGCACAGAGTCCTCATGGTCTTTATTTATTTATTTATATCTACATTTTATACTATATCTGTGACAGAACAGCTGGAGCGCTTGGTAGAAAATCATGTCCCCGCCCGCTCAACATTCACCAACTTGTTTCATAACAAGGGATGCTCCCAGTTTTATGGCTCCACCTGATGTTGGAGGTGAGCTATGCTTGTTTAGGACCAAGTGTAGCTCAGACTGTTGCTGTTATTGTCCGATCACTGTGAAAAATGACTTAGTCGTGAAATACTCCAAAATCAAATCAAATTTTGACTTAAAAAATGAGAAAATAAAACTTTTAGAATAAAAATTTGATCCCATAGTTGTAGTAAAGTACTTTAAAAATTGATAACATGAAACTCACAGACATTGTCCTTCAACCAGAAACCACAGGTTCAGTCACTGTGAGCGTCGAACAAATCTGATAATGTTTCTACACTTTGAACCCTCCAGGGAGTCGGACAGATGACTTCATGATTTTCTTTCACGGGAAATTTCAGGAGACTGTCTTTTTGAAGCTTTGGTTAAAAAGTCTAGAGAAAAAGGTAAGTGAACACACCAGGTACTAAAGAGCACAAGAATAAAGTTGTGTTTCTGTACATTCTCCATACATCTGACTTTAAATCAGCAATGTGAATAGTTCTTAAGTCAAAAATGATCATTTGACACAAGTTAAACTACTTTGTCAAGAGTTACACAAAGTTAAAAAAGTTGAATTGCAATCTTTTGTGAACTGTGATTACCTATTTCAACAGAGGTCACTGAGTTTGCATCCAACTATAAAAAAAATTTGACTATCTTTGTTTTTATGGGTATATGTTTATTATTTACTGGTTTGATAGTGATCCTGATAACAAAAAAAAAATCTTTGATGCCTCTACGTGTTTGTCTTATTTTCTTAATCTTTCTGCCAAGTTTTATCTCCCTTTATTACCCTGTACCTTGCCATCCTGGTGATCTAATCCTCATTATTGGAGCGAACAGCTTTTAACGCTGACTTCCTTTTATCAAAGAAAATTCAATCTTCGGCTGAGTGCTTACACTCCATTTAATCCTTTCAAGGAAGCAGACTGGTGTGTAACACTGGTTTTCAAATGAATAAAAGCAAAGCCTGACAGAGAGGTTTTAGTGGATTGCCTTTCAGTCCTAATACCCTGTAATTGCTGAGTTTGCCCTGGAGGGCCAGAGATAATCATAATATATAGTAACATTGCCCTCTAGTGGCTCATTTAAGATGTATCACTTTGACTTTTTTATAGTGGGTTACTTCCAACAAAATAAATCCATCTTTACTCAGGGTTTTCTGAGTTAAGCACTTTATATAACTTCAGTTTTTATATGAGGTGGTTGTGAAGGTTTATTGTTTAAACAGCGAGAGAAATACTCATGATCTCTCAACATTTAAAGGGAGAAAGGTGCTACAGTCAAAACAGCTTTTCTTTTACTCACTGAATTCAACCATTTGTTTGTCAGCTGCCTCTTCACATCTTTTTGCTGTACATCTAAATCCAATTTTATTTTTTCATGCTCCACAGACATTTTTTTTTTCCTTTTTGTTGTTTTCAGTCACCATAAAGCCATCTGTACTGCATTTAAATCGCATGAAAGATGCGGTATTAAGTTTAAGTGAAGTTTGACTCATTGTTGAAGAGTGTAGCGGCTCTCTTGTGAGAGGAACAGAGGATAATGTGAAGTTCAGATTCAAACAAGAGAAGATTTCACACTTTTTTCTGCCTGTTCAAAGAAGTTTTTCCTGTAACTTGTTAAATGCTGCATAGTACGAGTGTTACACTCATGGTGGCAAAAGATTTGATCGGAGTGGATCTGATCTTACAAGATGGGACTCAGTTTTTCCCCAATCTTGTTGCAGGGGATTTGTAAATATAATTGAAGAATATGGTGTGGATTGGCTCTTTTTGTAAAATTGGTGCTATTTAAATAAAGATTGATTGACATGCACCAAACTTACCAAATGAGCAGGGAATTATCAATCTTTTTTTTTTATATAGCACCAAATCACAACAGTCGTTATCCCAAGACGCTTTCTTAAAATGAGTAGTTCCAGACCACGCTCATTGTTTGATAAATTACCAAGACCCAACCTGAAGATGTGACAGATTTGACTCATCTCATCTTACATGAGTGACAGTGGCGAGGAAAAACTTCCTTTTAACAGGCAGAAACCATAGACTGTATATACTCTATATACAGTCTTTTATATACAGTCTATGGCAGGAACCTTGGGGAGGACCAGACTCATGTTAGACAGCCACCTCGCCGCTGCTGAATTAGTCCCTATTAGTACAGCTCCATCTATGAGATATTAATTCCCTTCCTTGAAAGTTTATTCGCAAACAGACAAACAACCCAAATAAAACACATAACATTGGTTAATTTGATATTTATTGTAAAGAACAAAAAAATGTGAATGACAAATATTTTCTCTTCTCCAATACATTCATAGAATGTCACTAAACACTCCCGCCCTCCTCCATACAACATTCAGAACAGAAACACCAGCTGACCTGCTGACAGCAGCACCATGCTCTCCGCACTACCATAGCATCTGCTTTGTTTTATGTCTACATCTGCTGGATTAATAAATTAAAGACAATGGTAGGCATATAATGCAAGACGCTAATAGGATTAATGTTTATTTGCACTGCCCAGGTTGTTATGAGCTGTGCAGATTAGTATTCAAGTATTCCCTTACTTATTATTTCTGTGCTGGATATTATACTAAATATCTGCTCAATGATGTTCTCATCACATCATCATCATCATCATCATCTGTGGATTACATTGTGTGGCACAGTACAAGAATAACGTTTAAGTAAAACATTATGTACATGTACTAAGAAAATAAAACAACGGAGAAAATTTGTTTTGCAAAAATGTATATGCTATTTTGTTTACAGTGCAATCCCCATGCAATACCACATGCAGTTATAGAGGGTGCATGAAGAAGAAGAAGACCATACTGACCATGCATACAGAGCCACTCCTGATTCTAGCAGAGGCTGCCCACTGTCCTGAAATGGTTGCATGATTTCCATTTAATTCAGGTGAAATATTAACAAGCACTACACTCTGGCTCTGCTCTAAGGGGTGAGATAGTGATTTTTCGATGTAATGTAGGTGACAACAACACATTATCAGTTGTCAAGTGCACCCTGTTCCTAGCACGCTGTTTGGCTTTCAAACTGTTTATCCACACCAAACTAAAATTACTCTTATCATACAGTCAGTGACTAATCACAAAGTGCAGAATGGTTATGTGAACAGAGTTGATGTCAACCATGAAATCATGGCTGCAAGTTGGCACTGTTGTACGAAAATGCTCATAGAGTTGAGAAAAACAAAACTTCATCTTCATGGAGTAGTAACGGCCTAAGCACTGGCACAAATACATTAAATCTTTGAAATTTCAAAACCATAGCATAACAAAACCACTAGAAAAACCAGCCTCAAAAAGCCTCCTGGCTTTTCATCTGGAACTGATCTACTACAGAGGCCAAACAATTACTTTAGACAGGCATCAAACATGGAAAACACACACTTAAAATCACCGAAAAATACACATTTTCAGTGTCGTGAGGAGTTGGATGCGACAGAAATATCCACTGTGCAATCATAAGTTGTTCTTTTTCAAAATAAAGGCAACAAAATTAAATGCTGGACAAAGCAAGGCGTGCTTCAAAAAAAACTAACAATCCCTGTTTCTGTTTCACAAAACATTTGACACAAGCTTTTGCTGTACAGCTCATAAAAAGATACATTTACAATTAAAATTCAAGTACATGTCTCATAAATCATCCATGATTTGTAACTTTTAATCTGAAAAAAAGTAAAACATTTGAAAAAAAAACTGTTCCTGTTTTCAATCTGCTTTATCAGAAGGATGAAGTTTAAGAAATGATCGAGCGAGTGACGCCCCCCACCGTTCTTGTGTCTATCCTAAGAACCAACATGGGAGTGTATATCGTGTTTAACAGCTGGTTAAAAATCATAGCATGAGGCAGGAGCTATTTGTATCACAATAAATTACAAAATGACTCTGTCGGACACCATCTGAGACACTGGTCGCTGTGATCGTGTGATTTCACACTAAATCAGTCAGTCACTTTTCAAATTCATGGTGAAACTTTGTACTGAACTCAACTTGTCAGCTTAACTTCATGGAAAAAAGTAGCATGCAGCATGTTCCCAGACATCCCACTGGGTGAAATTTAAACATTTATGCCACTGATCTTATAAATAAAAAGTGATAATGATTACATAACCTTTTCAACACCTGAAACTTGACAAATAAGGTCAGAATCTTCTTAAAATATCTCACCAGCACCTTAAAGCATCTTCTCTTTTCAGTACTCTGATTTCTTTCTAAACTCCCTAACATTGCACTGTGAAATAAATATGGTGCAGGATCCTACCACACAGTGTCAGCAACATAGTCCTGTGAATGTTAAGTGATATTTAAGAAATCTGATGTCAGATAAAAGTTTGATATTTCTTTAAGGAAAAATAATATTCTTGAAATGAGAAAAATCAGTGTACAAACAAAGCTTTGACATTCAGTTTCCCTTTGAGCATCAGTCCTCTTTCAGATAAAACAATTATCTTTAATGGCATCTTTAAAATTTATTCGCCTCGTCCCAAACAAGACAAAAGAAACAGAGTACACAGTGAGAGGATCCCTGGTCCATCCCACACAATTTAAATCCCCAAATTTAAAGGGGAACGACACCATATTCTGGTGCTCTACTTTAAAGGCTGGCGTTTTAAGCGTGGGTGAGTGACAGTGGGTGAGTGATGAGCTGATTTATCCACGCTTATTCTGATGTAAATCCATATTATGTCAGTCAAATCCCTGCAAATTGAGCTAACTGCAAACTCTCCGTGAGATTAAAAGAGGAAAAAAAAAGATGCTTCATACTTCGGCAAAACAAGCGTCTAATGATTTTATGGCACTAACCACAATAGAGAAATCAGTGAGTGTTTTCCAGGATCCCTCATATCTTAACTTTGACAGCATGAACTCATATATCATCATTTCATCTCTGGGACTAAATTGCAGTGATTTTAGAAAAAGTCTCTTGTTGAGCACGTATTTAAAGAGTAAACTTTTTGACAATTTGTGGGAGGGCTAACAGTCCATTGTCCCAGGACGACCTTTTTGTGTAGTGGTAAATTGTTCAAGGGAGATAATCAGCCATGCACACGGAGTATTGCTAAGAGGTCATTTCATGGCTTCGGGATGGCCAGTTGAGTTAAGCGGTCCATCTTTGCGCAGGTTTTCCAAAATAAATCGGTTCCTCTTGTATCACATGTCCTAGGAGTGACATGCAGGTGTCCAAGCTGCTGCCCACCAGTGCACTGACAGTGACGTCATTCTGTCTGCTTCCTCCGCAGAGACACCCTGGTTCCCTTAATCCATCTTCCCGTTCTCCTGAGGTGCGCCCGGTTTGCTCTGATGTGCCGACCGCAGCACCTTATAGCAACCGCGGGCGATCTTATGCATCCACATGATATTCATGATGTCCAAGCAGATACTGGAGCAGATCCAGGCTACACGGCCACCCCAGGGCACCAGATAGAAGGCCTCAGTGCCATAGACTGCATACATACGAGTGTAGTAGACCGGCATGACTGCGATGCGGACCAGAAAAAAGACCACGGCCATGGCAACGCCGTTCGCCATATTGGGCCGGGAGGACTTGGGATAACCAAGTACCTCAAAGAACCAGCTGAAACACAACACAAAATCAGGAAAGTTGTTTCTACCGTGAAAAAAACTGTAAACACGACAACAATAGACAATTTAAAGTAAATCTTTTAAGACAGTGTGTGTAGACATGGGGATATTTTGGATCTGGATTTTATCTCTTCTTTGCTCGCCCTTTTCGTCAGTAAGACAATGGCGATGTATGAGAACAAGAAGCTCTATTTGTCAAATTTTAGCTGTCAAAATGATACATTGAACAAAATACACCAATTTAAAAATACTAATAAATATACCCAATTACCATTTCTACCAAGTCTGTTTAGCTAAATATTGCCCTCTGCATCTTTAATTCAAATACTTTGGATTAAGAAAACCCTCCTATAATGAGGTTAACACTAGGGATGCATTGATTCGATATTTGGATCAGATATCGGCTCCGATATTGACAAATTAACTGGATGGGAATTCGGATGAATGATGCCAATACAGTGTTCCAATCCAGTCTTTTTTTTCTTTTAATTAATTTTTTTTTTTCAATATATGGGAGTCTTACTTCTTTTTGCTGTGTGCTAATGTGCAATTTGTTATTAGTGAATAAATAATATTAAGTAAATTTATATCTGTGTTAATTTGTTACCTTTTTTATTAACAAACCTGATGCCTTCACTCACAGGGTAAGGTATACAGTTCATTCATTCAACAGCAGTATTGGATTGGTATCAGATATCGGCCGATACGCTCAGCCCAGGTATCGGTATCAGACTGGATTGGAAAAAAATGGATCGGTGCATCTCTAGTTAACACCAAAAGAACATGCAACATGCAGTGGATTATACTTGTGTTATTTAAAACTCTAACAATAAACCACTGACGTAATCTTTAGGAGAGCTGAAATTTGATCCTGGATTAAAAGGACCTAAACCTGAGGTAATTCATAAGCAAGTACGTACCGCTGGTTTACACATGGTGTAGAAAACTCAGCTAGGAGACGGAAGTTAGCAAAATAAGGCAACATTCCTTGGCCCTGGAAGAACAAGGTGAGAATAGGAGAACGAAAAAACATGAAAGGGACAAGAGGAAGACACCAATTCATTTCATCCAGAAGGTAGCACACCACCCACTCATCAATATTACAAATTCAGATGGGTCCGTCTTCACTTCCAAGGCATCATCACACACAACTATATGATATTTTAATTAATGCTTTACAGTGAGGGGAAAAAGGTTTAAAATTAGATGAGGTCTGCACCAAATATAGAGCTCTTTGTCAGATCTAACAAGAGAGGCTCTCCTTCAGAGCTCACAATTACTCCTTCAAGCAGTGCGGGCCAGAATTAGACTGATATCTAAATTGATTCTTAATGATGGTTTCTACTCAATCATTTGGAGCAGAAAGTCATTTTTGCTATGGAGCAGGTGGAGAGAAGTGGGGATTTTATAAATGACGGATTGGCAAAAATAATCGACAATGGTGGTATTTGTTTCTCATCCACCATTCAATCACAGTGAAGCAATCAAATACATCGATATGTTGACCACTTTCAATCATTTAGATTCTCCAGTGTTTTTCCTCTGTGAAATGGCTCATCCCCTCAGGATATGAAAATTCAACACATTAAAGGGATATTCCGGTGTAAAATTAATTCAGGGTCAAACACACAGTAACACAGAGTTAGACACCCCGTCGAGAGATGAATGTTGCAGACTGCTTGCTTCTCTAGTTATACCAACTTTAGTAACGACCGCACGATAGCAATACACTGCAGTCTCAAAGCCACAGACAAACCTCAACCAAAACACCACTCTGTAGACACAAATAATGCTCAGAACAACACCTAACTTCATCAACAGTATATATATATAAGGTCCTAGTCATAGCACTAGCCACCAAACATCTTTTTTAGCTTTGTCTAATTTCTTTAGCAAAGAGACTAAACACAACTATGAAGCATCTTCTGCCTTAGCGTCTCGGTCTGATTGCATTTCCATGAAGAAATGATCATAAATGTTCCTCCTTGAGCTGTATCCCCACGCTGCAGTCCCTAACAGACTGGCCCGAGGTCTCGCAACAGACAAGCGGCTGCTGGAAGAGAGGGGGGGAGTTGTGTTTAGTCTCTTTGTTAAAGAAATTAGGCAAAGCTAAAAAGATGTTTGGTGGCTAGTACTATGGCTAGGACCCTATATGTACTGTTGATGAAGTTAGGTGCTGTTCTGAGCATTATTTGTGGCTATAGAGTGGCGTTTTGGTTGAGGTTTGTGTATGGCTCCTCAGACTGCTGTGTATTGCTATTGAGCGGTCGTTACTAAAGTTGGTATAACTAGAGAAGCAAGCGGTCGGTAACATTCATCTCTTGAGGGGGTGTCTAGCTCGGTATTACATGTGTTTGACCCTAAATTAATTTTATGCCAGAATATCCCTTTAAGGACTGATCCTCTGGAGAGTGTGGATTTTGGCATAATAATGAATAAACTGGAGAGTTGTTATGCATGTCAGGTTAAAGAGTAATACAACCAGATTTATTTTCTCTTATTTGGTGAAAGAGTTCACTTTTTTCTGAATGTATGAAGCATCGATACATCAAATAAAAAAAAAATCAATAAATTAAAACTGCTTGATGATTTACCGCCTGAAAAAACGCCACACAAAAAAGAGGCGACCAGCAAAAATGCTCAAAACAATGAAGCATTTTTGCAAACAGAGCTCGCTTACTCACCAAAATATGCCGAGTTATACTAACAGTTTAAACCATGGAAGAAAACCACACTGCAAGTACCACGCATTACATTACACTGCAACACGACAAAAGTATTGAGCAAATATGACACAGTACGGGCTTTAATACAAGTACTTAACACTCTTATATACTGTACATTCAGCCAGCAGTTTAAAGGGACATTCAAAAGCCATGCAGAGTCAGAAGCGCTACTAGCAAAATATGTCAATGTTTGGCAGATCAGGGCCTGAATCCACTTCATGCTAGGTTTGAGATCACCTTCAACAAGATTTGAAAGAAATCTCTTTAAGTGTCTGGTCAGGATTTTCAGACCAGACAGCAGGTTTTGATAAGATAAGACAAGCTACTATCTGAAATTTCACTCAGTGCTTGATTACGTGAAGATGATCTCAGATTTTTTCAGGACACCCCGTCTTAACATTGCCGTAACTTGATATCTAAAGCACTCAGGACTTAAATGATGGTGTAGGAAAAGAGCCATTAGACAAATACATTTGAATTAAGTGTCCTCACAGTGAAGGTGCACCATAGAGACTGAGCGCTGTGATTTCATTGTTTGAATATGTGACGCATGGTTAAGTTGTGCACAATTTCAGGTTATAAATCTAAAAATTCAAGTAAAAAAATCACAGTATTCAGTTTCATTCAAATCTGCACAAAGAACAAATAATTCAGTACTATTTGGCCAGCAGCACGACTTTTAATTCATTTAGAAGAAAACTTACCGTCAGCGCTGAAACAAAAGCTTTTCATTGAGACATACTTACTATATGACACAAACTGGGTACACCTGCATCGCAGTTTTTGTACCAAATGACCCCTAGCATTGGCATGCTAGTACATCTAGGAACTGGTAAGTCCATACTGTGACTGGGCATCATATCTGCTCAGTGCAACACAACAGCAATAGCAGCAGACAAGACAGGAATAAAGAAGTCCCCATCTAGATCAAGACCTGTTCTGGGTTTCTCAATGACACACAACCCTTTTTGGTAGTTTTTGCATGAACGGGGGATGAGTCAACCGACTTGATGTTGGTAGTTTTTGCATGTAGGGTTTGAAGAGGGGCTATTTATGTTAAAGTCAGCAGAGGACACAGAGACAGACAGACAGATATATTAGAAGAAGAAAATTAAGAAAAGATGCCACCACAGTTGGAAGCAAATAAGAAGCGACACTTAGAAAACCAAGAAGAGAGCATGCATTTACATATTTACATATTTGCTATCGTTATTTTGATTATTTAACTGATATGCCAAACACATATGACAGAGAGAAACTTCTGACTGATCCACTGATAATCAAACCATACAAAGAAGCCACTTGTACTTTTAAATAAAGGTTATTCGAACTTAAAAAGTACATTACTTAACTATGCCTTAATTTGGCTGAGTGCCTCTGGATTCAAAATTTGTGTCATTTGGAGTATTTGACATGAATACCTCCACATAAACACACCAAACACACTCACTAATAGACTTTAACAACATATGACAAATCTGACAGGGCACAAAATTCAAATAAAAGTCACATCAAAGATTTTTAATTAAATTCAATACGACTGAAATAAGGTGGGTTGCTTTTGTTTAGTTTGGTAAAATCCTGTCTGTTATCCAAAATGAGTTCGAAATGCGGTTTAAAGGGGAACCGTCATGAGTGTCCAGTAACAGTATGGCCTACTTCATTGAGGATTAAAATACAGGTGCTTGCTCTTTTTCTCCAAACGAAGGCTGGATTTACAGTCTGAAAATAAATCTATTCCCTTTAAAATAATTCTCTTTAAAACTTAAGTGACAAAAAAGCTGCATGTGCGATATTTACACATCTGTAAATCCAGTCCGTGATAGAAAAGCAGAGAAGGGAAGGGTGTGAGTCTAGAGTTTATTCACATTTTTTCCACTTTTCTCCAAGACTTGCAAAAGGAAACTTAAAACTCGAAGCACAGTACTTAAGCGTTGTGAAACTTCTTTAAAAATGGAGATTGGAGGCAGAGCAATGTACACTGTAAGGTCTTCTGTATAAAATATACGTCCTGAACTGTAAACTGAATATAAAAGAAAAGACTGGCTTTCAAAATAATTATTAGGAATAACATAATAACTGTATTGAGCTTGTAGGGTACACCTGCAAGGATACATTCAACATGGTATAAGAAAAGGGGGCGGGGTTTGAGGATGCTCATTATCATATAGGGGTAGCATCATTTGAGTGGCTTGAGTGGGAATCAGTTTTCCTTCATTGGGGAGACGCAGGAGGAGCGTAAGAGAGAGAAAGAAGAGGCAGAACTAGGCTCTGGCACAAAGTCAGACAGGTGAAATGTACTGTAGATAGGGAGGTCAGTAATTAAGATAGTTAGATACTGTTTGTTGGCATGCACGGTAAGAAGAAAGGAACCCTGTCTGAGTAGAAGGCTTCAAAACTGCCAGCATGCACACAGTGGTTACAGTTCGGCATTCAGCTGCGCTAAGCTCAGAAGAGTTCAGCTTACGTCAGATTCACACAACAGTAAAAGGGGAGGGGGCGGTAAAACAAACAGAAAGCACAGAGATTGTAAGGGCAAGGTGAGAGAGGGGAAGGGGGGGAGTCATCAGCCAGTACCATCATTGAGCATTCCATGCAAAAAATACCATAGTCATTCATTTCATAGGAGTTATTCACAGATCCTGACCACCTCGAGGGTTTCAGATGAAACCAAGAGTGAACAGCACTGCCCATTAACGCTGAGTAGCTACACCAGACTATCACCAGACATGAAGGTTAGATAGCGAACACCAATGCGTCATGGCTTTGCACACAAGTTGAGTAACAAATAGAATCAGTTCACGGCCAAAGCTAATATTGGGTCGACCAAGAATGGATTTGCACTTCTTGCTAAATGTTTTGATGATCTTTGGTAAGAGGGCAGCTTGTATCACGGCTAAACCTGAGCAAAAACACTTACACTAATAATCTCTTTAAAAATGTGTCATTTTCAGGAAAGCTTAAATTACGACCAAAACCGTCACATCTTGAGACTTCCAAAAAACTGGGAGTAAAAACAAACTCTTGTTCCCTTTCACTGACAAAAATAAAGCTGTTTTCACTCTTATTTACAAACTTTTACATAACTTACTTTGACTCTTTTTCTTCACTTAACTGCAGAAAGAAGTAAAACTTCCATGATCCACCTCCTCTTTCTCAGTTGTCCTTTTATATTTAAACATCACTTCCCCCTACACTGACTTTCCCTTTTCAGCAAACTGTCGAGCTGCACGGGGGACAGTCATGGGCGCTCGCTAAATGGGGGCTACATTAACACGCCCAGCTTGACAGGACACAGCTGTTCATCCTTGGTTGTCTCTTTCCCATCTTGCCTGCATGTTCTGCTATTGGACAATAGGGCACTCACCAGTACATAGTAGTAAGCATACAATGCTGCCAGATGGTGAACTACAAAAAACTTGTCGCCTATCGCCTTCCAATAGTAAAATATTAGCAGCAGATCTGGAAAACAAGAGTACATGGGACAAAGAGATCATTTTTATTGGTGAAATCAGATCCTGACTTCAAATGCTTCCTTTTATTGTGTTTATGCCTGAAGACATATCATCTCATTACCTGTGTAAACTCTATTTCACTCTTACCAGATATGAGGTAGCCTGTTGTGATGGCAACATTAGTCTTCACCAATGTAGGATCTCCCCTGTTGAAGACAAAAACAGTGTGTTTGACTGGGTTTGTGACATCCCTTCAATAAGTATCTCTTTCTGTTATACTGACAAGCGCAGCTAAATGAAAACTATCGCTGTGTCCTAATTCAGGTGCTGCAGCTTTCCAAGGCCACATTTGAAGATGCATCACAGCAGCACGTCGAAGGCTGTCCCAATTCGGAGGCTCCCCCAAATGCAGCTGACAGATTTGTCCTACTTTTCCTGGGCCGTGAAGGCTGCATCAGGTGCATCCTTCACGGCCCCACTTATCCTCTGATTCTTTGAGCGCTTATACAATCGAGACAGCTCTCAAACTGCAGACTAATACACTGTCAAATAAGAGTATTTGGTTTCATCTCACTGTGCAAATGAGCTGCCCAATGATGTCCCTGGATTAGGACATTGGCCATAAATTGCTAAACGAAAGCTAAAACTACACATCAATAATTCTTGTTCATATTTTCAGACAAATCTTACTCCTTTACTCCGGTTTTAACCTCTCACAAGACGACAGAGTTGGTCGTGTAATGCTTATGTTTCCAGCAGGCTTCGGATATAATCCCTTTGTTATCCTATCAAAGGTCAACTTAATGCCAACACTTACAGCTTGTTTTTAAGTTGGAAAACACACGACTTGATCCATTCTTTACATTTTTTCCCTTGTATTGTAGATGTTGTGAAAGAAACAACCACAAAGTGTTTATTTCCACCTCAGAAAACATTAAAATAAAAGCTGCTCGGTCTTACAACCACAAAAAAGATCATTGCCCAGAGATGGAAGGTCCCACACGCTTTGTCCTATGGCAAATGGGCATGTTCAATTGTAGACATGGCAAATCTTGAAATGTGTTTAGCATGCATCCATGGGGCAAAGGAAGAGAATGTTATTTTCTGGTCCAAGTTTGTACATGCAGTACATGTAAACGCAATCTCTGCAGTTTCAATTGAATAGGAGGGTGACCTGTAAGGGTAGGGGGCAGGTAAGGGAGTTATATACTTGGATGTCTGTATAAATTGAATTAATGTTTGGTTTTGTTACTTTTCTTATAAGCTCTTTTTTTTTTTTTATTCTTTTAATATTGCTTGTATATTCATATGTCTGTCTGTTTTTACCTCCGCCAAGGAGGTTATGTTTTCGGTAGCGTTTGTTTGTTTGTTTGTTTGTTTGTTTGTCGGTTAGCAACTTTACAGAGAAAGTAACACATGGATTGACCTGAAATTTCCACCAGAGGTGCGTCTCAGCCCCAGGAGGATCCCATTAAATTTTGGTGGTGATCCGGACAAAATTCTGGATACGGTGATCCAGAACACACAAAAATAAGGGTGTCGTTGGAATTTTCAATGCTGAAAGATAACCTATGGGCAGCACAGTGGTGTAGAGGTTAGCCTTGAAGGTCCTGGATTCTAATCCCGGTCAGGGCATTTCTTGTTTAAGGGGAGACATAAGCTGTTTGGCGGAGGTCTGCGCTCTCCAAGTGCGTTTCTTGTTTGTTTGTTTTTTTGTCCTGTCATGTGTATTTTCATTATATCTGTGTTTATTTGTTGTTCTACTAGAATGAAATGTAAAAATTCAATAAAAATTTGAACACAAAAAAAAAAAGAAAATAAAAGCTGCAATTTGGTCTAAAATGGCAGGGAGTGAAAAAAGTGAGTGTTTTAAAGTTAATCGGGTTCACAGGCAAACACTTACCAAACTGGGTCTTCATTGACGGCATCATCAAACATCAAAATGTGGAGACAGAAGATTCCCACCAACAGTGCATGAAACGTCGACACTGTCCTGAAACGAAAACCAAAACACACACATTCACACACACGCAGCTATGAGGATCTTCCCCTGTCAGACTTGAGTGAAATTTTCCGCTCAACAAACTCTTCAAAAGGAGCAGCGAATATCTATTTTAATTCATAAAAGTGCCTGGAGCTCCTCCGTAGTTTAGAGTGCTGAAGTTTTAGCACTCAAAGTGAATCAACTGATTGCCTGTCAGGGCCGCACACAGATTCAGACCAATTAGACTAAAAGATTAAACACCGCTGAAGGGTCAGGCAGAGCAGCACACAGTCCCAGTCAGTCATTAAGGCGGTGAGACAGCCCTTAGCATCCATCAGTGAGACAGAATGACAGCAACACTGGCTGGAAGACTCTTAAATTAGGATCTGCAATGTCATGAGCGTTAACAGGGATCCCCGATAGCCCGGATCTGTCTCCACTTCACATCTTACTTTCATCTGCTTGTAAACTGTGTGACCATTTGAATTTCACATGCTCTCTCATCACTAATAATCTCACTTATGTGACTAAATGAGAACGAGTGACTCAGGCAAGTCGAGGCCATGCAGGCTGGATCCTATGAAGGGTCTTAAATCGACAGTGAAGCTTTCGCTGCTCTGATATTGTTTTTAGATCACAGCTGCCTCTCCATCTTTTTAATCCGCTCTACTTGCTCGAGTCACTTACAGCATGCTCTGGAAGAAGTAAACAGATAAAACAGCAGCATGGCACTTGACTGTTTGCTGATCAAATAATTCAGTCATCACTGTGAGCACCGCGCCCCTTAAGCATTTCTGCTTGTCGCTCCTTTTTCGAGAAGATAAAATAGTTTGAGTTATTAAAAGCAACAGGGTTAAACTGACTGTTAAAGTGAGATTAAAGCCTGTTTTGGATTATTTCATGCTTTGTGTTTGCGGGGTGTGGCGGCACTGCTTAATGCGGTACAAAAGTAAACCACAATGTCTCTTGTGATCCCCTGCATTGTCAGACTGAATGCACTTTTACTGTTATTGTGGGAGGTTCAGGTTGAAACAGGATGTGTTTGTTTTAAACGCGTCTGACATTAACAATAGAGGCCAGTTTCTTCTATTTACTTTCATTTTTACTTCAAACCTTATCTAATTGTCGCAGACCAACTCTAAAACTGTGTCAGGATCCGTGTGTGTGGTGCATTTTATCACTTTTTGCCCAAATCAGCTAAAAATGTTTTTTAAAAAGGCTTTTGACAAAAAGAAAATTAAATTAATACCTTCTTTGAAAAGTTATGACATGGAGATCTGAAGGATTACAACTTAAAAGTGGGGATTTGAATAATACGAGTATTTCTGCTGCTCGTGCTGCAGGTACTTAAGATGTCAGGAGTGAAATCAGTGAGTAAGTGAGTTTAAACTCAACAGAAGAGAAAGCAACAGGCAGGGACAAAATAAGGTGTTTTTTTTGTGCCGAAGAATCTGCAAAATCAAGTACTCGGAGATACATTTAATATAATTTGGATGGGATGCACAGCCAAAGGAAAGCTAAGAGGACAGCACCTTGAAGCAGGTCTGAGGAGCAAACATTGCCAAAAACAGTGCATCCTACAAGTGAGTCAGAAACTATGTCACAGGAAATGTGTGGGCTGGCTGTGTAGGGCAAATCTTCCTACCAAGCTGGAACAAAACCCATCCGCAGGCCAATATCTGATCTGAGCGCTGAGCTACACTCTGGGTTATACATAGCGTGTAAACAGAGAGGCTTCGCAGGGTTCATTTCAGGTCACCTTGAGTTCCACTCCACCTTCTGCTTGTCACTGAGGCTGAGGAAGCCCGGGCTGACGCGCGTGGACATCCAGGGGCTGACTTTGTGGAAGAGCCACTGGAAGGTGAAGAAACTGGTCACCGAGATGGTGAGGATAAGCTGGCTGAATGGGTCCATGGCCACCCAACCCCACTGTAGAGAAGAGGGAGAGAGAGAAGGTTAAAGTCAGAGAGGAAACTGGACTCACAAGTTTATCAAATGTCAAAACTATGAGAAGCAATCGGGGACTCTTGTTTTTGCTTGACAATTTTAGGTCAGCTAAATAAAGCAGCTGGAGTAATTTGTGACCTTTGGCGACAATTACAGTGAGTCAGAGAAATCATACCTGGCAGAAGGGGCCCAGTAAATTTTTAACTAGAACTGCGTAGGAGCTGCCAATGGCCTGAACCAGAAAAGGTGTAATAAACCTTGTGGGCAAAGTGTGGATATAAAAAAAAAAGAAACTCCAAAGATAGTTTTTGACTAAAGCTCATCGTCAGCTCTTCTCCTCGACCGACATGGAGCGAGAAGAAGCTCTGCTCAGACCTGGCGTTCTCACTGAAAATGTACTTGCCTAGATTTGACTTTAACAGGATTTTTTATGCAATCAAAATGACGCAAAATTGTGCAATAAGATATTCAGTACAAAAAGGAACTGAAATTATAACAATAAAAAGCAAAGACTTGAACAAGCTGAACATCCTAAACCATGTGCATTGGTGATCTGACCACTGGATCTATCCCCAATAACCGAACAATCATACTCTGAATGCTCTTTATATGACAGTAAAGGTCCAGAATGAGCTTTTCTAAATGCACCTACGTCACTGACAGAGAAACCACTTGAGATGCCCTTAAGAATCGCACTGAGCTTTTCGCATTAAGTCTGTTTTGGCTGTGACAGCCCCTTTGGTAATGGGACAAATCAACTGAACTTTAAAAGGCATATTTACGTCTTCCATCAAGTAGAACAGAGTATCTCCCGAGAGAGACACACAAAACCACACACCTCCCTCCCCGGGGCTCCAGCCCTGGTGCTTTTATGCACGCTTTTGTTCCTGCGTTACGCCAAAGAAATGCTTGGAGGCAAACAGTGAACTTCACTGGAGCACTGTAGCCAAGAAAAAGCCACAGGGGAACTGAAAGGCCAATTCTACAGAGGCCTTCCCTTGTGCCTGCCTGTAATGCATTAGTGGGCAGTGAGCACCACAACTCTAATGTAACATGCTGCAGGGCAGAAAGGGTTTTTGTAATAAGAAGTGCACTTAAGGAGACTTTTCATTCGGCGACTTTGACTAAGGAGATATCTGGATTGCCAAGCAGGGTTAGGTCCAGCTACTCTCACAAAGAGCAGTGAGGGATTGTTTAAGGTACACACATGTATGTGTATGTCCTGCAAGTCCTGGGTAGGACTCTGTAACCAAGGGTAAATGGTAACAAAGGTCACTTAAGGATACATGGAGAGGAAGTGAAGCTGAAAAAGAGTGGGGATTGCACAAAACCAGGGTACAGGGCCTAGTTTTTAAGACTTCTTACATGTTTACAGATCAACCAAACTGAATCCACACTGACTCTGTTACGTCAAAATGAAAGTGAGCTGTGATAAGAAGGGAAACCATGGAACAGGTTTTCTGAGGTGAAGAATGCAACTTGCTTACACATGTAGAGTCACATCAGTTCAGCGTAGAGGACTTGAATTACTTTACACATGACCTGGACCTTTAAGTGTTTTAGCAGACTCCAATTCAGAGTTGTGTAAAAACCTTTTGCAATTATTTTTTGGGGGGAAATAAACAACCATTTTGCTTCTGTTACACACTGTTGACATGCTGGAGTCAGCCTGAGAAAGTACTCATTAATACCAGTGAAGGGAGTTCAGAGGAATTTACTTCAATTTGACTCTCTAACAGGGCAGCAGTGTTAACTAGACCCCCTGTGACTGACTAAAACCACCACCATGAGGGTTCAGAGGAGCATGTTTGGACTCCACAGCCAGGCTCTGGGCTCATTTTCTTGGAAGCAAAGTGTGTTTTCGAGGAATGACACCGACAGGTTTCCACCTGGAGATTGTTTTTGCCAGTTGCATGTGTTCATGTAAGGACTGCTGGGTCCGACATGCGCTTGCGTAAGACTGGTAGACCTCTTTTTAGACGAGGAAACGACAGCTCCACGAAATTAACTTGATAGAGATGCCGGGAAAACAACCGATTACCAGAAACAAACATGTCAACAACCAAAGCATAAAGAGATGCATTGAGGTTTTCTTCCGGAGAGTGGAAGGCTGCATGATATAACAGCACACACACAAGGCCAATTCACGCCGCATTGCTTGGCCAGCTGCTGTTGCTGGGAAATGAGTGGAGGAGAAATAACACTGGCCCACTGGTGGTTCAGCTCACCAGTCACAGACATGAACAGAAAGCGGTGGAAAATACACGGATCCCCGGGTGGACCTACCTTATGACTTTCATCAAGATGACGTGCGCCTTCACTCTCTCTTAACGCGTTGTGGTTTCCAGGCTCGCTCGCAGAAAAGCCTTGTGTGTTGAGCGATAGAAGAAGAAGAAGAAGCCACAGCCATGTCGAGTCATTTTTGATAAACAAGACAGCCCGCCTCTTGCTTTCCACACAGGCTAACAACTTGTGGGGGATGCAGCAGAAGCAGAAGCAGAGAGCCCGGAGCCGTGTGCCTGCGCCAGCTTTGCGCTGTTTACCGAGAAGCCCATCCAACACAAAACGTGCATAATTGCAGAGGTGCGGATCATGCAGCTCGACGCTCGATTATAGAAATGATGAGGGGGGGTGTTGTTGTGTCAAGTAACAGTCCTCCTCTCTCTCTCTCTCTCTCCCTTTCTCTCTCTCTCTTTCTCTCTCACTCCTATAGGGCTCGAATTACAGATGAATTCTTAAAGACACACACACACACACACACACACACTGACACACACACACAAACACACACTACCACAGTGGTCTGCTCACTCACAACACTGTGTCTATTTTTAGCCAAGGCTTGTTGAAGTGATCCAGGGTAAAAAATCAGACAAGATAGCCGGTGAAGCACACTGCAGCCATGGCCCACTGATCTTATTATCAATGAATCCACTAAGGCTTTTTAATCCATCCCATTCACTCAAACCCAGCTGGAGTATTTACATTCATCTTTTTCTGTCACATACATTTCCCTCCATTTCTTTTTAATTCATAAGACCAAATAACCAAATGAGTAGACACACGTGCACAAGGCTATGGTGCAATGCACAAAGTGGTGACACAACATAATTGGCTTGTATTTCTACCCTCCCACTCAAAAATAAGAAGAACAAATCAGGCCAGATAAGTAGAACAGATAATACAAAGAGGGGGGTCATTGAATGCATACAATAGCAGCATCAACTCCCAAAGTCTTACTAAGGTTTACGTCCACTGTCCTTCCTCAGGAGTCAGCCATGTTGTTCCACATGGACCAGAGGGCAGATTGAATGACCAGTAGCAGCAATAGGAAGTTACATTCCTATGATTTAAAGGAGCAAGATTGGTGTGTATTTATGACTGCAGAGATTTAGTCAAGCCAGGATTATAGTTAGCTGCTTGGTGCAAGGTAAGGTGTGAATAAAGTGATTCAAAAATGAGAATATCAAAATGTCTGTTACCCCAAGTTCAGTCCTTTTCTGAGTAAAAAGAAAGCGTGCTGTTTGACTTCACCCCCTCTCTGCTGGAAAACATTAACCATGACACCATCTAGCATGCAGACAGAGTCAACAATCCCCTTCTGTGTGTAAAGACAGAAAATATACAGTGATCCTTGCTTTAGGGAAGAAATGTGATACTCGAATTCTCTGTTAAAGTTGAGGGTGTTTGTAGTGGACAGGTTTGTCAGGTCCAACGGTTGAAGAAGAGGCCCTTTTATTGACTTTTTCATTGCGGTGGCTTCATGAAAATGCTGTAGATGGTTTATTGTTAAGAGAAAACTGGCAGATTTCTGTTGAGCTGAGGTCCAAAATGTTACTTGATTCTAGCAGATTGTAGATTTTTGTATTTGTCTTGTCTGTGGACTTCCTATGTGATGGCTCTGTCAATGCGATGCATTTGTGCTATGAATAAGTATTGTTTATTGAATGCTTTGAAAGTGGTTGTTTATTTTTGTTTTGTGAAAATGGAGGATGCTTCCTTTCCTCTCTATGTAGTGGATCAGCTTTGCTAGATTATACTGATGCTGATGTGTTTTGTTTTCCTAACATCATAAATGTGAGTAAGTGGCCTTTAAAAGGACATAGTTGCATCAAAATGCACTAGTGTTGTGTCGTTTGTGAATGATTCGTTCAAAATAACCAAATCTTTTAAGTGAACAAACTAAAGCAAATCACTCCCTTAAGTGATTCATTCATTTATCACTTTAGTTGAGCTGTCTGCAACGCAGCTGCCATAGCACTCGGCATTGCCGGGCGAGCAGCCTAGCGAGGGACCGCACACACCGACGCCTGAATCACTTGGTGAACGGATCACGCAGTGAGCTACACTCTCCGGAATCATTTTTGTCTGAGGGAGATAGGGTGTGTTGTGTATACCTCGAAGAAAACAAACTTTTTTTTTTTTAACTCTGCTAAATTGCCACCATGACAACTTGCATACAGTAGGACAATAGTGTGTTGGGTAAACGTTTTGCGAACGAATCCCTCACTGAGCTCAATTTACCGAGTAGACCAGATAAATAGCATACCATTGGACAGTACACTTAAGACATCATGATTCATAAACAAGTTCATTTTGACAAACCTGTTTGCTAAAACAACACAGCCAGTCTCCTGGTCCCAGAAGTTATGATCTAAACTGAATCCTGAATCGTTCAGCTGTGTATCAGATCAGGAAGTCAGAGTCGCAGGCTCCTCCTGCCAAGCACTGAATGATTCAGTGATTAAGTAAACAAATCTTTTGAACGAATCTTTTAGATGTACTGATTCTAGTGATTCAGTACATCTAACAGAACTGCTGTGCCCATCACTAAAATGCACTTGATAACAGTTGGATATTGAAGTTTGAGTATATTTATTAAGATGGTCCATTCAGTATTTTGCCAGATTATGGCGATCCTGGGATCGTTATGATGGGGCCATTGAATATTGTTGCCTAGGGTACAGCAAAGTATTCATCTGGCCCTGGAAGAGGGTAAACATTTTTAAGGTAAATGATTGCACAGGAGGGTCAATACATTATCCACCAGTTATTTTGAAATCATGTTGAGAGACCTTAAAAACATCTTTTAACACAGCCAACATGATCAGAAAATCAAAATGGAACTTTGGGGAATATAAAAAATTGGTCAGTTTCATATTATTTAGTTCAAGGTTCAGCCCACAAATGTGAATTAATGTCACTCTAAAGACGACATTGTTGTTTTGCACTAAATTCATGGAAAAGGCTAGTCAAGGCCGACAGTGAGAGAGGGAGGAGATTCAGGAAACTGAGTCTGACTGTAGCATTCATTTGAAATCGCACTGCCATCGGACCAACCAGTGATGCATCGTTGAGTCACGTGATATATAAAGGCTGCGGCCATCCACATTGTTTCAGTCGTGGTTAAACTAGTTACCTTATAGCTTCAGATACATATGAGGTTAGAGAGAATTATTTGGACAAATGTTGACTAGTGTAGAAAGGATCTCTCTTGTTGTTAAGTCAATGAAAATGTTACATGTTATAGATTCATTTCTTTACTTTACAACTTGTCGAGTACTAATAAACTAACCTTTTTTGTACATTATAGGAAGGTCGCCAATATGTTATGGGTCCTTTTTCTACGCCAGTTACGGTAACGGTTACAGCTAAGGTCAACTTAGTTTCGTTACTGCTCAATTTTGATCAATTCTACATCGTGTTCATTTTCGTAGTATTAAAAGAGCTCGTCTATATGCACATTTTTGCTACTTAAGCCCGTGTTTTGGAAATAGATGCTATCTTTCACCCCTTTCGTTCGCTAAGAAATTATTTTCTTCACAACAACCGCAGAGCATGATGGGAAACACTAACGGGCGGATGTGCAGACCAATAAAATGTCTTCATCTGAGTCGAGGAGTTTAATATGACGCTCCTTTTCTTCCACCTCGTTTAATTGTTCAGTGTAATTGTTCACTTTATCTTTAATTTACTCATGAAATGGGAATGACAAAAGTTTGCAGCATTTAACGACAAGGCAAGAGACTGAACTCTGCTTTTGCTGCTTCCTTTAAGTACTGACCTTTGCCACGTGGTGGTGCTATATTTCACTTTTTGGACTCATTGAATTACCTTGAAAATAGTCGCAGTCTTTAGTCCAAATTATAGTAAAGACTGTCTATGGCTACACTTTATAAGAATTCATCTTGTGAAGGGGACTTCCCAGTCCCGTTTCAGAGCTCCCCAGGCACCCAAGCCCCCTCACTCAGGACACAACTAGAACCTATCTCTCCATGCAATATTGATGCTGTCCAACAACACAACAATGAAATACTCAGCTATGCCTGTAGAGCAGCTAGACTCATATACCATCAAAGAATACAAACAAGAGCATAAAAGGTAAAATAAGTCATTTTTATTATTCTTATGTGAATATAAAATTAAGATACATGCATTGGTTATGGCATAAATACAGTGGGACCAACATGTGAAAATAATTCCTCAAAGAAAAGTAAAGCTCATAAAAGCTTTCTCTGTAACAACTCCTTTCATTGGTGGAAAACAGCCATGTACTTGTCTTAAAAAACAAACAAACATCTTTATCTTACTCAAGAAAATAAAGAGAAGTCAAAAGAAAGGAAACAACATATACATTTTACCACATAAGCATGTACTTTGGTCGATAAAACAGGAGAAAAAGATGAAAAACTTGCTGATCGGTTGAATATAATAAACAATATAAAAAGCAGCCTTAGTGTTCAAAGTGGAATAGGCACGGCTGAATTAGTGGTAATGAAAGCAATGCATTGAGAGCTGGTGGTGGACCAGAGCAGCAAAAATGTTCAGTCTTGATGATTGAAGGCATCTTACTTAAGCATGTGTACCATCTTTTTTGTGAGTTTGGCATTTGCTTTATAGATGCATATAGCTTGAAGAAAAACTGGTGAAATGTAAATACTGTCACAAAATATGATTAAAAAGGCACATATTGGAGTTCTGAGTTGATATCCAACAAAAACTGACCTAACTATTGCAAAACTAAGAACAACTTTGACACAACATGTACAAATATAAAACCTGTGCCTTGGTAGAAAATACTTTTCCATCTGCTCCTTTTGCTACTTTTATTAAACAGTAACTTGAACCGCGTAATGCCAGTCATCTGAGTTTCATCTTTTAGTCTCTGGTAACACTATTTCAACTCAGATTAACAATCCACATTAAAATCACTGACAATCAGCAAGTTGATTGATAAACTCACCCCAATCAAAATGATAATTCATGAAGTTGTTGGCTGAGATATCAAGTGTTACTTGTCATGTAAGAATAGCACCCTGGAGCTACATGTGCAGCCCTCAGTAAAAAGGTGTGTGCATAGAGTAAGCACACAAAGTAGGCACTTCTTCAGCATGTGTGTATAAACTTACACATGCCAATAGTTACCATGCATGATCATCCATGCATATGTTTAAGACCTGAGAATGCCACAGTAATGATATTTAAAAAAATTAAAACAGAGAAACATTAAAACTAACTTTACTAAACTGATATGCACTTTTTTATTTGGACAAAGGAGGTTGTTTTAAAATGTTAAAACTAAAGAACTGGTCTAAAATTGCTAAAACCCATTCATAATTGCAGTTTTTCTTCTAAGGTAAGTTTATTTTGGTGTTTGATTGGCACTTAGCATGTTGTAGCTGGTCTCCTTGTGATTTTTGGACATGAATCTTCTTCTCTGACATATACCTGAACTTACGGAGGCACAGCGATAAGCATTAGCGCATTTCAAACCTCCAGCACTTTGTTACCTTTATACATCTATAGCCTTTGATGCTCAGATTAAAATCCTACACCCACTTACCATCCACACAAATGCTGAATATGAATGTCAACACTTCCTATCTCCTGAACAAGGTGGACAATCCGTGCATGGGTGAGGACATAGAATACTTTAACTCTCCAGCATAGGTGACCATATCATAAGTCCATCTGTACAAGTCCAAGATTAAAAAAAAAGGAATAGAAAAGTCTTTAAAGCTAAAAACAGCCACGGCAGGAGGGTGTCACATCCTGTCCCTTCCCTACACCATGAACTGAGTGTACCCCTCAGCACCCGTGACTATCACATCCATCCAAATCCTCATGGCCTCAGGAGAGGGAGCGACCATGTAGTAGACCCTGTCGTGAGTCTTGACACTGAAGGTGAGGGAAGGGTTCGGACTCTGTCGCAGAGAAAGGAAGGAAAAAAGGAGTGAGCGAGGATTAGAAATGACACTTTGAATGTGACGCTTTATACAGTATATAAACTTACCTTGTGTGCATTCTTCAAGTGATCATAATACACCTCCTCAATAGCTTGAAAGTAGATAACTCCTTTCAGCTTAGCTTCATGTTTGTCTGCAGATTAAACAAATGCTTTGTTATAAAAATAAAGGAATACAAATGTAAACACGTAGTTTAACATGTTCTCATATCTATTGATTTAGATTTTCTTTAAAAGGAGGCATTGGAAATAAAAATAGTTACATTTGTTGCTACACGGCAGCTCGTGTGTCCTACCTGCATAGTAGGAGAGCGTTCGTCGATTACGATCAAAGACAAACCAGCGTTTCTTCCAGGTTTTTATTTTACCCCCCATTTTGACCAAGTAACCACGGCAGGTCTTCTCTGAGATGGACAAGTGGAAGCACGTGTCTGTGCTGTGGCCCGCAGACTCAATGTGAGCCCGCAAGTCAAAGTCGTCCTTCCGCACGGGCAGGTATCTTGTCAGCGGCCGAGACTGGAGAGAGAAAAGTAAAAGAGGTTTATTCAAAGAGGATGGAACTTAATGTATTTACATTATCTCAGGTGTTTATATAATCACACAGATGTGTTTCAGATGTTTAGACAGATTTAAGTATGGGATTCTTTTTTCTGCTGCCAACAGATGATGGTCCAGCACAGAGAACAAAAGATGATGGATGAAGCTTATGCTGCAAAATGCCAGACATGATTGAAGGCATACAAGAGGACAGAAATATGCATGAAATGTACAGAAGTCAGCTACAGAAGCGAACACATACTGAGCTGTAGCACAGCATGAAAACTGGAGAAACAGGGATGTTTAAACAGTAATGATTATGAAATGAGACTTTTATACTCTCATGTCTTTCTTTCCTACCTGTGCTCTTTGCTTTTCTCGCAGTTTCACCTCACGGTCGATAAGTTTCTGGCGTCTGTTCGTCTCTTCTTGTAACCTTTTCTCCAGATCTTCCCTTCTTTTCCGCTCCTCCTCAAACGCCTGCTTTCGCATGTCCATCTCTCGCTCCTAAGGAATGATTTGACTGGTTAAATATCGCAAAATAAGTTCAAGTTTTGGGGTTTATTCAAAAATGCATATGAAGGGACATGATTCAGGCACTCTATTTATAGCCAGCTTGATGTTAGGGTGACCTTGTGCTCCAGGAGGCTTTTCTTCTCTGCCTGGGCTTCTCTCAGCAGGCGCTCCATCTCCTCTAGTTTGGCCATGTTAGAAGTGCTGGCACTGCAGCAAACAGACAGACACACGCACATCAGAAACAGCAGAGTCAACTTTTTTTTCCCCCTCACAGTTTAATAAACCACTTGTAATAAAGTCTTGAGGATACAAACACCACATCAGCTGTCATTCCTCTGAACGTGAAGTACACCAGTGTAATAAAACACGGCAGCTGCCAAGTTAATCAATAAACTTTTGCAGCAGGCGTGACAAACTGAGCCCAGCTGGACTTTTCCATGCGTTTTTCCAGGCATTGCATAGTCTCCAGGTACAGACATAGACATGAGCTTAAACTAGTGGAGAGAGAACATACACATTCAATCATGGCTCACAGTTTTCTATTCAGCCCTCCACAGAAATTGCTGCACTCTCCTGAGAACAGTCCTGATTGAGAGCCTTTTATGGTCCTCTGATGGTGTGGGAAGGACTGGAGTATCCCTCTCTTCACACAAGTCTTTCTGACTCTCTGCTGTGTCACAGTCTGTCTGTCTGTTCAAAACAGCAGCCACGTCTAGCATCAGGTCTCCCAGACCGCAGATGGTCCGCACATGAAATGCATTCTTGTCTGACAACACAGGGAAGGAATTTTGTATGTTTGTCATGTTGAACATAATTTCTCTCTCTAATTATACAGCCCCGTTTCATCCTGTAGCTCCCACTGCAACACATGCACGCTCACAGGCGTTCTCTCTTATCCGGAGCCAGGAGGAACTGGATACCCAGTTTTGATCTGTGATGATGTCACAACATTGTAAAGATGAATGGTACACATTAGAGTCAGCCTAAACAAATCAGGAGGGAAAGACAGGAGGAAGAGGGAAAAGTGGGGTAACCAAAGTAATCAAAAAGAGAAAAAAAAGGATCCGCAGGGTTTGAGGGGTGGAACAAACGGGAGAAAAGAAGTTGCCTTCCCGCGTTCAGGGTCTGTTTTTTTTTTTATGCATTTGCTTGATTTCTGTCAAATCATAACCGCAGCTCTCACTTTGTTTTCCCATAGTTTAAATTAATAAAAATAATGCATTCAGAATTTTACAGGTTTGTTCAAATAGTCCGCTTCAATCCAATCTAATGTGCACAGTCACATAAACTGCAGCAGTAGCCTTAAATGCAGGCTTTACTGAATTTAAGTCCATTACTTAAAATAAGACTCTGATTAAGCTGATAGTTTTCCTGTCAGTACTTCAATCACGTTAACATCAGCCTCATTTCATCACCCTGTCATCCTCTTACCTCCGTCGATGAGAGGGAATCACACTCATAGTCATTGCAGAAAAGTCCACTTCAAATCTCTTTTACAAGGTTTTAGATTTCTTGAGAAAAAATGTAATCTTTCTCCAACGTCCACATCTCCAGGAAACAGGACGCATCACTGACAAGTCAACAAAAAAAGTCCAGATCTGTTATCAGACCACGTCTTTTATCCAGCAGAGATCCACAGTCCAGGGAAATCGGTGCATGCCCGTATAATACAGTCCAACTGGGAGCATGCTGAGGATGACTAAGGCAGGAAAGGCTTACAATGCAAACAGAGCAATCTGCAAATGGAGACTTTTGCAGAAACCAAGAACATACCATTGAGAGGAACAAGAGGCGGGGAGACAAAAGACAGACGCAACCACTGTAAAAAAGGAGAGAAAGAAAGCATGCACACATGGTTTCAGTCCAGACGGGGGGGTGGAGGACCCCCAAATGCACCTCCGCTCTCTTGTACTAGTTTGCCGAGTTCATCTGGACCTGAGGGGGTTGACTGAACACACACACACCTTCATGTTTCCCCTCTTCTGTAACCTGACCCTTCAAACACTAATCAAGAGTCCCCCTCCAACACACACAGCTCCACACATCTTATTCTCGAAGGGGGGACCATGAAAGGCGGGAAACCTCTGCTATGCAGCTCCACACACTTTTTACATTAACTCACTTTCTACTCTCTTTGTTGGCCCCACTCTCCCCGACCCTTCCGACAGTCTATGTTTCATATTACCGACACAAAAGGAACATTTTTGTGAGTTCAAGTTTTGACATTTCTGTATTTTCAGCCTCTTTTTTTAGATATTTTAGCTTTTTCTCAACACATTTTTCAAATCTGGCAAAAAAAGTGTTGATTATGGTAATAACTAAGAAATATCCAAGCCAAACTGATCTTACATCATAATCAGAGGCACATACTGAAAGATATTTGACTCACCTTGAGACGTTGTCAGGTGAGCAGGCAGAGATGCTGGTTTCAATAGAGTCAGTGCTGTCTACACTCATCGTGTCAAAGGCCTGGTTGTCCCGGTATCCGAAGGCATCAAGGTAGACGTTGGTCTGGGAAGCTGCTCGGGAGCCTGGCTGACCTGCAAAAAAACAAAGAGTATAGCAACAGTTTCAGGTCAGTCCAACATAACCTCTTCTTGCAATGCACACCTGGGCTGTACCTGTCTGTGTCACCTCATCTGGGACAGCCGTTTGCTCAGCTGGCTGCGATTTTGGATTGCAAAGCCCCGCCAGCGTGAAATGCTCTATACGTCTAAAATAAATACTCAACACCTTACTGGTGTAGCTGCCCCAGCTTGAAAATACAGGACGCAGCAACAAACCGAAGAAAATATAAGCAAAATAAATGCATGTACAACAAGAAATGCCACGAGTAGTTACTGCAGACGGAGGATGTCAGTGAGGAAGAAGCAGACGAAGGAATGTTGACAAAATTACAGAGCAGATACTTAAAAGAGATACAGACGCAGCCTCAGCATACAGGATACAACAGCCAAACAGAAAAACATGATTCTATCAGGCTCGTGCTGCAGACCCACCCAACTGATGAGCCAGATCAAGCAACCAAAGGGACTCGGGGACTAGATCCATGCGCCAGTGTCCGGAAAACACAGCACCAGATTTACAAAACAAAAACCACAATGCTCAGACTGCAACTTATTTGTCAAAGTGCAACGATAAAACCTTTGTGAGATTCTGATTACAGTACACTTCGTAATCTGAGAAAGCACAATAAAGACAGATGATGACCATACATGATGTGATTTTGTTACTAGTGTTGTCGTTCGCGAACGAACCGTTCAAAAGAACCGAATCTTTTAAGTGAACGTACTGAACCCAATCAAGTGATTTGTCTGTTCCTCACTTTTGTTGACTCACTGCAGCTGCTATAGCATGCAGCATTGCCGGGTGAGCAGCCAGGGAACGAGGGACCACATGCACCAACGCCTAAATCACTTGGTGAACAAATCACGCATTGAACTATACTCTCTGTAATCATTTTTGTTGGATAAAAATAACTTTTTTTTTTTACTGCTACATTGCCACCACAAAAACTTGCATACAGTACGACACAGCATGTAACAAGTAGTGCATAAAACCCACAGCATCCTGTTATTGCAGCGGTTTGTGAGGGAACGGTGCATGTTCAGTGTGACTTCTTCTAAACGTTCAGTGAACAAATCACTCACTGACCCCAATTTACCGAGCAGACCTGGTAAATATCATACCATAGGACAGTACACTTACAACATCCTGAACATCCTGAAACATTCAGCTGTGTATCAGTTCAGGAGGTCGGAGTCACAGGCTCCTCCCACCAAGCGCTGAATGATTCAGTGATTTGGTGAATGAATCTTTTCAGTGAACTGATTCTAGTGATTCAGTACATCTAAAAGAACTGCCATGCCCATCACTATTTGTTACAACCAAAAGATGTCGTCCAAGTGTGAGTGGGTGTGTACCTTTATGCAGACGCCGAGATTCTGTCTCCTTATTGGATAAGGAAAGGATTCTGGGAAGGATACTGCCACAACTTGTGCTCTGCACTAGGGGCTGATGAGGCTGTTATCAAAACACGGAAGGATTAAATCATGTTAAATAGCATCTCACACACAGAGTTCTTACAACAGTTGGAATTTCCATACTTTTCCATACCCTACTTTTTAGCAGGATTTTTGTAAATACCTACTTTTCTATTTTAGAAAACAGTATTTCAGAACTGTGGTAATACGCTGGAAACATACATATTTTTCCATACTTTATTTTTCATCTTCCATACTTTTTAAGACCTGGGAATTGATCAAATTCATATCCATACTTGCACACATTACATGTTGTCTTGAAAATATAAAGAAAGGCTAGAGACAGAGCAAGAAAAACGTATGATCTGACCATCAGCATGTTCACCTTGTTTGGGAAGCTGCGTCCCAGTGTTGCACAGGTGAACTGGGGGGTCATGGTGGGTGTGGTTTTCTTCCGGGGTAAAGTGTCACTCAGATGGGAGCCAAATTCTCTCTCAGATCTTTTCCTCTCCTCCAGCAGGCGGAATTGCTAATAAAGTGCACAATTGGACAAACAAAAATGGAGGTAGTGTTGTCTACAGTTAATAGAGAATAGATTTTTATAAACATAAAATTAAAAACATAGATTTATGAAGCAGGCAGACACACTGCTGCTGGTACAAACACACACACATCTATACAGTATATTACCTGCCTGTGTCGGTGATGGCGTTTTTTGACAGGAAGAGGGGGAGGGGGGGAGTCAGGAAGGGGAGAGGGGTCTCGATATGACACCATATTCTCTGGCCAGTGCACAGATGGTGTTTTGGGAAGGGGGCGGGGATTTGAATGAGAGGAGGAGGAAGAAGAAGAGGAGGACAAGGAGTGGTAGTCGGCAGGTGAGGAAGAATGAGAGGGCTTGAAAAAGAAGAAAGGAAGGAAACTGTCAGGAAAAAGTCAGAACAAAAGAGAGAAACTGGAGGATTTAAGAGCTCTTTCATCGACACAGACTTTCTCCAGCATCTATAACTACGCACTACACCACCGATACAGGCCCTTTACACCTTTACACACACCTCATCCTCTTGTGGTTTGGCGGTGTCACTGTCAGGGGAGGGGTTTGCTGTGGACTCAGGAGAGGCATTGGCCAGAGCGAGGGCCGGGGCGGGTTTAAGGTCCCCCCCAAGCTGTGAGTAAAGCTCATTGATTTCACTGACTGTGACATAGCCCTGGAAAGCATCGTGTGGAGAAATGGGGGAGAGAAAAAGGGTGAGGCATTGCATGGAGTGAGGCAGCCATATTAATTTGTTATGACAAACTTGAGAAGTGGTTAGACTGATGCAGAACTTGGTAGTCATCGCAGCGGTTTCACATAAAAATCATCGTCAAACACAGATAATTTCTGACACTGTTAACACTGAGGTGATTACACATGACAACAGACATTTGTACAAGGTTACCACAGTATTAATATGTGTGAGTACGAGCTGTGCAAGAAATCAAGGGATGAAACAGTTACGTCTTTCCTTTTGCATTACAGAGATTGACACTGACAAGACGCCAAAAACAGAAAATTCAAACAGGGAGAGGTCGTGAATAAAAGACAGATAATCCAAACCAGGAGGAGAAATGGAAAACAGGCACAAGAGAAGAAAGTACCTCGGCATTCTTGAGAAAAATAGAGGAAAGAAGGGATGAGAGGGCACACAGGCTGACTGGAGGAGGAGGAGGAGGAGAACTTGTGGTAGATGTGTTGTCACTGCAATGATTGCTAAAACACTGACACACATCAGCCAGAGAGGCTGTATCCTAACAGACAGCAGAAGAAGAAGGAAACCCCAGAGATTAAACAGTAGGAGGATCCTGCCTCCTTTGAAAGTCTGAAAGAGGAAGATCGTTCTTGTTTTCTTGTCTGACAGCTGTCAATCAAACCTACCTCCCTAAGAGTGAAAGCACGGCCACCGGTGAGGTCTGCGTATTTTCTTTCTAGCGTTGCCAGGTTTTCTTTCTCCTGACAAGACAAAGAGACGCAGTGTTGGTTTTTATTATCATCAGGAACTGTCAGTGCTGAGTACAGAAAAGGCTGCACTGCTCTTAATGCATTTGGAATTACAGACAGAATAGAATAGACAGGATTAAATAAATTGAAAGCAGATTAAATTTATGGCATGTGTTTACAAAGCTGCAGGGATAAATTGTAATGTCTGGGTGTAATGAATACATAATCTGACAAGCTGTTGAAATTAAAGCATTACTATCACAGGCCCAAAAAACAAAGATTTTCATCGTATGTTTACACAGGAATAATCTTTGTACCCTTTGCAGCATCGCTTCAAGGTTACTCCTCTCCTTCATGAAGCTCTCCTTCTCCCGCTGAGCCTGCTGGGTAATCTGAACTGCCTGCTTCTTCAGTGTTAACAGTCGCTCCTGAAAAAATAAATAAGTTGTTAGCTAAGCACTGATATCATCTTCATACTAAATGAGGACTCTTACCTCCTTTAATTTTATATTAAAAAACAGACATTTGGTACCTTGCGGGTAACGGAGCTTCTCTGGTAGTCTGCGATCTCCCGCAGGATTTGTTGCGTATGGGTCTCCTTCTCCTCGTCTTGCCGGCTTTCTTTCTCCAGTTGCTGGAACTCGAGGTCTTCAAATCGCTTTGTCTCTGTGTCAAGCACTTCACAATCCTACAGACCAAAACACACAAAGACAAAACGGAGACAAACGAGCATATAAAATGAGTGTATACTGGAGGAAACAAACAACATATTCAGAACAAAGGACCTGTGCTCACACACAAACAAACAACAAGGTTGTATGACAGTTAATACATTTAAGTACTATATAACATATGAAGTTTTAAAGGATGACAGTATAATGGTTCTACAAAAGCAGTGATGAATATTAGGTTTTCCGGTTGGGATATTTAGTGAAAACTTGACTAAAAGGTGATTAAATGACACAACAAATCAAACAATTATGCAAATTTACATGAACAAACACATAAAACCTAAAACAAACAAAAACAAAACTCATTTTTTGAAAATTGAAACATTGCAAATATTCCAGATGAAAATCCACTCTCACTGGGTGTCAGCATAAAACACAAAACACAATCTGACAAAGACGATGCAAACCAGACACTCAGATCCGTCCTGCATCATCAGAACTGAACAGTCATGCAGACACCAAAGTGTGACAAGTAAACATGCAACATGGAAGCACTATAAACAATACCCCAATTATAGACTTTTTTAAAAACCAGAGCTCAAATAAACACAAGTTTATTTCCGTGAAAAACAACACAGGAGAAAACTCATGCAGGTTAAATGTAGCAGTGGATGTAGACCTGCCTCTTTGTCTTCTAAATCTGACTCTGAAGACGGACTTTTATGTACTTGATGGTAAAAAAATAACTGATAACATGTTTATGTGGTAAGGTACTGTTGCTTTAAATGTTATATGATTGCTTTCTGGTTTTAAGATGTACATCTATTATGTCCCTTCTGTTGTGTCCTTCCATGAGGTGGTTCTTTGTACAGAGTTGCAGCATTTTGCCACAAGGGGGCTCTGCTGACCACTAACTGGTTCATATTAGCCAGCAGTTGAGTTACAGAGTGCGGCTATGACTGAATTCTCTCTGGAACCTGAATGAAAAGTTGAAAACTTAGTTGCATTGAATTATAGGTAGTAAATGAAACCATAGAACACTTATTATCATATCTTGTACCCTCATACGCCCCAACCTTTTGATAAAATAAGAAGAAATGATAAATATAGTAGAGCTGGACACAGACATTACAAAAATGAACAAACATACACCAGGCAAATTAGCACAGGAAAGTAAATACACATTTACATGCAAGTCCACCTCATGACTCTTCCCTGGTCTATTTGAGAGTTTCCTTCACATATGCACTTTTTTATGTACACTTATATCTGTTTTGCTCTGAGTTTCCTTCTGTCTCTGTTTGCATGCACACCTGTTACAGTTCCCATCATATAGACCAGCAGAAAACAAACAACAGTCAGCTTATTGCATTTTGAATGGAAGGACACCAAGGTTTACAAACTCATGTATATATGGTATGAAGTATACCTGTGCATTTGTGAGGTTTGAGTGTTTGTGTGGTGTGTGTGTGTGTGTGTGTGTGTGTGTGTGTGTGTGTGTGTGTGTGTGTGTGTGTGTGTGTGTGTGTGTGTGTGTGTGTGTGTGTACTGACCCTGGCCAGCTGCTCCTGCAGGGGCTCCTTGGTGGCCTCAGGGCAGCTGTCCAGCTGGGAGCGTTGCTCACACACAATCTGAGCCAACCTCTCTACTCTGCCCCTTTCTGCCTGCAGCAACTCGCACGACTGACACACACACACACACACACACACGTCCAAACACAAAGACGCACATGCATTCCCACACAGTGCGCGTGTACACATTTGTTTTTGTGTACGTACAAACAGACACAGGTGCCCACACACGTACACAGGACAGAGAGAGGGTGGCAGCGTTAGTGGGACTGGGGAAGCCACAGTTAGTCACTACGGCAACCAGGTCAGCAAGATTAGCCTAAAGGGATGGGCGGGAGGGGAAGCTAGAGAAATCAATCTACAAAAGCGATGGAGATCTAGGGAGAAATTAAGTAGAAATGAAGGCATGAAGATAGCGTGAAACTCGAGCCGCAGCTTCTTTCTCTCCTCTCATGTCCGGTTTGTTTGAATGGAAATGATTTATGGGATGGATGGATTGATTAGTGGGTCTGTGTTTAAACAACACAACATTAACATTCACCCCAAATCTGTGCGAGCATTCACCTTCACTTCCTTGTTTAACCAACACTTATCTTGTCTGTGTTCTTCCTCTCTTTCCCTCAAACACACCATAAAGCGGCTTTATAAAGAAGTGCGTCCTTGGACCTCTACTCTCTCACAAACACACATCTATACACGACAAATTCAATCTGTTTCTCCCATTACACTTCACACCCAGTGAATGATACCACATATTGGTATAAACTTAGACTGACACACGCACACTCGATTACAAACACCCGTAATCCTTCAGCGGGAGAGTGTAAGATAGTATCACTTGGTGACCGCTATACCCTGGGCAGCATTAACAGATATATATTTGGACCACAGACAGCATGAGAAGGATTAACACCTACCAGTAAGTCACATGACCCCGAAATTTATGACGGTCTCTGCATAGCGTATGCATTTTCAACGCTGTACATAAACACAAACACTTTGGGAAGGGAAATACATACTGTCGTTAAAAAGCTATTTTCAACGCAAAAGCTTGACGCGGATGTGGTTAAAAACTTTTAAAACACTTGTAAGATTTTTTCAGTGTTTTTTTCTCCCCTGAGCTTGACATGAAACTTACCGGTCTTTCCACAAAGAGTCCAAACTACTGTCAGAATCCATCATTAAACCACCTTTTTAGAAGTCAGTACCCCCCCTTTGGCTCCCATTTTTCTACATTGAAGCACAGCCTGTCAAATACCTTTTCTTTCTCCTGCTGGGACTTGGTCTCTAAGTCTGCCATTTTGCTGTGAAGTGCCTCCAGAGCATCTTTTTCCTGCTGGAGAGCGGCCGCCTCAGACTCCATCTCAGCCTCCACCAGCGCTCGCTCCACCTCCACCTTGAGTAAATAAACCAGTGAGTATGTCAGTGTCCTACTATTAGTAAAACCTTTGCACTGTCCTACCTACTTTTGTATTCAAACAAACAAATGATGTTAAAAAAAGTGTGTTTTCTGATTCATATCGCCACCACCTCCATCTCCCTCTTCTTTCTTTTACCTCTCGAGCTGATTCTTCGATCTGATTGTCCAGCTCTTTGACCTTTTGCTCCACCTCCTCCATGTTGTTCAGCACCTGGATCCTCTCCTCCTCCACACGCCTTACTTCCTCCTCCGAAGGCCTCACTTCTTGTCTGCGGTAACGAGGTGTATCATCTAGAACCTGGAAACACAATGATCAACAAACAAATGGATTAATGAGGGGATATTCATCATCAGTTCAGTCATTTTCATCCTTCTGCAAAGAACTGTGTGTAGGCACAAGCTCATTGAGTCCACCTCAAACCACAAACAGCAGCTGTTAATTCTGAATAGTAACACATCACCCGCTCTAATCTAATCTAATCTAATCTAATAAACGGCTGTAAATATCTCCCATCTGCGCTCACAAATAATATACGGGTCGATACTTTCCGAGGGTTAGCAGAAGCGTTAGGAGACCTTGTCACTCTCATGTTTTTCACAAAGAACAGCACACATAATCACTTCCCACATTAATCCGGATTAATCTTTTAAGAAGCTGTCTAAAGTCAAAGGTTGCACTTGAGCAGTCTTATCATACAGAAGGCTGGATGTGCGGTATATTTAACATGCATTTGAGTTTCTTTAAACATTTTGAAGGTGGAGGATTATTCTGTTTTTACTCTATAAGGCTATCTCAGCTCATGCTTTCACCAGTTTGTGCACTTTCAGGTCTTTCTGTTTGCTTTTTATCACTCGGGTATTCTGGTGAAATTAAACCTATCATTACAGAAGTTTCCCTAACATCCAACACCTACACTAGTGGAGTGAAAATCCAGTTTTTGTGCAGCCAAAGTCAGCATATAAGTCATAAGGCTACCTCATCTGGATATGAAAGCAAACAGGTGCTCATCCATCTTTGTTTCATAAATCTCTGACTCCGTGACCGATTCAAGTATTGGCCAACTGGTGAATACTCCTCAATACAGTCTGACAATTGTAATCTTATGAAGGGGATCAATATGTACACAGAAGGGTAAACCAAATGTGTGTCCTTGTCTACCTCATTAGTCCTCTGTATTCTCGGAGAAGGAGAGGGTCCAAAGCTTCGCACACTGACAGCAGGAGATTCCGCCCTGTTGTCCCGCTGGCCGCTGCTGCGCCTCCGTCGTACCTGTAGATCATCGTCGTAGTAACCGTTCTCTAACCCCGGAGAGGTCGTGTGTCCGTTCCCTGTTGTTCCGTTTAGAGCAGAAGAGTCAGAAAAGACCGACGGAGTGTCGTCGTCATCATCGTTTACTTGTAGCTTCTCCAGCTCCTGGTTGATCTTCTGAAGATCTGCCACAGCTGAAGTGGGGTCTGTTGTTGTGCCGCCTCCCTCTCTCTCAGACCGGCCCAGCTCCGTACACAAAGACAAGATGGTCTCTAGCCGCTGTCGCTCCTGAAATGAGCAAAAACACGGCGATGACTGTGATTATATGAGAGTACAGCTGTTAGTCCTCTTCATGAAGCTTGTCTGAGTGGATTATTTATAATGCTGCCATTACAATAAACAGCTTTAACTTGATTTAGTGAGATCTGAAGAGAATTAAACCACTTTATTCAAATTGGATTTCAGTCACAAACCTCATAAATCATCACCCTTTGATTTCAACTTAGTTGGTCCACTTATTTCTGCAGAGCATGAAGCTTTTAATTCTGCACACATACTGTTGAATATGACAGTCTTTGAACTACTGTACAGCAGTTTAAAAAAGGAACTAGTGTCAAATGTGCAAAACACATCATACATCCAAAACAAAAATGTAAATCCTCCGTATTTAAATGTAATATTTTTTGTTCAAACCAATCAACTTTAAAAACTTTTCTCAACTGGTTTGGAAATTACATCTTTGCATTTACTGGCATATGCACTTTCAAATGTCTTAAAATGAACATCTAGTTCAGCACTACGCTATAGTTTTGGAGACACGACAGCTCCACTACAGTGGGGAAACATCTCTACATCATAAAACAAGTTTCCAGTGCTCATGTTACCTGTGGAAGCATGTCTGAGGTCGATTCGTCCTTGTTCAAATGTCCTCATGAGTCCCAAATATACTCTTTAAAATCCCTTCTTGTATCGTCCTTAGATACACATTAGTAAATCCATAAAAACACTATATCTTTTCATTAAAAACCCCTGGAGTTTGCGTCCCCCTCTCAAAAGTTCTCCCTGACCGAACACAGTGATATGAGGAGTAATGGAAAATGCATCAGGTCAGCATCAACTTCTCTGGAAGGAGAGACACTGAAGCCACGCAGCATGTCTGTGGATGTAACGTTAGAAATCAAAAGGGGTTGAAAAAAAGTTGAGTGTACTGTATGCGTTCGTGTGAGGGTGAGAGAGGGGGCTAATGAGGAGGTGGGCAGCTGTCAACTCTGGTAGGTGTGCATGAGAGCAGGGACGACTCGAAACACAGGAATGTGTCTGTGTGTACGACCACTTAGGAAACAAAACAGGAAGGAAAGTGAAGCAGGTGAGGTTTAGACTATTTGGGTCTTATGGAAGTCATTTAAAACGTAAGGAACAACTTAAGGGTTTCCTCTGTTTGGGAAAGTTAGTAACTTACAAAAAAGATTTATTAGTTGTGAAAAAAACTAATAAATCAAACCAGTTGATATAAGATAAATAAATTGATTGAAGTGGAATAATCTTATATGTATATGTGAATGAACACAAATACACACACACCCTGTTTATAGAGTGTAACGTGAACCAGTAGCTGCAGCAGAACAAGCCCGTGTCAGTTTGTCACCTTGTTCTATTCTAATGCACCCAAGTCTCTGTGGAGCCCTTTTAGTAATCAGCTGCCAACTACAAAGAGACGGAAAAAGGGGGACAGAGCAGGACCGGGGGAAGCCCGCTGGAAGAGCAAAGCCAGAACTGAAATATTGAACACTTCCTCTTGTGTCACTTGTGTCTTTTTCTTATTACTACTTCCTTGTTGATCCCTATAAAATTATTTTACTCATATTCTTACTCTGCAAATACTAAACTGTTCGGGCTGAAAAGAAAAGCTGCTTTGATAAATGCTAAATTTTAAACATAAAATAAATGTACATAGTCGCCTGACCTCCACACATACATCTAGGATAAAGATGAACACTCTCAATAGCACCATGGCTAATTACTACATACAACATATTAAACCTTTCAGAATTGACAGAATGCATGTTTCCACTTCTACCACTAGAGGGCAGTCAAAGTTTGAGAAATGCTTTTTTTAGCTGTAGCTGCAAACTCACAGATATTGGTTAAAAATAACTTCAAGTGCTTGGAATAAACAGTTAAAATCAGATAAATATTCACATTTGGTTATTCAGAGCTATTTTGCTGTGGAAAAAAAAATTCTATTAAAAGTGAAAGAGACTAAACCAACTCAACATCCTGCTAAAAGGTGTTTTTTTTTCTTTTTTGCATCAGGATAAAGAGCAAAGTTGGCTTCAGATTAAATCATGACAAATGCAAAACTAACTTGGTTCAGTTCATTTCCCATCTTTTTCTGACACTCTGATTAAACCAGAGGAGGCCAGGTACTCCATCTTGTAAGTATAACCTCGATCCGGGATATCTGGTGGCTAACTGAAAACCAGTGTGAAGCTTTTTAAACGTTTCGGTTTGTACGGCCTCCAGAAAACTATTTCTCACAGCTTAACCACCGGTTCACTCTGGAGAATGTGGCTGTGTGAAAGAGTGAGACAAAAAAGAGGGAGGGTTTATGAGTCCAGTTGTCATTATATGTTGAGCATCTGTATGTTTATCCACCTGCTACACTCAAACTCTGCTCTCTAATCTTCTGGGCTCCTCTGACCATCATCTTATTGATGTGTGCTGTGGCTCCTCAGTGGTCTGAGCCACACTGGGCGGAGCTCCAGTTAACTGACATGGACGTGCACCACACATACACAAGCGTAGACAAACACACACATGTATAATTCAAGCACGAGGTTAAGAATAGTCCTTTAAGTATGGGCTAACTGCCAGAAGCATCTGGGTAATGGTGGACTTAATTTTGTGTGTGTGTGTGTTTAGCTCTCCTGGAGAGGGTGATTGAGAGGACAAGGAGGAGGATGGAATGAAGGGAGGCATTCCTGGGAGTCGATATCGTCATGAATGTTTGCAGCAATCGTCCAGCTTTAATCTGCATCTTATTTTCTAATCTAAACAAAAACAAACTTTTCACCCGTCGAAAAACCGCCCGTATTAAACACTTGCTAATTCTGGATTCCTGCACTTTTAATGAAAACGAAATCTGAACTATCCATCCAGGTCATCCCTCCATTCTTGGCATGCACAAGCAGCCAAGGAGGAGCAAGACGACAAGAGATTATCAAGCTGTCTGGGTTCAAGTCTAGAGTGTGCACATGCTTTTACTTTTGTAAAATGGGAAGTGTCCTTGCTAAATTGGTGGCTGATTTACATATATGTAAAGATATAAACCATATAGTGAGGTGAATATCCAAACTTTAGACCTAAGATACAAAATACCAAGGTGTCTTGATTTATCAAAACAAATCTGCATTGCATGAAAAGGTGAAGACAAGTGTAAAGTGGCCATCACAAAAATCCCTAATCCCTCTCTTCATATTTATCATCATGTGAAACTTTGTTTGCACATACTGGTAAAAATATGTATTTTTAGACCCCTACTACAAATATAAACTCACCAGTCTCTCCACCTCCTGCTCTCGGAGTCTCTCTTCTTTTTGACGATGATGATAGTCCGTCAGCTCCTCCTTCCCACTAAGAGAGCTGATACTCCCCCGTCTTTCCCTGAACCCCCCAGGTGGGGTCACTCCCGCCTTTCCGAATGACTGTCTCCTCTCACCTAAACCCATCCCAGGTTCCAAGCCCGCCTTTCCAAATGAAGACCTCCTCTCGCCGAGTCCAAGCCCGGACACACCGGTGAGTTCCAAGCCTACCCCTCGCCTCTCCCCTAAATATGCATCCACTCCTGAACTTGAGGAGCTGATGGAGCCAACAGAGCTCGTGGAGGTAAGGCTGAGTTTTTTAGCCACGCGGGGAGACGAGGAACCTCCCGCTCTGGATGGAATCGTCACGTCAGGTGGGGTAGCTGTGGAGGGGATGGAAGGAGTGGCGGAAGACAGGATCTTTGGGGAAGAGAGGGAGATAGACACGACACCTTCTCCCTGGGTGGTGTTCTGGTTTTGATTCCTGTTAGCGGAAAGCTGACTGAAGTTAGCCGAGTTGTGGTTGAGGTCAGTACTACCGTTCTGGTTGTTATAAAGGTCTTTACTGTATTTGTAACCTCCAGCAATGTCAGATCGCCGTGGGGGCAAGGTGGACAGGGTCAGGGCTCCGTTGTTGTTGTCACGAGGAGACGGGGAAGGGCAGAGGCGTGGCAGCGAGCGGCTGTGTCCTCCTACCATCATACCAGTCAGCGAGCCTGCAGAGTACTTCCTGGTTCGACTGCTGGGCAACGGCTCTTGGTTGCCAAAGCTACGGCGTCCAAGACGGGGGCTTGAAGGCATGCTCACAGCACCTCCTGCTGATGGCGTGCGAGATGAGGCAGAAGAGGGAGGGAGGGAGAGGAGGAGGCTGTTGCTGCCATCAACAGAAATGGAGGAACCCCCGCCGTTCCATGTGGACAGTAAACTTGAGGAGCCCTGGTTGTGCAGTCTCCTGCTCTCACTAACGCCATAGCCGTCTTGGCTGCGACTCATGGATGTGCGAGTGGACAGGGAAGAAGTGGGGTCTGACCTCCGCCCAGGAGAAGATGGAGGAGCTGTTTTTAAAGACATGGGAGGACGATCTGAGCCGTAGAAACGTCTTGCCTGTTCCTGGTAGGCTGTGGAAGACGTGGCGGGGCTTGTGACAGGCGTGGTGGGGGGTGACTGGGGAAAAATAGGGGAAAGAATAGTGAGTAAACCATGACAAACATTCAAACATCCAGATTGACAAACTAAAATGGAGCTAAAGGATAGCTGACCTGTGTCACACTGAAATAGGAGGGATTGGCGTTCCCGTTGGCTCGGAGGCTGTTCTCCAGAGCTATCTTCTTGCGCTGCAGGGTGTCCATCAAGTCCCGGAGCTCGGAGGCAGACCGCATGCCTCTAGCACTGCTGGTTCCACCCACCACCGCATGGCCATAGTCACTGCTAAACTTTAGGTAATCTGGAGGTGGGCGAGGGGGTAAAATGAAGGAAAGAATTAATGTCTAAAATGAGGAAATGCAGAAGAAAACAGAGGGATATTTATCAAAAAACAAACTGGAAAAATAAAGCTAGACGAAAATGTTAACAATCAATTTGGATGACAATCATATCTGCAGAAATGTCTATACTTGCTGTTTTGACTGATCAGCTTTGTGATCTATTATCTGCTGATATCATGCCATTTTATTTTGCTTCCCTTCGAAGCGACTGTTCAACTTTTAAAAATGTAGTGAAACAAAACCAGTGGAAGTAAAGAATAAGACATAAGACAAAAACAGGGAGGGTTAAAGAAAAGAGAGAGAGAGAGGGAGGGAGGGAGAAAAAGAGAGTCTGGGTCTGTACCTGAAGCTGCAGCTATTCATAGATAGGGGCCTCGGCAGGACAAACTCAACCCAAACAATCTGCAAATGGTAGCTAACCACCGAGAGTAGGAGTCAAGTCACACAGACATGCATGCAAATACACCCGCGCACAAACCCATCCATTAGGTCCAAGACAAACATTGCAACCCAATTTCGACTTCAGTTTCCAAAAGTAGGATTTTGGGAAATGAAAAAGACCACGAAATATTCCTGACTACCCTCAGGAGGCCCCTCGCCCTTCCTAAAGCCTTTTATGTAAAGCTGTTTCAGCAATGAAGGGTCTTTGTCCAAACCTCAGCTGAGTCAAATTCACTTCCTTCCTTTCAAATCTTAAAGCCAAATCAGCAAAAGGTATTTTTTTAAGTTGGTAAAATATTGGTGAAGACAGAAAAAAACATTTCTGGTAGCAACTATTGAACAGAGCAGAATAAAAAACACTAAAAACACTAAACTAAATGAAATCTCATCAAGAAGAAAGCGCAAGGTAGAGAAAAGCAATATGTGAGAGACCTGCCAAGGCTTTTTTCATCTGTGGCTTTATGTGGAAAAGAAGCTATTACCAGTGTTCAAGCACAGACCACCCAGTGTTTAACTGTGATACACACATCGCACACATACAAAGGTTTTCCAACAACTGACGAATGTGGGCCTGGGCCTGAGTCAAACGCACATATATGTACATTTCTATGCCAAGAGTGAACATATGTGTTCAACAGCTTTGACAGTGAGTGAGAAAATTTGACCAGCTTGACAAGATGAGTTATTTAAAAAAAAGAAACATAAGCACCGAAAAGTGCACATCACAGCTGATTATATGCCTGTGTGAGAAAAAGTCTAACCTAACATGGTGGAGAGAAATGGGGCAGAAAATTAAAGACATCATAAGATCCACAACCACACAAACGGCCAGACACACACATACACACACATGCACACTCAGGGTGTTTGTGTCCATACATGGGCAGAATTATACCGGAGCCCTGGTGTGCACTAACTCCACTCTATTCTCCTGTATGCTGTGCTCATTTAACTGTGAGTGCTTTTTCTTTTTCACTTTAGGTGCATGATTTAGGGTGTGATTCTTGGCAAACTGAAGATGGAAGGCAAAGATTTTGACTGCATGTGGTAGAAAATTTGTTAAGTGTGAGTATGAGTGTGCTTGAAGGTAAAGAAAGTGAGAGAGAGAAAGAGAGAGAGAGAGACAGAAAGAAAGAGAGAAAGGTTTTATGTTTAAATTTTTTTTTTACTTCAACATGACACTGACACTATTTATTCTTTCTATATTTCATATATTTCATTATTTTTATTATTGTTGTATTATTATTACTATTGTATAATTATTATTTTTTCATTATTTTTATTTTTATTATTATTCTTTTTATTTTCATTATTGTTATTATTATGATTATTATTATTATTATTTTAAAAATATTTTTAGTTTTATTTTTTTATTTGTATCATTTTATTTATTCATTTTATTTAGTTGTTGTATTACTACCGTTGTTGTTGTTATTGTTGTATTGTAATGCTTTGGCAATATTTTTTATAACAATCATGCTAATAAAGCTTATTGAAATTGAAAAAAAAAAGATAGAGAGAATGAGAGAGTTTTTAAGTTTTTAAATTTTTTAAACTTTTTTTAACTTCAACATGATACTGACTCTATTTATACATTTTGTACTTCATATTATTATTATTGTTATTATTATTGCTGTACTGCCATTATTATTATTAGTAGTAGTATTGTTAGTATTATTACTGTTGTTATTGCTATCATTGTTGTTAATATTATTATCATAATTATTATTTCTGTTGTTGTTGTGTTATTATTATTGTTATAATTACAATTGTTGTTATTGTTGTATTGTAATGCTTTGGCAATTTTGCTATAACAGTCATGCTAAAAAAGCTTATTGAAATTGAAAAAAATTTAGAAAAAAAAGAGAGCGAGAGAGAGAGAGAGAGAGAGTGAGTGGGGGGGGGGTCCTTATATAATGGTAAAGAGCTAGGGTTCAGACACACACCTTTCTTACAGCTCGATCAATCACCAAGGAGACAGCACAGTCCAGCTGTATCTCCACGGCAACGGAGGAGCACCAGATGACAAAAACATTCCAATATGCTCTGATTTAAAGTTTCAGCATATGTTTGACAGCGAGACCGTATGTTCGGAGGGGAAGACATACGAGAGGGCTGAAAGAAATACCTGCCCCCCTCCCATCCCTTCAGTGTTTCTCCAAACCCACACCCGCACAACTCCCATACCTGCCTGGATCTCGTCTACCTGTAACATTATCCTAAATTCCTGGCAGGACATAGGAGCAAAGATTTCTGTGGAACCAGATGTTTCTTCAAAAAACAGGCAGGAATGGAACAGACAAATAACAGATAGATGGTGATAAAAAAGGGAGGGGAGATGGAAGAGAAGACGGTGATGTGGCAGAACAAAAGGCTGAGAGGGAGGATCAAAGAAAAAAGGACAAGACCAAGGGTCAGATCGCAACCTGTGCATGTTTTTTGTGTGCTTGCACGCTCACCTGTGTTGTACGCTAAAGCAGACACGGGGCTCTTTTGGGGAAGCATGCTTTTCATTCTGCTGGCCTCCTCGGGATGGTTGAACCGGAAGAAATAGGATTTACCCAGACACAGAGAATAACCTGAGGAGAGGGCAGAGACATAATAAGTAAAAACAGAGAAACAGCTGGAGGCAGTTATAGAATAAAGAATAACCAAACCACAATAGTCTTTGGTGACATGTCTATTAGGTATATCTATACGAGGCAGACTCAAGTACAGCTTCATATTTGTGTAAGTCTGGAATATTTATTCACAGCCAGACACACTTGCATGCACCAGTGAATAGCCAGCCATCCCAGACCACAGTGTTTGCTCTGGCCATCAATTAGGCTGAGAGGGCCAGGTATTAAACAAGATGTCAGGGTCGCAACCTCTGTAATACACACAGCCAGGCACAGCTGTCCAAATAGCTCAGAAGTAAAGAGACAGAAGTGCTGCTGACACACACACAAACACACATACACACACACACTTTGAGGAAGATTTAAAAAGGTTAAAAGATGACATAAAAGAATTTTCAAGATCTACTCTGGTTGCACATTTTAAGGGTGAAAAGAGACTGAAAAATCTCAAGACTGCCTTCAAACAAGAGCCCACCTTTCATTTGTCTATTTTCTAACACCCACATGCGAGCCCTTTGCTCTCACCATTCTTTCAGCCTCCATCCCTGAGGGTAAGAGGTTCAGATAAGCATTACAGTAAACCCCCACATGTGTGTAAAAGCCTAAAAAAGCACCTCTTTAATAGCTCCATTACAGTTACATCAGATTCCTTAAGCCTGAAGTCAGACACAAGCACTGAAGCATGAGGAGGGGGATAGCGAGGAGGCAAATGGAAAAAGACTGAATGGAAAAAATGTCAGAATTACGTTCCCCTTCTTTTCTCTCCTCTCAGATCATTTCTCCTTTACACATTCACCTCATGCCCACTTTTATAACAAGCTAAAACGTCTGTGCTAATAGCTGAATTTGAGCTTACAGTTTAACCAAAGGGGTCCTTCCTGTTTAAACATCGCCTTGAATCGCCCGGAGAGCTTTCATTTTTCCTTTCTCAGCAACAGGGGGGATATCTGAGTGAAGTCCTGAGGTGATGCTTACACCACACACATAAAAACAGTATAAGGAATGTTTAGTCTACACAGCTGGACTGGGAACTTTTCTAACGTATACTCATGTAAACACTATCTCACAGGTCATCGTGAAGGCTTTTGGTGAGCAAGGTCTAATAATATGTGTTTGTCGATGTCAGACATGAGTAATGTGTGTGTTTTTCTATACCATCTTGTTCATACTCTTCATGTGTGTGTAGGGACATGTCTCATAACAGTGACTGCTTAATGACTCACAGTTACTCTCAGTATTTAGCACGACAGCAAAAGCAGAAGCACTCACACACAGATACTCTCTGCCAGCAGCCAGCTCTTGTAAAAATCTAATTTCCTCCCTCAATAGCCTCGCCATGTGCCACCTTTAAAAGAGGAGGGTAAAGTGTGTCGCTCTGATTTGTTCACAACCCCCCACCCTTCTCCTTTTTCTAATTTCCTCTCAGGACTCCTTAGCTACCAAATAACTTCTCACTAATCCTCTCCTCCTCCTTCCCATCTTCAGCAAAAATAAATACGAGCAGCGTGTGTGTTTTTGTGACATCCACAACTAAACAGGTTTAATCTCATCCACGTGTTTAATTGTTTACTAGTAAATTCAGTCTGCCTCCCATGTCGCGGCGAGCACACACACACACACACGGGGTCAAACTCTCGCCAAAACAAGCTAAAATGAAGGCTAGTCTGTATATACATTTATAGGATAATTTAAAGTTTGTGATCTACAAAGTCCGACCTCAAACTCTTTGAGGACACAGATGCAGGGGCTGTATCTCGTCTGGTACCAATTTCAGTTCCCATGTAGATCTAAGAGAGTCAAACTACACTCTCACCACCATGTTATGGGAGGAGAAACTCAAAGCTGTTTCTCTGTTTAGTTAACATAAGTGGTGAAATTGCCAAACTGAGGCCATTAGGTCAGAATGAAAATAAACCAATTGTGAAGATCTCGTGTTCGACATGTGCTTTTTCAATTTCCAAGGCACATGGTCAAGATAATCCCAATAAAAAAATCTGCAGTCTGACAGAATTAAATCAACCAGTTAAAAAAAAGTCTCTTATAATCTACACAGTGCTGCATATAGGTTAAAATTACATATTTGAGAGCAGGTCTGTACACACACAGGTCCCAGTGGGAGTGTAAATTGGCCTCAAAACCACAAATTAGCCCACTGTGGGGCACAAGGGTCCAGCAGTAACATCATAAAAAAACAAACTGGTCTGTCCCTAGAGACCTGATGCAGATTAGATTGGTCACTCACTCGCACTTTTATTCACACATACACAAACTGCCTCCTCTTAAACTCATCCACAAATCATCATCAGCCGTTTCTGGCCATCTGAAAACTCTAAAACAATAACAGACTCTCATCCACCCATCTGAAAAGTAGTTAACTAAAACACAATGCAGATTGTTTAAATGAGCAAATTCTTACTTTATCTTTAAGATTGATCAAAAAGCCCAAATTTGCCAAAGGCATGCCGAAAACATACTCGTGAACACAATAACACCCAGGACAATGGAGCAGGTTTTGTATTCAGGTGTCAGGTATCCTAAGCCTGCCCTCACAGCCACAGGCTAGCTTTCTTTGTCACAAGAAATCACACTGGTCTGTGAACTTGCCAGATATGACCTGAGGGCACGCATGCACACCGGGGTTTATTTGCATCAAAAGGTGCAGGCTGGATGCGGAAACCTGGTTGTGATTGAACTTCGAAAACAAAACAGCAATGCAACAGCTGAATGCTTTGGACTGAGTGAAAACACTGATTTCTCCAGTATTTAAAAAAAAAAGGTTCAGTGTGAAAAAGCAAAGTATAATAAGTATTGATTACAGCTTAGTGCCAAAGTAATTTCATTGATTCACACTGACAGATGGGGCATAATTCTCATCTGTTTGGCTTCTTTCAGCTGAGCACAATGGCTTTTTTATTTTAAAGAGAAATCAATAATATCAGATGAGGAGCATATGATTATCTTGGAGGGTGAAAGGAGCCTTCTGTCTTCACTTACATGTAAAGACTAGCTTTTGATGAATTTATGGATAACAGACTGGGAGCATGAGGATTGGCTCCCAGCTTTTAATACATAAAACTGACATTAGTATCAAAGTGAGAGTGACAGATAAAATACACTATCATCTAAAGCACAAAGCAGATATAAAAATACAAGGCTCACTGATTTGTAATTGATTTACAGCAGCTGCAAGATGAGCCCCATCGTAGCTGCCTATTGGTCTGTTTAATTCAAGTTAATATAAATGTAAAGAAGGTTTAAAAGGTCGCAGTAATAGAAATAACTGTGTAAAAACAGTGCAATATGTATTTATCAATATATGTAAATAAAATTGGCTTAAAATCCGCTACAAACCTTTTGACTTCCATTCAGTGAGCACTTGTCCCGGAGAAAAACACTATCTCCTTCCTTTCAGCTCCTCCAATTTTCATGAGAAAAACTCACTTCAAATTACAACAAGTACGATTTACTTCTTTATCCACGAGTATTACTTTGAGCCGGTGTCTTTGCTGTTGTTTGCCTCCCTCCTCTACTCGACAGCAGGACGCCTCCTCTCTCCTCTATTGATTCCGTGAGGGAGAAAGTTGCTGGATTCACCATCCACAGGTCTGTCTCCCGGACTGTACCAACTCCGAAGAAATAGGGGTGGACGTTCGGGATTTAGCAAAACAAGTGGAGTTTTAGAATTGCTGTTGAACAATAACGCTGCCGAATGGATACAGAATGAAACAAAAAACAAAAAACTAAAGAGTAATGTGAGTCAATTATTGAATCACACATCTACACAATCGACGTATAAGGCGTCTACCCCCGTCCCGTGTTGGTAGGTTCGAAGGCTATTAGACATTGAGGTATTTGGTAGACGCCCCCTCTGCCTTTCTTTGTCTACCTACCTATTTTCCTCTACTTTTATCCAACAGTTCTAGACCTGGTTTAGCCCCTAACTCTTCTTTGCTGCACAGGAAGGTGAATAAACGTGTAAAAGTGCCGGCTGTACTCCTTTAAATGACAACCTAACCCGTATTAAAATATATTTGACATTGAAGCAAGACAACAATGAGGAGGGGGGTGATTGTAAGAAAGCAAGACAGACAGACTGGCTGCAGATAAAGTGAGATATTTTTAAAGGGTAGATAATACTGCAAAGCAAATAAGATCTAAATCATTTTTACCGCGTTTAGGTAGAACTTTGTCCTGTGCTTTATTCATTTGTTAGCCTTAGCTCAGGCTAGCCTTCTTAATGTGAATGTGTCGAGGTGTGATAAAAAAAGAGAGAAGCTGTGTTTTATTCAGCAGTTTGATTTGCATTTGCTTGAGACCAGCGGGAATCCTGGGGAGTTGAGTTTTACTCCCAAACCTCTGAGCTGAAATGCTGGAATAGATGTTGGGCAACCCCATATTAAATCATTACATATAATACAAGACAGCATGCAGTATTTGTACTGCTTATCATTGTTTTCATTGTGTCATTATGTTGTATGACTTTCTCACTGTTCAATAACCTACTTCCAGCTGTTCAAGTGAGTAAGGAGTGAAGCTGATGTGATTTCAGGTCAGGCTCCAAAGTCCCAAATACAGAACAGATCACTTCCTAAACATAGCTAATCATCTCCAGACTGCCCCAAACATGTATGTGTGTGTATGTGTGTGTGTGTGTGTGGTTGGACTAACTAAGCCCAGAGCATTCGAGGCCACTGGATATTCCTGAAAGATGTCCTCTCCCTCTCTCTCTCTCTCGTGCTCCCTCCATAATTTTCCAAACCATGCCCTTTTGACATTTTTAACCCCTTTCTCTCTTTCGGTCCCTTTCTTCACCCCTGCTGCTTCACAATGCTCCGGCCTTGTATGTGTAGACACACAAAATTGTTGTCAATATTTGAATCAGCCAGGCACAGCGGGGAAAATAAATAGGCCTGTCAATATTTAACTTAAAGGGGCTCAGCCACCAGGACACAATGAGAAGGAAAAAAGACAACACAGAAAGGAATGACACACGGTAAAGGAAAAGCCGATGTATCGTGTGTTATCTATTAAATAACAGAGGAAAAGTAAGAAAAACTGAGTGGAAATTGTTACAGCTGGCAAAAACAGAGAAGCAGAGGGAGCTCTGCAGCTGAGAAAATCCAGAGAAGGAATCCTGGAGGGGAGAGGAGAAGATAGAAAACAGACAGGAGATAAACAGATCAAGATACCAGCAGACAAAAAACAGATGGCACGTGGACCTGAGTTGACAGAGAGATAGAAAAAGAAATATATCCACATTTTGGAGGCCCCACTGTTTTTATGTGAGTGCTTTGCGAGTTTTCGATGCCCGTACTGTACCAGAGTTAGCTGTGCATGCTCTGCAGTTGCTGGAAGCTGTGACTCATTTGCGCAGCTTGCTGTTCCAAACCACAACAAATTAAACCAAACCAGGGCCACATACGTATCCACTACATCATGCAAAACACACACTAGCATGTTGAAATGCTCACACGAACTTAAGCATCTACACTGCTGTGACAAATACACACACAAACTCACACAAACATACTATACACTCTGCTGTCTCTATGCAAAAAGTCAGCACAATATTAACTGAGCCCATATGAGTCATACATACACTAAAAGGAATGCAAGTTAACCAAACCACGAGCTAACCTCTCTCTCTCTCTCTCTCTCTCTCTTGAGTTTTGAAATTCTGAAAGTTAGCTCACTCCATGTGACTATAACCCCGCTTTACCTCCACCGCTTTTATTGACCAGAAGGTGGCAACATATCAAAACATGTTTGTGTGTGTCCATGCAGAGAGTGCGGTCATCCTACCCTGTGTGAGGGGAGTTGGCACAGTGACCTGGACTCCATCCAGGCTGCAGAGGTGACCGCAGGGGTCCAGGGTAACCACTCCCCCTGTGTTCAAGATAATGATAAGACATAAGGGATTGATTATATTCGGGAAAATCTTGTTCTGGTTATTGCTTAAGACAATTGTTTAGTCATCTGAGACAATACAATACAAGAACTTTATTGACCCCCAAAAAGGAAAAATCATTAGATACTGAGGCTCATCACTGGGTTTTCCTCAAAACTTTTTCTAAAATCGAAGGCAGGCTATTCGTAAGTAAAATGAATGATTACAGCAAATAAAATCAGGTTCAGGGATATTTCTTCTGCCGCAGTTGCTTTCTGAACCAAGGGTTGTTTCTGTTTTTACTTCAATCGTGTGAGGTAAACTTAAGTATAATGTTTTCATAAAACTACTGACAGTCTTTTAACAGTAGTGATTTTTGTAGGGTGAGGATTGGGAAAAAAATGCTCTCTGAAGTTTCGGTACACATGTTTGTTTTTAAGCGTGAAGGGGCCAAGAGCAGCTCCTGCTGTGGGTCCAGATGAATTTTATGAAACCTGAGGGCCAGTTATAATTACATACTGGATGGGTTGATGCAAACAACTGATATTTTTTGCTAGGATAACTTTAAGGTAAGGTTTTTATATTGCATGCCACACTAAGATTAAAAGCCTTGTTGGGTACAAGAGTTGTCATGAGCTCTGAACTCTGGTTGGTCTTTAAAAGCTAAGATGACTGTATTGAGTCAGAGGCATAATGAATCATTTTGAACTGACATCAACCTTCATTGAAGATGAGACAGTGCTCCGCTTCGACGCCAGGCCCCTGGATAGTGATGTCTTGAGGAATAGGAGCATCTTCTCTGCCTATACGTGTAACTCCTGGAAGATCAGATAATACAGATGTGATTGTTAGTGGGATAAAAAACACAGAAAACATAGTTTAGGCTTCACACCTTTTTCAGTTTAAAGCGTTTGAAGTGGTTGTTGTTCTGCAGTGTACAAAAGCTGAAGAAACCAGACCTCCAGCTCTCCTAAAATGGCCTTTTCACATTGTGCACATTCCTCACTGAAATAGAAGGGAACACCAAGCTGGGAGATTGTGAAAGTGTGTGGCAATGTGGTAGGACTTGTGCAAAAAAAAGAAAAAAAGTATATTGGCAGATATCACAATGCTGACTTTAGTTTTAGAGCAACTCTGAACTGTAACTGACTCTTGATTTCAACACGATCGAGAACACAATATTCTAAAAGTTTAAAAGCGGCTTCATTAACTCTTAATCCCGAGAGCCAACCTATTAGTGTGATCATGTGCCGACTTAATCCAGCTGTCAAGTATCAATCCATGTTTGAAGCCGGTGAAACGTCTCACTCCACTGCTCTCATGTGGTAGAGAAAGAGAGCTTTGTGATCCAAACATGACGTGTTCCCTGAGTGCACACGAGGGTTACCAGTTTAACCGCTGCTTTCAAAATAATGCCGAAGTATTTAATCTACAATATGTGCAAGCTTATGACTTATAACCAGTAATACAAGCATCTCTGAGTGTTCGCCCCTGACGGATCTGTTATGGTATACTAATGAGGCTTTGGCCCCTGTGGCTTGAGAGTGGGGGGCGTGTTGACACCTGTGGGCGGCTGATGATAGAGAAACTAAAAATAACTTTAATAACACAGCCATTATGTTGTGATAATGACACGTGTGTGAGTGTGTTCGCACGCCGATTAGACTGAAAAACAGCTTGAGCTGACTTCTATACTCTTTGAGAAGTGGTGTGGATGTTTTTCTTTCATTTTAATGGCGCTGGTTCTTTCTCTCTGTTGTGAATGAAGTCATAAAACCAGTAGTTTGTAGCTTGAGTCATGTCTGTTTTATAGTTGTTTGGGTTCACAGTCTGTCTGCACAGCGTTGTCCTCATTTTGACGCTGTAAACTGTGGGTTTAGTCTGCGCCATAAACAGTAAGTGGGGTAATTTTTGCACCAAGAATAAAGTCTTCAGTTGCGGATGAATTATCTTATGTAAATATGGGTTTTCAATCTGAAGGGATCTTGAGGATTGACTTGGATCTTCACTTGACTTTAACCCAGTCACACCGCAGTTAACTATGGAAATGAACCTCTTATTGCCAGAAAAGGGTAGGTCAAGGAAAGGTGGTGAAACTCAGACAAGGGGAGAAGGGTCTGTTTTCTCCACAGGTGGCAGTTTTTCATGATTTGTGAAACTCTTTATGGTCCTGGTAACTGAGAAGTGATGGGAAGATGGATGGCTACTGTATGACCCTGTAATTCTAACCCCGGCAGTATGCTGTGGGTAAGAATGTGCGTGTTTGTGTTTTTAAGTGTGTTTTACCTTCTTTAAGGGGCAGCAGGGTTATTGCCACGCTCAGCCTCCCGCTGCCCAGGCTCACTAGATGAGGAGTTGCTGTCTGCACCTTCAGTCCCTTTCCTGTGTCGATGAGGTCCAGAGGTGGAGACTAGAGGCATCAGTCAGAAGGGAGGGGGTCATTTTCAAAACATCCCTCATTTCTCTCAAACTAGGAATGCATGAACCCCGAATAAATGTAACCACTTTATCAGGTAAAGGTTTAGGAAATATATAAGCTGATATATTAACACTTGCGGATGTATGTGTATTGTCTCACCTTGGGTTCAGGAGACATCTGATCTGACTCTGGTTGGAACATCATCTCAGAGTCCTGCAGTCAACATAGGAGAAGAAAAAAAACAGTTAATCACCCTGCTTTCTGTTAACTACTTTACTCTGATTGGTCAAATCCCAACAACATTAGTAATTAATTCTGAATGGCAGGAGCAACACCAAGGGCAACCAGGTCAAACAAACACCTCACAGCCTTTCATTTCTCTAAATCCCATTGTCAAAGGGCCAGAATGTTAGTTTTTGGTGGTGTAGGAGAATATTTCAAGGATTGTCTGAGATTATTTGGAGAGCACCAAACTTCAGATTAGTGATTTATTGCTAACCAGAAGAGAAAAGAAGACAAGAAGCAAGAAAACAGACACAAGGTCATGATGAACTGCAATAAGGTATAGGCTTTGGCAGTTTTAAAAACAAATGCCGAAAGACTTTAAAAGCAACAGGTGAGAGTAAGATTTGACTTTACTGTGAATGAAAAGTTTGGTTTAAAGTAAGAGGGCTAACGTTATGACTTTAACATGAATGAAAATATCCGGGTCAATGTTTATTTGTCTGGTAAGACCACTGTTGATATAAAAGTACTGCAGATGATCAAAGCTGAGAGGCCGCTCTTTTAGCTGCACATATAAAACATTTTTAAACCAGTGTTAAGTTAACTTTCTTTAGTTGATAGCCAGGCAAAAAGCAGGATAATGCATCTTAAAGGCACCGTGGGGAGTTTTTAACTGATTGATAAATAGATCAAAACAGATCCTGATGCCTCTTTATGACCTTTAAAAGCAGATGAAACCATCAGCAACAAGGTTGATCATTTCTCTGTTGCAGTTTTTAATGCCTGAAACTGCTATGAGAGGGTAGGTTTCAGACCAGATGATTGACAGGTGGAAGAAACAGCTTTTTAAATTATTTCTATGGTAAATACTCACGCTGTGTGACACATGTCATTGCCACAAGACAACAAGGTGGGATTTCATATATACTGGACAGGAAATAAAAGGTTATTTTTTGTCCACAAGGGGGCGTCAGATCCAACATGAACCAAAAGTTCCTCATGGTAGCTTTAAGGTTAGGTAAAATTAAACCCCTCACCCTGTTGGGATTGTTTTTTTTCACTTGACTTCCTCCTCTGACTGTAACTCAGAGCACATGTGATTTCAAACACTCATTCTTTAACTAGAAAAACCTTTTATAGACATGCTTTGGTAGGGTTACACAAGTATCACACATCTGTACAAATGACAGCCACTTACAGACTCACACACACACACAAAGAAAAAAAAACAAGTGTACTTTTCAGGGCCAGCTGCTGCCACATGAGAGGATCTCCCCGTGTGAAAGTGTTCCATGGGGAAAATACCACTTAAGAGGACACACACATACACACTAACACACTCAGAGGCACACACAGGCTGGCTTTCAGTGGGAACAAGTGGCAGAAATATTCCATGAAAACAGAGGGTTCCCACAACTTGTTGGTTATGGACTTTCATCACACTGCCTGGTGCTTTTAATATGTTTGTGCTGAGTGATTAATATCGTTTTTATTCTGTCGTCACCTTCGCTTCATTTGGATAAGTTTGCTAATAAGAGTCAGACTTTTATGTGGAGGCTCTAAAAACTGTCCTCTTGTGTCTCAGGACAAACCTTAGATTAAAAAGTCATTGTATGCTGTTTGTTCCATTTTAGGATGTAATTAACATTTCTTCCTCTAGAGGGCACCAAGCTGGGCTCTGCTTTTTCCTTATTTTGTAATACTTGGCATTGGAGTCTGAGATAAAGGAAGAAAAATCAAGTAAAAAATGTTAAAAGGGTGGGAAAGGCACAGTGCCAGAAAGAAAAGTCTGAAATAGTAGGGTAGGACTTAACCGGCACTGAACGGGAGGAGCGTTTTGAACCATAAGGAGGAATCAAAACAGAGTCAGATAAAAGTAAACCCAATCAAAACTGCCTCGAATAAATGCGTTGTACACTCAGATCCAGAGCCAAGAACAAGCCCTGCTGTATACCCTTCAATTGCACACAGGAAAAACACTCCTGCTTCTATTTGTGTGTGCCTAAACAGAGACACTAACACAAACACACGCACAAATGCACACACACAAATCCACCAGATGGATGAGTGAATTGCTTCTCACCAAAGCAGCGATGATTACAGTATGGGAAACCACCCCAACCACATTTCCTTTTTCACCTTCTGTCATCTCCTTCCTCTCCTCCTCTTTTCTCTCCTTGTTATACTCTTCTTCCTCCATGTTATCCTGTAATAATCCTGTAATAATATACACCAGCCACCTCTCACTGTTTCCACCATTAGTCTCCTTGTTTTTACAATATTTTCCTTGCTGTCACTCCACTCTCGGAGCATTTTCTGACAAATTTTCCCTCCCGTCTTCTCCTGCTCTTCTTTATTTTTTCTCCTATTTCTTTTTCACTTCTCTTTTCTATTCTGCTTTTTTAATCTCATCTTCCTCTCTTTTCCTTTCCCCAACAGAGGAAGCGCATATCAAAGCCGGCCCGTACCACTTCCTCTAATTCAGCGCCAGCTTCCTCTCTTAGGTCACTTCCTTCGCTGCCTTGACACCCTTTTTGCCTTTAAAAACACTAACAAACACACGCTCATGCACACACTTGCTATTCTTTGCACTGCTTTCACCCATGTAACCTGCAAGCACCAGGAAATATCCACAAATAAAGTCGCACATCAGCTCTTTTTTTTATCACTTGAAGATATGAGGCTTGACATTCCACTGATTTTTTTCATCACTCGTGTAGACAAAGCAAACACACGGCGTATGATGGCAACACGAGAAGGACAAAAGTAAAGTCACAGCTGAAACTGAATGAAAAATAAAGGCCGGAGTCAAATTTCAAAGTTTAGAGGACGTCCCGGTCTGGTATATGTAAACAAAGTTGATTTTTTCTTGTTCAATTGTTCCTCCCTATTGTCTTTCAGTCGCCTATTTTCCCCACATAACCCTCCAAGTCCTCTTCTTTCATCAAGCCAGCTCCAGTCTGGGCAAGTCAACACAAGTCTTTGGCTTTGTTACGCTCTGGTTTCTGCAAAGCAGTGAAGTGTGTCAACCTGCTTCTAGATTTTCAGATTACAGCTCCAGTGTCCTGAGGGATCTTCACGATCTCAAACCACTAAATCTGACCCTATCAGGGCTTCTGGACTCAGGAGCTCAGGTATGAGATGAATGGATGGCCTGAGAATTTGTAGCTTTGGAAAAAAAATATGTTGACAACAGAATAAAAACAAGTTTTAAAAGATTTATTGGTATTTTAGAGGCTTTTAAAGCTGCCCTGGTCAGGCCCTGGTAGATTAAATGATTTTAAGGGGATTTTCAGGCTTTTGGAGCCAGCCAAACATGGACACATGAGGTATTTTTGCACTTCCACATTAGCTTCACATGTCAATATAGGGTGGAGAGTGGAATTATTGCACCACATACAAACTAAAAACTTTGACCGACCCACTGTGAGCTTTTTGTCAAATCTATCAAACTGCAAACGTTTATAGAGACAAACCAAGAAAGAAACAAAAAACTGAAGTTGTGTAAATCAAGTGGATTCCAATCAATATCAATGTTTTTCTTTTTCAAAATGATTGTTCAGACAATATCACATCATCAACAAATCTGGGTCCTATGACTTTGAATAATCAACAATAGTGAGCTAGTTTTTGATACTATCCTTAGTTACTTCTCGCCTTGTGGTGCTAGGGTAGGCTCCAGTCCCCTATGACCCTGGATGGGATAAGCAGTAAAGATAGTGGATGAATGATGGAAACCAGCTTCCCCTGAACTCAGAGACATCTCACTGCTAGTGCAAGTCAAGTCCATGAGTACATCTCAAACTATCTCTCTATCGCAATTTCCTTGTTTGATGCATGCGTGGTCCAGTTGAAGACAAATAGGCAGGTTGGTATGAGGGTTGGTAAGCCATTCAGTTATTTTACTGGATAAAGGTGGAATAATACACAACAGTATGAACAACAAAGTTGACATTTTGTCTGTCAGTTTTCATGTTTCTGTACAAACTTAACTTTGTAAAATGTCTTATTTTTTTTATCACACAATGGAGTTTAATGGTAGAATATGATGATCTAAACCTGGTTTTGCTTTCAGTCAGTCTGCACATATCTTTAATGTCAAAGTGAGAAGAAACACAAAATCAAACACAACTACAAACTTAACCTAAACACAAGCATCCCCATGCCAGGAGATTTTCAGTCACAATCTATATCTGGGAAAAGTCAGATATACTTGGACAGGCAGGTTAACAATGAGGAACATATGAGTCAGCCTAGGAGGAAAGAGGGAATGTAAACTTTTCATATTTTCACAAACTAACGCCTGGAACTTCATGATATGAAAGATCTGGAAAGTTTTCAAAGGTTAGTTTTTCCTGTCGAAGGAAAGTTTTCCAGTCCCAGCCCTACTGAACCAGTCCTCGCTCTTTGTCTGATGTACGCCTCAAACAACCCATGAAATAATCGACCACTAGCTAAAACAATGTCACAAACACAGAGTTTCGTAATCACAAAGACATGAGTAGAAAGTGCACACAGAGTCTCTCTTTGATCCCATCTGTAGAACAGCTGAGTCTCAACAAAATGCTCAGTTCTTCGTCCTGCATCTGGACACAAACAGAGGAGAGAAGAGAAAAATATGGGGCGAGGAAAAAAAAACAAGAAGACAAAGGACTCATAAAACTTAAAGGACAGACTCTGAATTCTCAAACTGTTTCGTTTCATCTTCTTATTTTCTGCCATCCCTCATTTCATGTTGAGTCCCCTCTCTGCTTTTATTTCCTCCACATCTGTTTTGCTTTTCTCTCTGTTTCATGTACCTTCTTCATTATTGTTGCTGTCTGGTTTTGTAGTCCTCTACACTCTCATGACCACAACTTAGGCCAATCCAAATGTTGTTGGTGTTGCTGATTTGGAGCAGATTCTTTTGGGGCATTAGCTAACAAGATTGAGTAACTTTTTTCCCCTAAAAGAAATCTTGTATGAAATCTTATTCTGGTTATTGTCAGAAAAAGTGGTGAAAATTTGAGGGAAAATGATACAATTGAATGTTTTTGGTCTGAGGGCCAAAATGTCTAGAACATAGACTGTATATACTACAGACAACTTGGTTCCGCCTTCCGCCAGTATACGGATTTGAAGCCGAAAAGCTCGCGGTAATTTTTCTCCACTTCCTGAAGCCAACATTGTGCAGTAGCGTTGTACGCACAGAAAAAAAGAGGACTCAAGCACAAACCAGTCTTACAGTAACTACATGTCAACATCGCAAGCAAGGGGGAAAAAAATTATGTTCTGTGTAATAAATTTCTAGTTTGTCCACAGCTCAATAAGCTTTGCTGGCCGAGGCGGGATTTATTAGCTATACTGCAGCTCGTCACCAGAGGGTGCTGTTCTCGGGTGGCTTCACCCAGCGAGGAGGCAGACGCTGTCCATCCTATATGTATTAATGTATGTATTAATTGATGTTCATGGTTGACATCCACGGGGGGAAACTTCTGACTGAGCATGCACCAATGTCAGCCCACTACAAATTCATGAGGTTACATCATCGTAACATCCAGACTGATTCGTAACTGCAACCTACAACATTGAACCCTCAAAGTTTGCTTACTTTTTGCTGTAAAGTTTGTGAGTAAGACATGACTTTTGCAAGAGTAATTGCCTTATTTTTCAGTTACTAGCTATGCATTTGCTTGCGAAAGTCCAACTGTTGGAGGCCCAAATGTGCATGTGCATACAGAATACTGGTACTATTGGTTTTAGGAACCAGCTAGCATAGCAGCCCATTGCTACGTGGAATGTCTTGTTCAGTTTCAAGTGAAATTTAGTTTTTCTCTAGTCTATATTGGAATTTAAATGTTTAAATGCAACCAGACATGACAGAAAATCTTAACCAGCCTGGCTAATCTGACCATCGTCTTGCTGAATTTCCTCTCTTATGTGGTCTTGAGATTTTTTTTCACTATAAAAGCTTCACACTCGTTTTTTTTTTTTTCGTCTTCGCCTCTGTCCTTATCTCTCCTCCTCTTCATCCCTCTGTCTCTTGCTAACATCCCCTCCCCATACATTCCAGCCTTAGCCTCTCCTCCTCCCACCTGACAAAGCCAGCATTGTATCACAGATTCTGTTTAATATGGACTCCCTCTCTCTCTCTCTGGTCTCTCATTTAAAACTCCTCAAAGAGGCTAAATAGGGTTATCATCCTCCGTTTTATCCACCACACACTGTAAGTTTTGTGCGCGGTAATGTCCTCAGCTAATCTTTAATTAATGTAATGTATGCTCCACGCATGCACACACGTTTAAAAGGTCAATGTTCAAACACACACACGAACAAAGGCATTCCTCTTGAACATAAAACACTGCTCTTTCTAGCCTTTACTAAAAAAGGCACTTAAATCAACCTCTCTGTGTGTGCCTGCATGTCTCCTAGATTGTGTGTCTCCACGCATGCATTTGTGCATGTTTTGGCAAAAACTCTACAAGCAGATTATCACAACTTAACCCTGAACCTTTTCCAAAACACAACAAACATCCACCAGCATTACCTTCCAACTCCAACTCTCTCACACTCCTATCAGGTTTTTTTCCTTCATTTATCGAAACACAAGATCCTCACAGGAAAGAAAGCCCATTGTTGTTGCAGCTGACTCAAAGTTAGAGGAAATTTAGCCTGGATTTTTTTAGAGGGTGTGTGTTTCTTTGGAAGGGACCAGACTACCTTGGCCCGCCATATGCAGGGGATCAAGTGATGTTTGGGTTTCTAAAGGTCCGGATATGACAGAGGGACAGAGGGACAGAGAGAGACAGTGAATTTGTCGCGGGACATACAAGCCACATTAGTAATGAACGTCACAGGATGATCTTGAGCTGTGATTCCTGGAAAGAAAAGAAAGATGGAGGCCGAATGATTGGACCCTGAGATAAGGAGAGAGATGGGAAGTCTGGGAGATAAAGAAAAAGGAAATAGATAAACAGAGAGACTAAATAATCCAGAGATGAGGGAAACAGATTACTTGTAAATTAAAAGAAAAATAGAATAAGTAAATGTACAATATCCTCAGAATAAAAACACTATCCATACACTGAATTCTTGTGGCAGATCTCATCTATACTGCTGTTTTTCACATTATGATCAGAGCCAACTCAACAGGTTTGATGGTTTTAACATGAGCTCAGCATTCCATATGCAGTTTTGCAGAAATTAATCAACATTTATACACACCATATGTTTCACAAATCTAAAGAACCCAAACCTACAGATGCTTTTCGGGCAGGGAGCTGTGGTTGGACACCGCCAAAGACAACCTTCAACCTAATATTACAGCAGGATTCAGAGCCAGAAGATGCAGACTTCTTTCTGCTATGTAACCAACAGAACCAGTACCACATAACCCACTGCTTGTTATTTTCTGGAAGGACAACCAAATCCAATAAGATCAGTTTATATAGGAGGTACCTGGAGAGCCAAGTTACCTGGTGGTACAAGCCAGTAAACTTTGGGCCCATGAGTTCAGAGAGCGACTGCTGACAAGGGTGGTAAGAAACAACACTTCAGGACTGAATCAGCGGCTATTTAAGGCACACAGCATCTCTCCAGAGTTCCCTGCCTAACTGGCTTGATGACTGTTTTTAAGACTGTCCTCAGTTATCAGAGAGGAGACGAACGGAGGTGTGCCTTGACGGAAAGTTTTCAGCCATTGCTATATTTGCATAATGACGAAACCCATGGTCTGCATGATCAGTCCATCAATGTACTCGACTTCACACAACCCCACTAAAAGATTGAACTATCCCTTTAAGAGCGAGCTTGTTGAAGAGGTTGCAAATGGTAAAAGTCATATGATGGATTAGTTTGGCACATTTAAGTTGGTTTTTCAAGCAACTCCACATGAATGTATGAATTAAGGTGGGCGCTACATACTGTGATAAATTAGGTACAGATGAGTCATGGACTTATTTACAGTATCAGCTAAAACAGTGCCCTAATTCACTGAAAATAATTGTATCCTTGGAATTTGATGAGGAAAATGGCTTGCTGTTATCCCATATGAGGTTCAATAGACAAAACATTGATTTAATATTTCATTTAGGCTACTTGTGTTATCAGGGAACCAACACAAATTAATATCCTTCTGGTCATTGTGTTTTTCCCTTTAACAGCTTACAATATGCCTCTTTGCAGGGGGGTTTAGTCAGCTTAATAACAAACAAAAGTTCTTGTGTGTTTGATTTGCTAAGATCCAAATCCGGAATTAGACTCAGTTAAGACTTTGTTTAACAATCACTGAAGGAACAAACATTGTAAAGAACTTCCTGAGCCGTGGATTAAGCATCATTTGATGTAGAGAGGAAACATATATTAAGTTTCCATTTTCTAATCATAGGGACACACTCTCGGTTATTGTACAAAACTGTGTCTGTATTTTTTCAATAGAGGTAACGCACTCACCATTATGGACACTGGACTGACCACCTCTGTCATCGCGCAGAAAAAGGGACGCGGTTACGCAGCTGCTCCAAGATCCACACACCAAAGCGCTGGAAAATTTCTGTCACTTTCCCCCCTTATTGTGATCGCAGTCTCTTTCTCAACAGCCCGTACATTCCCTGTGTAGCACGGGCAACCTGTGGATGCCTGGGAAAATACCCTCCGTTACATTCAAACACACACATACAAGGACACACACTGCAAACGTACACAAACGTAAAAAAAGCCGGCGGCCTCAGCCAATCGCGACGTGTGGAGGAATTTCGCAAACAGCTGGAAGTTGAGCTGGAGAGGGAAAGAGGGGAGGGAGGGAGTCTCTCTCTCTCTACCTCCCTCTCTCTCTCTCTCTCTCTCTACCTCTCTTTCTCTCTCGCTCTCTCACACACAAAACATAATGTGCAGGTGTTAACAGACCACCTACACTTGACCCTTCATTCCCACTGGCTTAAAGGGAGAATGAAGAGACGTAAATAAGGGGAGAGGGGGGGATATTAGAGGGACAAAGGAGAGAGAAGAAGGGGAGAGGGAGAGCATTTTTCAGACCTGCTTGAAAAGAAACCAGGGTAAAGGGAATGTTTAGGTTATGATATTACAACAGGAATGCAGTCCAGTCTCCTTTTACAGGACACAGTCCAGAACTGATGCTGATGGTTCTTTATTATTCTGTCTGCAGGGAGAGATCCAGACTACAGCACTAGACTCCAATAGTTAAATGGACTCCCAACATAAGTCCAACGTACAGACGCAATGTACCTGTTTACTTTTTTAATATGAAAAAGTGGAGCTTGTTGCAACACAGTCCCTCTAAATAGCCAATCTATTGGTCTGTATATTGATCTGCAGCAGGCGTTTGACACCATTGATCACAGACGGTTATTGAAGAAATTAGAGATGTATGGAATACGGGGGGTTGTTCATTCTTGGCTGGAAAGTTATTTAGGTAATAGACACCAGTGTGTATAAATTAATGATACTATGTCATCGCTGAGAAAAATTACATGTGGCGTACCACAAGGATCAGTGATTGGTCCGATACCGTTTATTCTTTATATCAATGACATCTGCAATGTAACAGATTTTTTTTTAGATATGTTATATTTGCAGATGATACCAATTTGTTTTGCTCCGGTAAGAATTTAAAGGAACTTTTGTGTTGTGTAGAAATGGAGCTGGAAAATCTCAAGACTTGGTTTGGCGCCAATAAATTATCTTTAAATAGTAAATAAACAAAATTGTTGGTTTTTGGGAATCTAAATGAAAGTGATTGTACTGTTAAGTTAAGAATCTGTAATGTTGACATTGAAAGAGTTACTGAGACTAAATTTCTTTGGGTTGTCATTGATCAAAAGTTAACATGGAAACAACACATTGAATACATAAAAGGGAAAATTTCAAAATCACTTGCAATCCTGTACAAATCGAGAAAAGTATTGAATTCCAAGGCCTTGCATTTGATCTACTACTTATTGATTGTTCCCTATATATCTTACTGTGTGGAACTGTGGGGATCCACCTTTAAAACCACTATGAATTCAATAATAAAACTGCAAAAACGAGCTATACGTGCAAATTATGTTTAGAGCAAAATCAAAAATGCTCCCTGGCTCAATACAGAGGTTCTTTTCAATTCAGGACAGTCTGTATAATCTCAGAGGTGCTTGCAAATTTACTGTACAAAAAGCTAAAAAAGGTATGATAAGGGGATGTGTCTCCATTATTGGAGTTAAATTCTGGAATGATGCCAACATAAATCTAAAAACATGTAATTCTTTTTTTTTTTTTTTTAAGAAAATGATTTGTTAAGCTATTTTTGAAGCTGATGAGTGCGGTTAATTATCTGTTGTTGTGGTTGCTTTGCTTATCTGGAGGTCAGTAGCCTAAAAGGTTGACAATACAGGATAGGCTTTTATAAGCAGTCTGCTTCTGCCCTTTCAGTCAATATTCAACACATGATTCTTGATTTAGTGATTTTGTGTGAAATGTCAATATTGTGTACAATATTTGGTGTTGTCATGACTGAATAAACGACTACTAAACTAAACCGGACTTAACTATCATAGTAGGGGATTTTAGAGCAACCCTTGTGACCTCTGTCTCCAAATCTCCACATCTTTATTTTCTGTTTGGGGTATTCTAACTCTTGAATAATTTGGCTGATATTAATTCCATTGCATGTTGCCTTTATGTTGCAACATGTAAAGCTATTTATTGGTTATTTCCTGCAGAACACCCCAGGGCACAGGTGTGTGCAGACCTAACATGAACAGCCTCATGGAAAGAACACACCAACATACCAAACAGAGTGCGTTAGCTTGGATTGTTATAGATATAAATCAAAAGCATGCATATGATTAATTATATATTAAATATATATTATATATTATACAATGTGCAAATGACGGAAAAGTACCCCTGTCTGGCTAGTTAAATCTTAAAAATGTGGCCTTTAGCTATGAGCAGAGGAATGCCGCTGTAGATGTAAGTTATGTGCATCATTTGAAAAATCTCCGCTACATGTACTGTCATGCATCAGTCTGAGGACAACTTGGAATTGAAGTATCAGGTGGGTTATTTTATCTGGCTGAAGTCAGCGAATTCTCCACAGCTCACAACAAAGGTTGCATAAGACAATAGCAGGCATTATTCAGAAGTTAAATACATATGCAGGATTTTGTCGAGGCGATTCCCATGAGGCCACATCTGAAGTGCAGAGAGTGATGTGTTGTTATGGCTGGAAAATGATAAATGTAGTCTAGAAAATGGGCCTTTGGTTAGGAGGGTTTATGTGCACACACAGGACAAAAGGACACGCACACACATGCATATCCATGGCAGCAGGATCTTATCTTTCTGGGACTGCGAGGATCTCTTTGTGAATAAACAGGAAGAGAGCTTATGCACCCAGCCTTGCTCCACTTTCTCCACAGCTCCTCCTCATGACACCTGGTATGTGTGGGGGCCAAGAGAGATTTAGTAGCATACATACCGGTATAGGTTTTTATCTGTGGACTGTGGACCAAACAAGCCATCATTCAGGTCATTCCTGATATCATCATCCACTTGAAAACATGCCCTTCTGTTTACATTTTTGTTCGTTTCAGGTCTTAACTGGCTGAAATGCATCTCAGAACCAACAGTGTCTAAAAAAGGAACAGCTAAATTCGATCGCCTCAATGCTCCTCCAGAATGGTCTTGCAGCCTCTTTTAACCCTCTTTCATGTGAAGTGTTTCCAGAAACTATGCGGCTATTAAGCCTTCATGCATTCCTGCTAGCATGGGAGCTGGTAAGCTTCGGTAATGACATCACCCAAGGGCCAGTGGGTTTGAGGGACGCCAAATGTTTGACAGCATTCCCGGGTGAATTCCACAACTCCCATGTGATCCCAGAAAACTGAGGAGGGACTCTGCTGTTGAAAGGGAAAGAGAAATGCAGGTTTGTGACAAATCCTAAACATATACGCTTAAAATTCCTCTTTCAAATCAAAACGTTTCAGTCAGTGGAAAAAAATAGCCACCCATCATAAACACTCTAAATCGTAACCACCTCAAATGGAATTGGAAGATGCATCTAATCCCGGAGGAATCCCTGGTATCATCACTGATGTAAGGCTGTGAGTATTTTTGTGGGCAGAACTATTTAACTCACATGCTTCTGATGACAAAGTAATGACAGATAATTGGCTGACTGACTCTGTTATTGGCTCAAGCATAATGCAGGTAGGAGCAGAGTCATCTGTTTGCAGTGGTCTGGTGCCATGCCTGTACTTGTTCTGAGAGGTCTCTCTCTTTAACTCACTCCAGATCATCTCATCAGACGTATAACAGTCATAAGATTAAAGGGATATTCAGGTGTAAAATTAATTTAGGGTCAAACACACTGTAACACTGAGTTAAACAACCCCCGAGAGAGATGAATGTTGCTAACCGCTTGCTTCTCTAGTTATACCAACTTTAGTAACGACCGCACGATAGCAATACACAGCGGTCTGAAGGAGCCATAAACAGACCTCAACCAAAAAGCCACAAAACTCTATCGCCACAAATAATGCTCAGAACAGCACCTAACTTCATCAACAGTACATATAGGGTCCCAGCCACAGCACTGGCCACCAAACATCTTTTTAACTTTGCCTAACTTCTTTCACAAAGAGACTAAACACAACTCACCTACTCTCTTCCAGCAGCCGCTTGTTTGTAGTGAGACCTCAGGCCAATCCATTACCGACTGCTGTGGGGTGACGCAGCTCAAGGAAGAACATTTATGATAATTTCATCATGGAAATGCAATCAGACCAAGACACGAAGGCAGAAGAACTACCGTGTCTGCAGTGCAAAATGATTAATATGATGATTATTACTTCAAGGAAATCATAAAGAAATGATCATAAATGTTCTTCCTTGAGCTGCGTCACCCCACAGCAGTCCATATTGGTCAGCAACATTCATCTCTCAAGGGGGTGTCTAACTCGGTGTTATGGTGTGTTTGACCCTTAATTAATTTTACGCCGGAATATCCCTTTAAGTCATTTGTTGTTTTTTTAGCTGTTTCATTACTAAAATCATCATGTTCTAAAAACAAAGTACAGACAAATCTATTCTCACTTACATCCTGTAACACCAAGGATGAACCGATGGTTTTACTCACAAGTGTATTCATAGACTAGTGTTAACCACATTCAGAGGGCTTTAAAGGCTACAAAGACTAGTGACACAACTTTACTTCACACAAACACCAGCAATCAAAGAAGGGGTGTGACAATAAAACTTCCACTGCAATGCCAAATCCTGTTTTTCTTATTAGGGACTGGAAACTACAACATGTGTTTGACTGTAAAGCAGCCAACTATGCCTCTGATTGATGTAGTGAAATGTTTCCACTGCTGTAACTTACGGTGTGAGGGGATGTAAAGCTTGAAAAAAATGCAGTACTGCACAGTTAAATCTATTAAGATTATGGAGGAAAAATTTTGAGGGCAGAATAGAAAAAATCTTGCCCAGCTAGCACCTTAAATCCAGTTTTTATGCGTCTGTCACATCCTTGGTTGTCACTTGCTCCTTTGAAACCTGGGAAGCCAACAGGGATCCTGTGACGTGTGTCTGTGTGAGAGAAGTAGAGGACCAATCCAAACAACACAGGAATGCTCTCCATCAGTGGATCGGCTGCTCTCTTCTCTCCCACTTGCCTGCCATGGTATGCGTAATTACTCTACAATTTAAGTGCCTGTGCTTGTGACTGTGGGTGTTAGTGTGTGCACCTCACAGTGCTGGGTGACCACAGGCAAACATGTCAACACTGTGGCCTGGACAGTGAGGACAATTTTGCACAAGTGAGCCGTGGAGAGGGAAGACAGCGAGGCACAGTAAATAAGAAAAAAAACATTTCCTGATAGAAGAAGGAAAAGTTGGCAGTTTTAGGAGCCTAGCTGACTTTCCTCCTTCCTTATTCCCTTGCATGTGACTGCCTTTGCTTTGTAAATCGCTTTCTTCTCCTTCCGCCTCTCTTCTCCTCCTTTCACCACAGGAATGCAAGGCGACTGTCACTGTCTGTGTCATGCATAGTAATCACTGCAACCAAAATACACACACACACCCACACACACACACACACAAGCAACTGCAAACACACACTAAAGCAGTTAAACAAAAGAATATTTCCCATGATATTAAGTCAGCATAATTTGGCAGATTTGATCCTAACTGCACTTTAAATCCAGGTAGATTGGGCATCAACACAATAAGCATTAACAGTTACAGCAGTGCATGCATATGAGCACACTTTTATGGAAATTGTGCCACACGTTCCACACATTTTTGGCTTCCCCTCTCTTTTTCCCACCTAAAGGTAAACTGCTTTACCCTCTAGTTAAATTATACAGCCCAGCTATAAGTATACTGTATACAGGGCTGGCACTATGGGCTCTTGCTTTACAATGTGGAACTTTGCTTAACATAGAAACAAAAATAGTCATGCATTGCAGCTGCACTTTTGCCTCCTGTTCGTTTAGTTATTGGAAAAACAACAAGTGCATAGTTAAAACCCAACTTTAGCTCGCTGCCAAGCGTTCAGATTTATTGCTGAACTGAAAATGCAATTTTAAAAATATCCTCTGGCTTTATGACGCGCATTTCCACTCAGATTAACTTATTCTTAAACAAACATTGTATGAATCCTATCATTCCACAACCTTATTTGTGCAAATGTTCAAATAGAGCTGACACCTTAGTTTGCAACACATATGATTTCACAAGAACAAGAAACATGCAATGTAATTAATTTAGCGATTAGTCATGATTTGCATAGATTACCATCAAAATGAATGAATGAATAAATCCCAGATCTATGTATATAGCTGTTTGTGAGGTTCTGCATACATTATCGTCATAGAGATAAATACAGATAAAGTAAGGTAATGCTAATACTGATAAATATTTCTAGTTTTGCTCCAGAAGAAAACGAAGGGAAAAGGATCTTGAGATAAAATCAGCTGTGGTATGAAAGGATTTGGTTAACATGTTCATGTCAATAAAAAAAAACATGCCACTGGGCATGGACTGCACTCTGTGATCCGAGCAACAGATTCTTTCCCTCTTTTGGACTTTTTGCATGGTTAGGAGGGTGAAAGAGTTGCCTGTGAACCAAAATGTTGAAATAAAAATTTGTAAGAAAGTAGAAGAGTTCATTAAATTAGCTAGAGTTGATGTTTCATTAGTATCCCTGAGAGTCTTACCGTTTTTAGTGTGTATGTTAGAGTTTACAATGAACCCTAGGTAGATTGAAATTCCTCTTTACATTCAGCATTTAAAAATATTCTATCATTGTTAAAATAAATCAACAGGACTTATGATATCCAGCAATGGTGGCAGAATCTGCCATCCTATTTTCCCGTGTCCAGCACACAGCGGTCCTGTTGGGCAAACATGTGTCATCTTGGCTTGCTGTCCTGCTCAGACAACAAGAGGTTGTTGAGTTTGATAACAATGTTGGCAAAGTCCGTGAGTTCCACAAAGTCTGAAGTTATGATGTTGACCCCGTCCACCCCTGGCTTCTGAGCCTCCACCCAGGACATGATGGTTGGCAGGTTTCTAAAGCCAAAAAAGAAGAAAGACTGTGTGAGAAGGCAGGGTCTCACTATTTTTTGTTACACTGAACATCCTGTCACTTGGAATTTATTTCAAATGAACCCCTTGGCTTGCAAATGTACTGTATATGATGAAGTGCCAAGTTCCAGTCTCTGTATGGTTTCTTGTTATGGCTATAACATTATAAAACTGAGTCAGCTGCTCCAAGGCTGGATGTCTATCCAAAAACAAAACTTCAAAATAATCTGTTAAACAAGTTTGGAGACATTGATGTGTTGTGATGTAGGGAAAAGCGGACTTGATGGATAAAAAAGGTTAAAGAGAGTGTTTGTGTCTGACTACTACTTTTCCACTATCTTCTAGTGTCTCGTGTCTGTTTTGGTTCCTGGCATAGGCGCGCACACCGCCAAGACTCTGTAGCTGTATCACTTCTAACACCCAAAAAGTCTCCTCTCAGTCTTCGCCGGCAGCAGAACAAAACCAGGAAGTCAGAATGTTTACCCGTCAGAGATAAACAATCCCATTTCCTCACAAGTGCAAAATTAGGCTACCTCCTGTCTCGCCAGAGCGTCCATGCAGGAGTTTTACAGGCAGTGGTAATTTTTCTCACACATGTGAGTTAGGTGGGTTTGTCCTGTAAGTCAGGATTTCCCCTCTCATTTCCACCTAAATCTCAGGCTCATGGAGTTAAATTGACTGCTGAGGTTTGTGCAATTTATTCAGTCTTCACTTGAGTTAAAGGAAACTTATCTAGGGGAGGGAATGTGCCTCTGTCATATCCTTTATTTCTAAATGAATGGAGAGGATTGTACTTAATGCTGAACTGGACACAACGATTTTTCATTAACAAGGATTTTTGTTTTTGAGCAAACCAGTGGGTTATGTCAAAAGTAGATACAACAAAGTAACTTGACTGCACCAAATTCTTGCAGGAGGTGCAATACTTTTGATGTGCAGTTTTTCTTACTTTTAAGCCACTTTTTGCTCTTTTTTGTCATGCAAGCACATGGTTTATGATGCAAAAGTGCAAAGTTCAAACTAGCTGGATGAAAGGGAAGATAAGCCCCAGGGTGTAGTGGAGGAGGAAATTGTCAGTTATAGGTTTAGAGTGCCAAACAGCTCAGTCAAAGAAGAGGGTGGTACTTGAGCTGTATGATGTATGTAGAGACATATGAGGTTGACAGCCCTGTGTGACACACTGTACTCTGGCACTTGAATTAAATTATTACTAAATAGATAATTACAGAAATAAATTTACTAAATATAAACCTTTTTTATTTTCATTCATATATCAATTCTCCTCCAAGCATTACTCTGTTGTTTCAGTGCATTTGGCATAAACAATGAATGCAAAGCAGTAATTTCCTTTTCTTTTTCCTTTTGCATGGACCTGAGTATGCTGGTAATCTTTCTTGTGGACACATCAAGCTTTTATTGCACTGCCCTCTACTGGCCAGAGAATTCAGAAAATGGCTTGAATTAAGGTTTTTTAAAAAGGTATTAAAAAGATGTCAAAAAACCACAAAAGATACATAGATGTAAATCCACAATTCTATTTTTCCACTGTAAAGCCCTAATTTCCACCATATATCTCCTTAAAATGTAGTCACTGACCTCTCCACCAGGTAGTTCCGCAGCCCCCACACCAGGCCCTTAGCCACAGTGTTGACTCTGGGTGTGAGGATGGCCTGGGATACATGGAAGGATCCCTGTTTTGCTCTTTCCTTCAGTGTGGTGTCCAGGAACTAAACAGGAGAATAACAAACACAAACAATCTCATTGTGACAAATCTTTGCTGAATCTGTCCCAAAATACAGCAAAATATATTAAAAAAATAAACTGGATTAAGTTATTAATAAAGTGGCTCAAATGAAGTAATAAAAAATTACAAAGATGGGTGTTTTTTATAAGTTTATAATAATGAACCAGGAGAAAATGATAATTTTAGATTCTAGTGTAGGGAATTAGTTAAAGTTAAAGTTAAAGAAAATATATAAATCACTGATTTGACATTGCTTAAATCATCAGTCTTGTGGAATAAGCACGCCCCAGACAGCTGTATTGATTTCCATTAAGGAGATAACAAAAGGTGCATGTATGCCGGTGAGTCCTTATCACACAATGTTGTTTTTCTGACCTGGATGAGCTTGCGAGGTTCAGTGGTGTTTGCCCAGGGGGCGGGGATTTTGTTGCCTGGCCACATTATAGGGTTGTCCTTGCCTGATGGATGGTGGTAGAAGACAATTACCTGGAGAAGGGGGAAAAACATGAGGGCAAGACGATTGGTTATTTATTCTTCACCACAAAGTGAGGCTGCCCTTTGCAAATCCAATCTCTCTTCTGCTTTTCTCTCCTCAGTTCCCCTGCTCACCTACTTCCTCTGCTCTGCATTCGCTCTCACACTAAGGCAATCACAGATTAGGGTCATGGTGACAGATCTCAACTTGAATGAGTCGTGCACATCCAATAAAACCATACAGATATACTATTAACGCAGGTGTGTACAGAGCTACTTAATTGTATAAGTATTTGTAGGTAAATGGAGGGTAAAGAAAGAAATGAATGATGACAATGTGAGGAGAGGAATTGAAAAAAAAAAACCTCAAATGTTTTGAAAAAAGTAGCAGAGATAAAGAGAAGACGATGAGACAGAAAGACAGTAAAAACAAAAAGAAGCACGAGGCGAGTGTAACATTTGGATAAATGTTAATACCTTGTCAGAAGTAAAGCAAACTGGTAATGGGATGATGCTTAACACTAAAGCCTGTCCAGTGAAGTCATAGGCCACAGGGATTACTTGACTACAGGGTTAATTGTGCTGACCAGTTCAGAGATTTCTCCATGAATGTGTGCGCACAATTACAAGCTGTAGTAAAATAACCTCTTAGTGCACGCAGATCGAGCTCTTTGACACGTTAAATGACATTTTAATGATTCACATGTAGACCACATACTAGATAAATGGCCTGATGGTTTAAGATTTGCTGTGAAAACACCTCTAAAATGTATGCCTGCATTCTGATCTCTTACCTGGTATCCTTTCTCCCACAGGTAATCCAGGGTGATGCCCTCAACTGCACCGTGGTTGCAAAGCTTGCTGCCAAAAACTTCCTGAAGCATGTTGATGAGGTGTGTGTGATGATCTGCGTTCATTGCGTAGTAGTGGTTGAAATCTAGAAAGACTACCTGGATTTGAACAAACAATTAAATCACATGTTAGTTTGATGTACTCGTTCGTTACAAAACAAATCTCTGTCCCGCAAAATACCTCTCACCTCTTTCTTGTGTCCGGATAAAAAGGTGTTTATTTCTACCAAGCCGTCCCTTACCTTTGGGAGTGAACAAGGTAAAAGATTTAGAGTTTATTTACTGCATCAAATTTAAAGGTACATAGGTAATATACAGAAACAAAAAGACCTTTAAAATATGAGTCACAGTTTTTAACATTGCATCATGAAACAAACAAGTCAAACTTAATCTGAGCTGTTCCTCCCTGCTATGAAAGTGACGCTTTAATCTCATGACACAATACTTCGAGCAAAACGCCATCTCTCTAGGGTACAGACATGACATGTCACAGTGACCCATTTCAGAAGATAGATGTTTACAGCTGAGCTGACAACCTTTGATCGCTGCTTAAAGCCGGCCTGCATCCCTCTAATAACAACACCAGCAAGCAAACTACAACACAAACTGGATAAAATCACCTTTAAACTATAAACTTGATTATTGGAGAATACATTAAGGGATAAATCGGGGTTGGTTTTAGGACACAAAATGTATATTTAAGTGTCAGAATATGATTGTTGCTCACCTTGTGGCCAAACAGACCATGGATGAAGTAAATCTCTTTTCCCCGCTCGCCCGGTTTGGAGGAGACCCTCAGATCAAAGTATCGGATACCTGCATCCAGCTGCTCTTTGAACGTCAGATTCTGCACGTAAATATAATTTATATGACATTATAAATCACAACTTGACCCAACACCTGAAACATCTGTTTGGTTGTAAAATGCAGACTTGGAAAACTAAATAAAAGTGTCTGTGTGTCGATTTGGGGGTTTGGACATATTTACCTGAGTCATAGACCACTTCACCATGACTTTCTTGGCTAAGACGCTGAACATGGTGGCCAGGTATTTAACATATGCCTTCTGATCTGGGCCAACAGGAGCATGGACATCCACCCAGTAAGTGAAGGAATCATGAGACCCTGGAATGAATGAATTTTAACAAGTGAGCAAATCAGAAGGAAACCCAAACTGTATAAATGAAATATAAAGCAGAATTATGAGAAAAATGACAGGCAGATGTATTTTCTAACATCACAAATTCATATGACTGTCTGACAAGCCTTGCTGTCAAATTTGTGGCTTTCTTTAGGCTATGGCTACAGTGCCAAACATTTACGCACGACAGACTCACCAGGCACAGCGAGGTGTTTGAGAGGCATGGCACTGAGCTTGGGGGGCAGCGAACCCATCCAGTCGGCGTGGGCACTGCCGATCCCCGCAGGTCGGGTCTTCATGTCAGAATCAGCCCGTCAACCTCCCTCAGGAAACCGCTCTCCGGTGCCATCCCGGTGACAGATTCCCATGCGCTCCCAACAGGTAAAAACAAGCATAAACCATCTTCGCCTCCACCTTTAACTCCTCGGTATCATCGATTCAGGACGCTCTCAGACTGAATCCACGTTTCTTCTCACTCACTGTCCGCCCTGTGCTTCTTCAACAGGATGTGTCTCACCAGGTATCCATGAACGAGACCTGTGGCTGGCTAACGACTGCGCTAATCCTCTTAAGCAGAGGTCCACTTTATTATCCCTCCTTCTCTTGCTTCTTGGTTTACCTCACGTGTGTGAAGTGTTTGTGTGAAGACCACCCCCTGAACACCTGAACTGACACACATTGGAGCAAATAGAGGAAAGCTGTCTAAAAAAAGAAAGTTGTGTATTTGAGTCAGAGGGTAATGTCTGGGGGAAAGGTTGCAAGGAGTTTTGCAATTTTGGCTTCTGGTGTATTATATTACATTAGTCGTATTGTTACTATTTTTTTTGTGTTATATTGCATTGTACAGTATTGTGGCTTACTCTTTTGTTCATGCTTACACCACTTTTAATAGACCCCAAACAAGTCTGATTGTAATACAACTCTAAAAAGTATGTGCTTTTCTGTTTGTGGTTTCCAATGTCCAATAACATAATAATATTTAAATCAAACTATAGAGACGTATTAAAAGATTCATAAAAATAAACTAACAAAAATTAAGGTTTTATACTAGATATACTTGATTGCATAGAAGTAAAATTAATTCAGAATATTATAACAGTTATTATTATCATTATAAAATGCTAATAATTATAATAAGTAACCTATGCAGTGTTGAGCAGATATGTTTTGGATAATATGTAGGTATTTATACAGATCCTTGTAATTTATACAAGGAAGGGGCAGGACTAGATAAGCTCTTTGCTTCATTCTGTTCCTTCTCAAACTGTTTATTTAGACATAGGCTACACATGTGTAAATTTATCTTTGACATGTACAGTTGTTTGGTCTACATATCTATTATTTTGTTCAGTGTTTTGTTTCTGGTTGTTTTTTGTTGTTGTTGTTGTTCTTAAAGTTTGAGATAAATAAAGAAGAAAGACAGAAGAATAATAGGCCTATTCATAAGATTAATTTGTATTTTTGGACTATTCGTGTGGTGTGTGTAATACGCCACCTGTATTTACAGGTCTTTCCAATATCTGCAGGTGTTGTGCCATAGAGTGCACCCCATCCGTTGGATGGATTCAAAAGCGTGTGCCTCTAATGATTTCATTCAGGCTATTCAGACAAGACGAAAATATAATGTTCTCTACCTTGACAGTTTACTGTACAGTTTATATACCCAAGTACACCTCTATATGTGCATTTTTAAGACACATAAAAACAGGACGAAAGTTTGCTACTCTATTTGACATGTTGTCAAGTATGAGATCATTTTCTTCCACTTCAAGAAGCTAACGAGTGGATGGGATGTAGGGGGTGCATTCTATGGCACAACACCTACGACTCCAACACAACCCTAGAGCTCCACCTTGTGGAGCAGAGCTTGAACTACAGTCCTTCTATCAAAAACAGTGCTAAGTTGTGAGCTGACCTGACACCCTGAACTAGCAGTGAGTGCTAAGTGAAGCTAGCGACAACGTTGAACAATTTTAAACGTATTTAAGATGAGACAGACATATTTTTAATCGTTCTTTTCAGTCATTCATACAAAGTAAGCTGGTTTAAAGCCCACTTAATGCTTCTTTTGACATTTTAGTTGTCAGTTTAACGTCCTGTTGAAAAGATATCTAACTTCATTTAGCCTTTCTAAGCGCTACATTAGCTTTCCAGCGTTATGGACAACAAGCCCCACAAAGCAATGCGTCCGCACGCGCAACTCGTCACCCGTCAACTTAAGCACGCGTCGCGTTTGTGTGCGTTTCCATGGAGAGCAGAGGTAAGCACACTCGTTCACAGACACACACAGAGCACCTTATCTTTAGAGGTAGGTTATGATACTGCGTGGATTTTGTTTCGACAAACTTCGGGTTATCAGCAGGCCCATATAACCGCCGAAAGAAGGAACCCACGCCCTTTAATGGTAAGTTTAAAACTGTTGAAGAAAATTAGGCGATAGGAGGGAATAAACGTGAAAAAGGGTTACGTTTTATGTTATTAGTCTTTGTTTACCACACCGGTCAGTGTACGCCACTTAAGTTAGTTAATAACATGTTTTTTATTTTGCTGAGTCAAAAGGGAATGACAATGGCAACACTCGTGGTACTTTATTATGTCATCATGTAATCACATTAGAAGTCGAACTTAATCTGTTTTTGTCTGTTCAGCTGTTAGGGGAATATCCACGCGTGTTTCATTAATCGACCTTGAATAGCCTCCCATGTCAGGAGGCTCGCAGAGATGTTAATTCCCTTTAAATCCCCCACAACAGATTGCCATATGTTAAAGCTGAGTGCAGGCCAGTTTCTCGACTTGTACGATCTGCATTTTAAAATTGTTTCAGTTTTCAATTTCTCAAAATATCAAACAGCATTAAATTACAAATAATTTATTCTTTTCAGTGTGAAAAATAGATGAATAAAAGTGACTTTTTACCTTGTGCACAGAGGGTTGGTGGAGCTATAACTATATAAAAAAAAAGGCTTTGATGAATCATTTGACATTTACCTGGATTCACATAGCTAAATCCAGTTTGGATGTCTTTTCTTAGAACGATTCATTGACATAAATTGTAATCTTCTTTTGTTTAGCTGTCCTCCGCCTACCCGCAGCAGTATTCCCTTAAACCTGTAACACAGCATGTCCAACTTATTCATGATACGTTACCCCTAAACCTGGTTTTGTGTTCAGATATCCAAAGAAATAACATTGTGAAGAAACAGAACACAGTCTATTCATTGATATTACCCTTACATGTGCCTTTTTTGGTGGTTTCACCTTATCTTTAAAGCTGTTATGTATAGATTTATACTTGAAAACCTTAAGATACATTCTATGATTTCACCAACAGCACAAAGTTTCTCAAGCTTTTGTATAAGAGGCACCCAATAGTGGGAGACAACCTGGTTTGAATCTGTCATGTGAAAGGATAAACTAGGCTTAAAACAGCTTAAGAGAGGCTACCTAGTTTATCTTGTCTTATCCATGGTATGCCTGAGACCAACCTGAGAATAACAGTTTCATCAAGTCTGGTAATTGCAATGTGTTTCAATTCAGTATTTTTATCAAGCTGTTCTCCCTAATAACTACATAAAAGTTTCAGCAGTGACCGCTGTGCTGTCAGTCAAATCCTCTTGCCAGGCAGGTGGAAAGAAGTGTATGTCGGTTATCGTGATGTAACATCCTATTTTCATCCCTCAGGGCCTAATCTGCCTAGTGCCGGCTGTGTCATCTCTCTTGGGTTTTCATTTAGGAGCCTCATACTAGTGAGGCAAACACCTAATCTATTTTGCAGATGGCAAAAAGAGAAGTGGTCCTTGTCTAAAAACGTATGCATGTGAGGATTCCCAACCTCTGTTAATGTGATTTCTTGCATTGTTTTTATCTTTTGTTGATTGTCTTTCATTTCTTTCCTGATAGGATAATAAAGGCACATCATCAACTAATGGTTGACCGACATCACCAGGACCTAACCTTTCCAACAAAGGAGTATTTTCTGCAAGATGAGTCTTACATCTGAGGAACTAGTCAGAATTGTGACACACCGGCTGAGAGATAATCACTTCTCTTGGGCAAAGAGCAATTGACATCTAAAGGTGAGGAAGCGGGACAAACAAAGACATTTGATCAATGAAAAACGAGCGTGTGTCCGTGTCTCATTGATGAAAAAGGAAAGTTAGCAAACTGATGAAACTACCTGAGAGATGATGAACCGCTACACCACCCTGAAGCAGCTGGGTGACGGCACCTATGGGAGTGTGCTGATGGGCAGAAGCAACGAGTCTGGAGAGCTGGTGGCTATCAAGAGGTGGGGACTTTGTTTTTACCATCAGGGTTTGAGAATTGTATGTCTTTGTGAGTGTATGATCATGTTTTAGTAGAATGACAATTTTTAGGATAAGTTTTTGTCAGTATAGATCAAAATGTCTTTGAGATTTTGAATGTAGGTCAATTCTTGCTTTACAAACTTGATCTGTAATATTTCTTTAACTTCTCACAAAATCAGAACTTTCATACTTGCAAGAGTTATTTGTTTTCCTGGCAAACTTCATCTTACTAAACATTTAAAGCAGAAGTCTCCTGGCGTCCTTCTATCACCAGGGCAAACAAACTAGCTAACATGCCTTTTGTTTGAGCTGCTTGGCAGCAGGGTTCAATAATAGATGAGAAACTGGGGAGATGCGTCCACTACTCGATCATTCGGTTACCATGCAAGACAATACATGTGGTGACGGTGAAAGGGAGTGAAAGTAGAAAGAGTGTGTCAGGTTGCTGACATCGCAGAAGGAAGGACTAAAACTGGCAGGTGCAGAGAGAGGAGGAAAACAATAGCTGTTGGCCCCGTAACTCTTACATAATTCTAGCCAGAGGGTGAGAATCAAAAAGGCATCCTGTGAACCACCTGGTGTATTGTTATAATGTATGTAGTAACACATAGGGGATAAACTGACTTTTACAGCTGTAACTGAAAATAGATGTTTTACACTTCACTCAAGGAAAATAAAACAACAGGAAAGTTTACGCAATTTAAAATATCAGTTTATATGACTTTACAATCTCGAGTTTATTCGTCCTTTTTCTTAAAATGAATGAGCTGAAATTAGAGACACCCCCATAATGCTGAATTATTCATGGAGACACACAGAAGAGTCTTTGAACGATGGTAGTATTACTGTATGTTGAGTGTAATTTATACGGCCTGTAAATTTGATGTCTGCTCTGGAGGTGATGTTTCTGTGATCATACATGGACTGAACTTTCTTTACAGAATGAAGAGGAAGTTTTATTCATGGGAGGAGTGTATGAACTTAAGAGAGGTGAAGGTAAGATTAAAAAGCCTCCTCCTTTAACACCATCTCAACGTTCGCCCAAATACAAATTTTATACATTTCAGCTTCCTTGTTGTTATCAGCTACTCAACATAATTTCCAAATGTTGGCATTTCCTGATCTACAACTGTAAATACATGTTTATTTTTTTCCTCATATGAACTCGATTCTTGTTCCTGCTCCATGTCTCTCCAGTCTCTGAAGAAGCTGAACCATGCAAATGTAGTGAAACTGAAGGAGGTTATCAGAGAAAACGACCACCTTTACTTCGTCTTTGAATATATGAAGGAGAACCTCTACCAGCTTATGAAGGACAGGTAAGGAAAGGAACAGAACTTCTATCCATGCAGATGTTTGCTCAGGAGGTTTTATTTACTGTGCTTTATTATGACTGTGGCACAAAGTTACCTCATGTCAGCATGATTTGATTGACTCTTCATTAACTCTACCGCACAATGACTTAAGATAGTTTAAACTTGACCTACAATAGCTCGCACTTGACCACATCCGCCAACAGACTAATGCCCTCTCTGGGGGTAGACCTATTGTTTTTCCTAGTATAGAAATCCCAAGATCGTCATGAGACCTTTTGTGTGGTAGTTACAGCATTTGAGAAGTTGTTAAATGTTAAACATGCAATGGAGCTTCACTGCTTCACTGGTCAATTCCTCCCTGACGACTCTAACAACTCACAGTGGTTCCAGCTCATCCTGTAACACCTCTTTTGCCACTTTAGATGGCAACACAGACGAGAAACAACCACCATCGTGCTTTTGAAACATTCATATTTAAAGCGAATTATAAAAGGCGTGTAAATATTGTGCCTTGAGTGGGTCATATGAGAAAGTCTTCTGTGGATTGTAAATGTCTATTTCATGTTTGCCAGTAAGCGCAGGTGTCCATTTTCCTGTGGTTGCATTTCCAGGCTCATAAAAACTCCTTTTATTTTTACAGAATAAAATTGTTCCCCGAGTCAGTGATCAGAAACATAAGCTTTCAGATTTTACAAGGCCTGGCCTTTATTCACAAATATGGTAGGTGTGCCGTTACCCGAACATGCCCCGCTAGTGTCAGGGGGTTTGTTGCTCACTGCAAGATTCATTGTCGCATCAAAAAATGACAAATGTGGACTGTTTCAAACACGGTCCTTCAACAGTATGTCAGCCATATTGGTAGTGGCAGGTTCACTGAGTAAGCAAATGCATTGGAAACAAATACATGGATTGTACTGTACCTTTGCCTTGTAACTTTTAGGCCTCCTGCAGCATGGAAACTGCTTCCACACAGCACTGAATTAGGTTTGAAAAGGTGAGGTTAACCCTGTAGAGACAAAGACAACATTTTTTGTAGATTAGGTTGGAAGCAACAATGAAAGGTCAAATTTAGACCAGTACTTCCATTCAAGAAAAGTCAGGGGACACGTTTTTACATGTGCGTCTCTCCAGAATGCCACTACCAATATGGCTGATCACTGCAGCATCTATGTGTATATGTCTATGGTCTTGATTGTCAATTTGGAGATAAGATAATCCGAATCTTGTAGTTTGCAATCTCTTCATTACTACCTCATCTCGCTTGATGCTCTTCATTTCTTCAACAAGTGGATTTGTGGAAGCCATCATGTGTCAGTGGCAAGTCTTCAAATAAAAGAAAAAATCATGAATTATATTTGTTCATGCCAGTGCTCCCACATCTTCACAGTGCACGTCTTTTTCGGGATTTCACTTTCTTCTAACTGCTTTCCTTGTACTTGTCTTTTATTTCTCTTCCTCACTTTTCCATGGCTTTGTCCTGCTGTCAGAGAAAATAAGATGTTCTCTGAAAATGAAATTAGAAACATCTTGTTTCAAGTGCTCTCTGGGTTGGTTTTTGTTCATAAGCATGGTAAGAGACCCTTTACTCTTGTTCCGTTTCTGTTTTAAAGTAGCGTGATGTTTGAGTAGTTGTTTTCTATGTGTGTTTGTGACGAGTCTTGTGAGCTCTAAATAACAATATGTGCATTGTGTATGAAAACACATATAGTATTTACTATTCAAAAAAGCATCAGACTTTAACCCAATGTGGTAAACTTCTCTCATATATATTGTATGGATAGTATAATATGGTTACTAATTCACCCCTTTTGAGTACTTTTAGAGTTTATATTATTAGAGGCTTTAATCCTGCCTCTGTTTAATACACTATCCAGGTTTTTTTATATATAAAGTTTTATTATTATGTAATCTAATATTTTAATGTGGGTCTAAATAACTGTCCGTGTCACATAATCTCACTAAAACAGTTTTGCTAAAGGCTAAAGAAACATTGTTGTGTTTTTTAAATGTTGAAAAGAACACTCAGGCCTTGACTGGACAGACCTTCAGACCAGGGTCTCAACTATCTAGAGCAAACACTCAGTCTTTATTTTCTTTTGCTTTCTGACATGTACTGTACAACAAATGCTCTGCAGATAAAAATAATTTGATTGCACAGTAGTTTGGTTTGGCCTGGCGTAATAGTGATACCCTTTCTACAGGTTTCTTTCATCGAGACATGAAACCAGAGAATCTTCTGTGCATGGGTCCAGAACTGGTCAAAATAGCAGATTTTGGACTGGCCAGAGAGATCCGCTCTAAACCTCCCTACACAGACTATGTGTCGACTAGATGGTAAGAGTAAAAACAAGGTTTTGACTCTAATCCAAAACCCTGAAGAGAGCCTATGTATCATGACGTGATGTTTTAAAATCCTGTAACTGCACAGTAAGAGTCGTTGGCAGGTTTATTTAAGTCTGTTTTTTCTTCCAGGTACCGAGCTCCAGAGGTTCTGCTCAGGTCGTCCACCTACAGCTCTCCTATTGACTTGTGGGCCGTGGGCTGCATCATGGCTGAACTTTACACTCTCAGACCTCTTTTCCCGGGAAACAGTGAAGTGGACGAGATCTTCAAGATCTGCCAAGTGCTCGGCACAGTCAAAAAGGTGAGGAGAAACTGAGGAGGACGGTAGAAATAACTGACCCTTTACCTGGATTTAATCATAGTTTCCCCAAAATATTTTGGATGGTAATATCTCTAAAAATATCATTAAGCGTATTTAACAAAAACCCATCCACAAATATGTTTGTATTTAAATTAATTCAAAGTCAATTTTACCAAAGTAGCTTTAAAAGTAAGAAACAACAGGATCAATTTCCAAATACTTATTTCATCTGAAGAAAGATGAATGAATGATATAATCAATCACTCATTATCTCCTTCTTTAGGCGGACTGGCCAGAGGGCTACCACCTCGCTTCTGCTATGAACTTTCGATTCCCCCAGTGTGTGCCGACCCCCCTGAAGACCCTCATCCCAAATGCCAGCAATGAGGCCATCATTTTGATGAGGGACCTGCTGCAGTGGGATCCAAAAAAGAGACCGACTGCTGTACAGGTGAGAAAGGAGCACAAATGCGCAACAATTCCCGTCCCAGAACAACACACACCTCTCCATGCAGATTATATGTAGTTCCAGTCCTGAGATTGAATCAGCGCTCTAATCCATATAAGTAGATCTTCAGACTCGCACACCCCTGCTTATCTTTCTGAGTTCCACCTGTGCTGCTGCACTCTCTGTGTGTTTATTATGTTCATCAGAGGTTAGCACATAGTTAAATATAATTTACACTCAAGTGACAAGCTTGGATTGCTCTGTGGGCCCAGAGTAGGCAACACCTTTCCAACTGGAGTGACGGTGTTTTTCCGTTCTCAATTTACTCAGCTCCCAGGTGATTGGTGCACGACTTACTTTCAACTTACTTGCCAAGAACTTTTGGATTCATGTCGTAATGAATCAGCAGAATTAGTTATATTAATGAAATACAATTTATTTCACAAATCTTACTGTCCTGCTTCAGATCTTAGCAGGCAAGTGATATCATAGACACCAAAGTGTTATTTATGACATTTTTTGAAGTGATCTGAACTGTGCCATAAGAGCAAGAATGTTTTCTAAATAGTCTTTACTCTATTTTTTTAGGCTCTGCGTTATCCATACTTCCAAGTGGGACAAATTTTAGGACCACGTCCTCAGAGCCAGGAAATCAAGAAGGTGCAGGCCAGGACGCAGGCCCAGAGACAGGTATCGGAGTCAAAGACTGATACCCAGCACTCCTCCTCTGAGTCCAAAGCCTCCACAACCTCCTCCAAGAACTATCAGCAGCATCAGCCTCTTCAGCAGATCCCCCTTCCACAAAATGAGAGTAAACCAGGAGGTCTCGGCCACGCAGTGAGTGTTCATAACAGTATCATAAATGTGAAGTTGGTATAATGGGTATAATCAATTCAGACACAGCCGTTAATGTGGACTTAAAAATGTTATATCCTCTGTAGAAAACAGGATCGCTAGGCAATGAGAACAGCGTTGGTGGGATTGGTGTGCTGAAGAGTGGCCGTCGTCGCTGGGGCCAGACGTTAGCCAGGGCCTCAGACAGTTGGGAAGAATCCGACCCCTCAGAAACGTCCGCCTCCAACTCCAAGAAACCCAGCCTGGGGAACGCAGAGGAGGAGAGGGGCCCTATGGAGCAACGCCCACAGTAAGCTCTATAATGTCTTCACAGATCTGCTGTAAAAGTGAGCACTGGTGCATTGTTTTTACTCGACTGTGGGAGACTCAAATTTTATCACTGTTTCATCAATATTATACATGCATGATTAAAATGATAGGATGCAATATTTAAAGTATGACACCAATCGTAACTATCTGCTTTTTGTTGCAGACCCAAGGAGCAGAAACCTCTGTATTCTTACAGCACAGTGACGAAGCTACCCAACAACATCAAGGCTAGCCATCTCCCAGACTCCAGTCTTCCAGGATCAGCTGCACGGCAGCACTATCTGAGCCAGTCACGATACTTGCCTGGTAAGACTGCATGACTTTAAACCTGGTTAGGTCTGTTGTCATATCGTCCATTTTTATCAACTTTATAACTTCTTGACTCAAGGGTTGATCAGCAAAAATCAGAGTTCTTCTGGAGAAAAAGACATGAGCGGGATGACACTGAGGGACCTTTGGGAGAACTCCTCCAACACTGGCAACAAACCACTAGCTCCTATTGGAGCCAGAGTCAATGCAGGTAAGGATCGATGGCTTATGTAGAGGTGTTAAGAGGCTTGGTGCTCAGGTCCAAGATCTCTCTAACTTGAGTCCAAATGACACTTACACACAGAACCCTTGAAAACTTATTGGATGTGCTGCATGTTTGAACACCAACAGATACATTTTTGCCTTGATTTTGTCTCTCGAATCGGCCTCCTGGTATAATCCCTGCCAGAGTGACAGTAACTTTTAAAGCCTCGCAGTCATCTTGTTACTGTTCATAACTTTTCTTAACCTTATCTGCAGTGAATTTATTTTACTGATTTACTGTGATTATTTGAACCTTTGTTAAAAAAAGAGAATTGTCTATATAAAGTCTTGTTTGTCCACTGGGGACTTTAATTCCAAATGCAGAGAAATAATTAATGGTTACACCGTGACCGTTCTTGTCGACTCCTTTTACCAGGCAGTGTAAACCAGGTCTCTGTCAGTGTCGTTGACTGTTACATAATAGGACACCGCACTCTTTGTGATCAGCTCAGGATGCTAATGATGCAACTAATGTCTCCTGATCGGTATTTATGGATAGTTGCCAGCGCGGCGTTGGGAGTGAGCCAGAGTGTCTGCGACTTTAGAGCCGGGAGACCTCCCTGCTGTGTTCCCTCCTTACCTCTGTTCTTCTGCCTTTCTTTCAACTCTCTCCATCCCTGTTTCTTATTCATGACAGCCGGTGTTAGATCAAGTGTTCCCTAAATGGCCCTTAACTGCCACCCCCCTGCTCATTTGTCCGATCGTGAAGCACAAACAACAACACCCATGTTTGTTTTGATAATGCTCACTTACTACCCATGAATATAGTTTGTCATTGAGGTCAAGACAAACATGTTTAAGCTTAAAGCATCAATCAGGTATGCATATATTGTCCTCAATCTTTGTCTTTTTTTCTTTTCTTTCTTTCTAAATGCATGCCTCCTTTCCAACTCTTCTATTTCTGGGAACACTAGAAGAAAACACGGTGGATAGCCCACAAGAGAAAGCAATTATTAAAGAAAGAGTACTTGAGAAAATCGATCTCTCCAAAGGTATTTCATCAAGATGATATTCCATAAACTGTTTTGTTGTATTACACAGTTGAAAGCAATGAAATTAACCTCAATGTCTCTGTCTCTGTTACTGTAAGCCGCTTGTGATGCTAAAGTACCTTTGTGTATTAACATTGTAGTTAGTGTGCTGGTGATGCAACGAGCTTTAGGTATTCATCCGGAGGCTTAACATGTGAAAGAAACGAGCTGCTAAAAGGCTCCGCAGGAGACACGAGGACAAATACACAGTTAAAGCAAAGAACTAAAAGCTCCAGTTGCTAAATAGGTGGTAAACTGCACTACAACCACAACGTCTTCATAAAGGAACAATGAGCCTTTTCTCTAATTATACTGATAAGCATCTGTGGCCGCTGGAGAAGCAGACTGATGGTGTCGCTGGAAAAGTTGAAAGGCTTCAATTACTTTAGCTTAGTCATTTGTGTGCGTCGTTGCATATGCAGAAGCTACTTCACGCTCCTAAACACATTTGTTTAATATCATCACACGTGCTTGATCATTTATTAGTTATTACCTGACTCAAGTTTGTAATTATTTAGGCTGTTTCAAAGTCACGTGAACACTTTTCTTGTCTTCCAGGGAACTTTGTAAGCACCAAGTACAACCTATCTGGAGGTTACATACCTTCATTTCAAAAGAAAGAGGTGGGCTCAGTGGGACAGAGAATCCAGCTCGCCCCTTTGGCTGGCCAGCATACAAGTAAGATTTTTATTCATTGGCGTTCAACGCTGCATGAGATTCAGCTCCTGTTTTAGTGTTTTATGGTTTGTTTTTAGTTATTTGTTTCTCTTGTTTTTAAATTAAAAACATTGAAACTATATTTTACTTTTGAATATCTGCTTTTATTTCATCCATTGTTTTAGTTGTTTTTTTATGTCTGCGTTGTTTTGTCTATTTATGTACAGCACTTTGTTCAGCTGTGGTTTTTTTAAAGTGCTTTACAAATAAAGTTGAGTTGAGTTTAGTTGAATTTCATTCCCTCTGTTTAAGACGATTTAAGGATTCTTTCAGTTCACATCACCTCCTCTCACTTCTGCTCTCTTCCTCACTTTTCTGAACTACTTTTTTCTATTCAGTGTTTAAATTTCTCACGTTTTAACATCTCCAATTCTATCTCCTACTCACTGGGGCTGTACATTTTCTCTTTCTTCACTCTTTCAGCCAATTTTTCCTCTTCTCCTGACAATAAAAGAGACAATCCAAAATCTGCAAAGTCCAAGCCTGTCTCCAACTCATCTTTGAGTGAATCTAATGAAGGTATTTTCTGTCTAATAGTCGCTATTTGTTCATTCTTTTCTTACCAGGCTCATCTTTTCTTTTCAAGCTTAAACATTTCGTCAAATACTGTTGAGAAAGTGTGTGTGAAACTGACTGACTCATGTTCCTACAGATTTCGATAACTGGAAGAGGAGAGCAGACAGGACTCACATGAAGGGGAGCAGCTACTCAGCCCTGGCAAAAAACTCTGGGAATATCCTGTCCAGAGCCCCGGCCGTCCAGCCTGTCCACGGTAGGGTGGACTGGACCTCGAAATATGGTGGCAATCGGTAGTCCACAAATAAAGAGGACCAGCTTCTACTGGATATTGGACTGTTCCGAAATTAGATAGAAATACAGAAAGTAGATAGAAAGTAATGTTACTAAAGCGGTACATGACATACGGTGTGTCTTTAGAGGAGACGATTCCCATGCCACTGTTGCGTGATTTGTTTCCAGAGTCTCAAACATGTTTGTTCCTGCTGGATGACAGTTGCCATGATGTTGAACCAAGACTGACAATGTCTGCGAGACAATCCCACTGAGTCCTTTAGGATCCAGTGTAGGGCCAATTCTACTGTTAGTGTTGGGATATTCTAAGTAGATGATAAATGTAACTCAGCTCTTACAGCTCTCATTGTTGAGTATTATTTTACTGCTGATAACAAAGCATAAAAAGTCATTTATTTACACTCGTTCTCTAAGAATCCTTCATTGTAATGATAAAAACAATATCTATGACTTTAGCTGACTCTGCTTCACCCAACTCTGCCCTACTTTGTATCATACAATGAATAAAGTGGACATTTTGTAAAACTTTTATACAAATAAACGTTAAAAATCTCATGTTTCATTCTTTCAAAAATGACAAGACAGACAGGTGTGTTATATAAACATGGTGATATATTTCACTCTCAAATATGCACTCCTCTTTTATCTCTTACAAAACAACGCTAATGTTCAACAGGAAATGACAAACGCTGACTGACGCTCTCCTCAAACTCAAGGTGGATAACATGTCGCCATCTCCATCAGGACTCCTGGGGCTTCTGGAGCAAAGCCAGACTAAGTTTTCCCACCATCAGAAGACTGCAAAGAGACAGTAACTTTAGACCCCAGGGACACAGCAATGGACGTATTTTAAAACCAGAAAAGAAAAGACCAAGATGATATCAGACTTACAGTATTTCTGAACAGTAAATTAAGCAATACAAATGAGTTAAATACCTTGCTCCAGCCATCAAGCCAGCTGGCATGAACTTCCTTGATCCATAAAACCTCTTTCCCATGACACCCGTCAGTGCGCCTGATGTAGCTAAACGACACCATGTGGTTAAAAAGGTTAGTTGTGAATAAAAAAACATGATGCATCATCACTATACTAAAACAGTCCTGGTCAAACACTCTTTACTGAGTGAATGCCTTTTCAACACTTAAAACACTGTATATTATAACTCCACTAACCAAGGGATACCCAAATGTTTTTGGGGTCATTGGAGATCTGGTAGGCACCAAAACCTGCGAGGCCACCGAAGAGTAGACCAGCAGCAAGTGAGGGGACACTACCTGAAAGGAGAGACACTCCAGGTTATCATGTGAACCCAAAATCTGCAAAACTTGGTTTGAGTTATGTTATGAATGGGGACAGAATGTAGTTTCAGTATGCATGGAGTTAATACTGTTAATACTTATACCCCTAAAGCAGTTCGATTTGCACAATGAAGGCTACAACATTTAAAGCAGAACAATCACAAGCAAGCAAATGCAGTTATAGTGCCAGCCTAAAGGGGACAGTGGGGTAAGATGAGCCATTTTTCATATTTTGGATCACTACATCAAGGCAATCATAGTTTTGTCTCTAACTTGTGTATCTGCATATATTTCAAGATGTTGTTCATCCCTGCAAACCAACAAAATGAGTGAAAACATAACTGTCTTGATAATATTGCATGCCTCGAAAAAAAAGTGGTCTCCTATGGTCAACTTACCTCATGTACGTGGTAAGTTGACCATAGGAGTGCGGTAAGTTGAGCCGTATCCCTACTACCCCCACACACTCCACCCCAGCCCTCCCTCAACTTCTTTTTCCCTAAATAACAGTCACTTCTTCACATTCATGTGTGTTTTTATCTATTATACACTATTCAACTGGTACAATTATTCTTTTTATTCTTGCATTTAATTGCTAAAAAGCTGTTTTGTAAAAAGTCATTTTAACATGAGAATGTCTTTAAGTGATTCAGAACATTCACAGCTTTTTGAAAAGAAAAAGTAAAAACATTTCAACAATCTGAACTGAAACTCTGATCATCTCATCATACTCCTTTACTTTCTTATTTGAGCCACTGACTCAACTTACCCCAGAACTACTATTCTGACTTTATTAGTCCTCTAAGCTAAAATGGTGGACTTTTATGTTAGGGTTTTTGACCTCCTGTTGTAGCTCATAGATACAACAATTGATGTATAAAACAAATTTAAAATGATCTTTTTTTGGTCTGAACACAATTTTAATAAAACTTATGACAGACTAAATTCACTTTCAAGAGTGAAAAATGTTTTTTTTTGGAAATAAATGTCTAACCTTCACTCATGTGCTTCTAACCTTCACAGACTCCATTAACTGATGCCCATCTCCTTAATATTTGGTAACATGATCAATTTCTTTTACCATTTCCAAGCAACAGAGAGTGGCTCAACTTACACCACTCTCCCCTATGCATCATCAGTATCATTTAGTCTAACATGCATGATATACAACGTAACCCTCACAAACTCAATATTAATATAGTATTTAAATACACGCATACCTGCTTTCACATAACCAATGGCTCCTCCTGATGCAATAAGAGCTGCGTATCCATATCCAACCCAGTCCACCGTCATGTTTGACACCTGTCAGGACCACAGCGTGAATTAGCATCCTCACTGAGTACACTCATGTATATTTCAGAGGTTTTATAATACTTACAGGAGGAAAAATATCTGAAGAGTTTCCTGGCTGCTGCAACACAGTGCTATTGCTTAACACAATGTGAGGCAACAGAAGGTATAAAAACATAATAACGATAGAGACAATTCCCGCGTCCTCACAACAGTCTGTTTTAGGGCAGTAACTGTTTCATTGTGGCCCCTTAACGGGGGTGAGTCTGCGTCTGTTTTTTCAGATAAGCTTAATGTCCCGACTGTTAAGCCTCAGCATGAGCTGCAGGAGCTCATATTAGCAGCACTGGAGTTACAACACACAGAGTATTACAAGACAGACGAAACGCACTGTCACTATCAATTAAGGAAAATAAGTCACTGGCACGCCAAGAATTAAACATTTTTTAAAGGTTTGATAACAGAATTTAACGAAATGTAGCATACAACCTTGTTCCTTCGATTTGTCCTCTGTTGACACGAGCAGCAGCCACTGTTTCCCACCGAGCCTAAAATACTGGCGCACTCAATGAGAGGTAAAGTGGCTGATGGGAAATGTAGGCAGTCAGGTTGCAAAAGGATGCTGCTTAAAAGTTCGATTTTAAATCAATAATTGTTGATTGGTGTGATATTCGACACAGGAAATTATGAACAAAGTAAAAATATTGGATTATTTTCAGCACATTATTTTCACTTGGTTTATTCTGTTTGGTCCTAATAACTGTCAGTTGTGTTTTGGTGTATGCTTTCGTGTGATTTTTATTTGAGGTACTGTTGCACAAACCTGGTAATTGCCATTAAAATTTGTCCTACATGAATTTACAGCCTACATCAATTATGTAATTTAACGTATCTCACTGTTAAAGTAGGACTGACACATTTAATCACTTTGGCCTTTTAAACTTTATTTGGCCTCATTTACACCAGGAGCAGCAACAATTGGCAGCTCTGCAGTCTGCCTTAAATGTGCATTAATAATCAATTCATCAATCAATCATCAACATGTTGAACAGCAGCAATGCATGGGCTGAAGCACGTTTTTATATCTCTAGATTTTATTGTCTACTTACCCAGAACTCATGGCCTAGGAGGAGAATTTTTACTAAAGACTGGGCTGACTCTTAATCAGCCTACATAACAGTAATTTACAGTTTTTTCCCATTTCAACGTAAAAAAAGACTTTGTTTTAAAGCTCTTGATATTTCTATAAATCACACAGCCACAAGATGGCACCACAGGATCACATTAAATTGTGTTTCAAGCCATAACCATAACAAAACCAAGCTTAACTATGGACAATTTTTTTAAACAAGTAATGTCATTGTAGGATTTGCTTCATAGTTTTTTTGAAGCACCATAAGTCTGACAATTAATACTCAGCTTTCATTGCACACGTTTTAGTCTACTGATCCCCTTGGAGTTCCCCATGAAAACAAGCAGCCATACTTATTATCTTGAACGTGTGGTCAAACTTCATGGAGAAAAAACAGGAGAAAAAGTCATCAAACGTGCTCCTGCACGCAGATCATTACAGTTATCATCATGTGCAAAAGTCATCTTGACGTTTTTGTGAGAGTTTTGATGGTTTGTGTTATTTTCCATTTGTTTCCAAATGATCCCCTGAGCTGCCACCTGCTATTTTGACTGACATCAGTTTGGCAGTCTCACTTAGTTGAATACACGCACACATTCTCATTTGGTTTCAATTACCTGCAGTATTGTCTCCAATTCACCGGCGGCGCGTCCTATCTCCTCACTCGACGCAAGGTGGCGCTGGAACACCGTTTTTCGTCCGCAGGGAGCAGCGTTTGGTACAAAAAGGGGCCTGGAACCCGCAGACTGAATTTTGACAAAGCCACACAGGGCTGCTGTACCATCACTGCAGCTGACAGGATGATTAGTGTCTTTACAGTCACACATGTCAAACCAGATCGAGGTTGTGGGTTAAAATCATTTTACAAATCAAACAGAGAAAATTTGCTAACTTTTTTATAACTTTGAAGACCGAGTAATAAGTCCAATAATAGATCAATAAAAATCTACAAAAAGGAAGCATGAGATAACAAAGAATTGTGTATTCCACTCTGTGTTTTTGGGCATGCTTGGCAACGAGGCAGACGCGTAATTACGCACGACCACACTGCAGCTAAGTACTATTAAAAAGTACAATAAAATACACAATTAAATACATATATTAATTATTTCAAAAAACAAGGGCTACCTCAGTCTACTCTTTAAGCAAAGAAATATACACACAGACAAAAACACAATCAAAAGAAAAATGACAAAAGAAACAGAATATAACTTTTAATAATAATAATAATAAAAATAATAATAATAATAATAATAAATTTAGTTGTAACAAGATGTCATTTGTCTACATATGAATGGCTGAACAGGGTGCCTGGGGTGCAGCCGTTGCCTGCGCCCATTAAACCCAGCGCGCAGTTTTAAGGAGCTGAACGTCGCCGGAGGCCCGGTGCTCCGGTGGAAGTGGTTGAAACCAAGCCCTAGACAAACAGGCTGGATATTCAAAAGGGACCCCACTCTTTAACCCACTCTCACACAGCTCTGCTTTAAAACTTACTCCTCCCTGAGAGCGCAGAGCCCCAAACAACATTTCTGATCCCCCCCACCTCCCTCTCTCTTTCTCTCACTCTCCCTCTCTCTCTCTTTTGTCCAGTCCTGCTAAGGTCTATATAGCTGCAGGTATTGTGTGTGCAGTTAAAATGTGTTCGCCTTTGAAGTCAAACATGAAGGTTGTTTTAAATATTAACACCACAAAGAAATCCATAGATTTTTGTGGAATCGCGAAATTGCGTGAAAAAAACCCCCACAGTTGTAAAGATTTTTGGACAGAACGTAAAAATAGAGTATTTTAAAGTATAAATTATCGGTGCAAGAAATACATACATTTATTGTGAGAGTTTGATGTGAGGGACACATCTAAGTAGTGAGATGCACCACATTTTGCATCCCATCTACACTCTGCATGAGTGTGCATGTGTGTTTACGCGCGCATCGTCAGAAACCTGAAAGAGAAGAAAGGGGTTTTGGACTTAAGCTTCATCCATTATCACCTATGTGGGCGCACGTGTTGCTCTCCACTTTGTATCTATGGGTGTGTTGTGTGTGTGCGCGCGTGTGTGTGTGTGTGTGTGTGAAAGACAGACAGACAAACAGAGGGAAAGCTCATTCGCTCATGGCCGGAGGGGTCTACATAAGTATGTATTAGAAATAAACAGTGGATAAATAAATAATGAGCTTCACAATAGCAGGGTAGCTTTGTGCGTAAAGGTAATGATGTTGGCAGTTAACCTTCAAGTTTTTTTTTTTTTTTAACTCGACACAGTTTCATCTGCACTGAGAATTCATGGTTTTTATCACAAGAAGAAACACTGCACTGAAGAGGAGTAAGGTTCATTTACGCACAAAAATGACCTGACTTTTTTATTCTTACATGAAGTAAAAACAAAAGTTGGAATTGCAAATATTTTTTCTGTCCTTCATTAAATTCATTTTTTTGAACAGGTACTCTATAAGATCACAGTCTGATCAATTCTCCATGGAATTTAGGATAAAAGTGCATCATGTGTCACTTACACTTTCCTCGTTTTTCACCTAAACACACCACATCAGAAGAAAATCCAGATTTCCAAAAGGAGCACTTCCATTTTATTCATTTCAACTGGAGTAACTTGCTGTGATTGCACCTCTTTGAGTCCTCTACCAGGCAAAGTAACACGTGATTTTCCCCCTTTTGCCTTCATATGAATCATGAGTGAATTCATAAATATCACTGAACTGATTAAAAGATTAAAAGCATGGCAGCGAAGGCCTCGACTGAGCCCATGCAGACGAAAAAGGCTATCTCTCCCTCTCCAGGTGTAGACTCTCTCCTTTCTCGCCCACACCCGTAGCAGTGCGCATGCGTCACCAGGTGGCCCCGCACCGTTTTTATGACCAGGTGAGTCGATTCGGTCCAGGTAAAAAAAAAAAAAAGTGAAGGTTTACTTTGAGACTGGAGGCTCAATGAGATAGACACGGCACCGGATCGACCGAGAAAATCTCCGAGGGCAGCAGAAGACAAAGAATGTCAATTATGGGCAAGATGGGGGAATGGCAGGTATGTGCAGCGCTTACTTTGAGACAAAGACACGGCTGTGGAAATCCATGAAAACTGTCAAAGTGTCGACTTGTTGTGGGATGCACAGACACCGTAAAATGTGTTGTAAAGGGTGGAGGGACAGAAGTCGAAATGTAAATCTTCTGGACGATCATCCACGAGGAGATCATACCACGAAGTTGACACTTTTATTTTGGAAACTTTCCTTTCTTGCTGTGATGTTCCCTTACGTGCCAAACTGCTCATCTCTTTGTTTTGCTTTGAAAACCTGAGGACAATGATCGCATGTTGTTGTTGTAGGTCACATTTTAGATCCAGATATGTGTTTGATCACATGACAGAAATGAGTGAAATCAGACATGTGTTGACTTGGTTTGTGTTTGAGTAAGAGTTCATACGAAACAAGAGGATTACATCATGTGCGTAAAGGGGATACACCATAACTTTTTCTGTAAGTGCAATTCCCAGAAACTGTACATAATGTTTCCAAACTTGATCACCTGGTTTAAAATACTTAAAAGAACTCCATGGTGTACTCTAGCGTTTCAGATTTGCTCGGTTTCACCCAAAACCTGGACTCGTTCATTCAGACGACACAAATCCTCTCCCCTAACTTGTTTAAGCCCCTCTCACCAACCACACACAACCTGGCCTGACCAGCAGAAAAGACACTCGCATGCATAGCTGTCATTGTCAGCCAGTTTCATCTCCCTCTCTTCTCATTAATAACAACTGCTTCTTTAAAAAGGGAACTCCACCAAAAATGGTAATCCAGGTTTTAAAGCAGAGGGGCCAACGCCTTTACAGAGCTGGCGACCTGTCTGCTGACCCACGACCTGCTGAGGTGAAGGCTCGGCCGGCGACAGGGGCAGAGCCAGGCTCTCCCTGCAGCTCATTCAAATGAAACAAGGCCATGTTGTTGTGTTAATTATTTACATTCCCCCTCACAAACCCTGCGCCCTTACAGGTAGTCAATGGACCTGTAGAGCCGCTCCGAATGGCTCAAGCTTTTTAACATAACACAGGCAGAATAGCCTCTCAAGGTCTCCGCTCTCAATGGGATTAAAATAACAGTTTGGGACTTAAGAAATTAAGGCTGGCAACAGAGTGTATGACAGGGTTGTATTTGCATAGGCATGCTGCGTTCATGTCAAGTCCTGGAGAAGGAAAAAAACGAAGACACTTGGCTTACAGAAATCAAATCTGTGCGCAAAAGTAACTCTAAAATACACATTTACGTTTTTAAATTGTAAAATTGTGAAAAAATACGTGTTTAAAAATGTGATAAAGCCTCGGAAAGAGCTGCACAATTTCTACAATAAACCGTCCCAGGTGCATGCAGGTCCCCATGCATGACAGTACCCCCCCTTACCAAATACACACCTGACTGAACAGTGGAAATAATAAGCGTGTGTGGCGTCTTGCTGCTTTAGTTTTTACCTGTGCGCTGTCCATTGGTGTTGTGTGAGCAGATGGGGGGGAATCAAACGGCTGTTGATATGCTAATGAGGCCCTGTGCCAGTGTTATTACAGAGCTGCTCCAGCCCTTCACTTCCACCATTAGAGGGAGACCTCAGAGCGCAAGACAGACAGCAGCCCACAGCTTCAATAAAAGTAGTTTTTCTGAGCGGGGAGCACAATTCACTGAGTGAAAACAAGACTATAAGACGATACCCAAACTCAATATCCACCTCAGCAACCCATGAAAATGCTTTGGAAATTAACTGATAACATTAAATATGAAGATTGCGAGGTAAGGGGCTCCTCTTTGATTTTTATTTAATTCTCTTGATGTGTTTAGAAATTAAACAGGCAAATTAGACAGGCAAGTGTTGTATTGTTTTGATCCAAATATGTCATTCTTTTGACAACTGTTTTGTGACAACATTCAGTCAGGTACAGCATGATAAGATCCAGGGCTTTGATTTTTTTTATTACACAGGTGTTTCTTTTTTGTCTTTTTAATGATGAAAAATTGGTTCATAACTGTAACCATAAAATTATTCATAGAAATTGATCAAGTTAAAAATATATATTTTCACATTGTATTTTGATCAAAACAATAGAAGTGAATTAATATATTGGGTGATTTTTAAATGTTGCATGCGTAAAATCCAAGCTGTGATTTTTAAAAATATGATTTCAATGTGTCTTTGAATTTAAATGGATGTTAAAGTTATTTATCAAAATCCTCAATGGCAGGTGTTTTTGTGAAAATTATGAGAGACTTACCATTTATTAAATTAAAATTAAATTTTTCTACTAAATGTCATTTATGCACGCTTAACCAGCCTGCTTTATTCACCGTTTGAATGGCATGGACATGTTCCCTTCACTTTTAATATCGCTGCAACTCGAGCTGTTAGATTTCGCGTGTGTACATGCATGTGTGGAGTGCATACACTGAGTGATTGTTGTTATGGGCATAGACAAAGTTTGGCAGTAATATCAGGGACTTGTTTAGAAGTGGAGGAGCCTGTCGGACGTGTTTTCGCCCGCGTCCTGGGAGGATAGTGACGGCCGGGAGCAGGAAAACAAAAGCTGAGCGCCTCCGCGCTTGTCTTTTTCTCATTGTTTTAATTCACAGGCAAATGTTTACTCGCTGGAAACGATGTGGAAATTAAAATTTACGATCGAAATCCGATCAGAGTTTTTTGTTTCGTAATTTTAAAAATGCGCGAACAGGAAGGGGAGTGGAGCTCATTGTAGCCGTGCGTAAAAGTTGGTTCGAGCGCCGTATCCGCGCTGCCCTTGCTTTAACTGTGGGAATTTATTTTCCTCCTTCATATCCTGGGCAAAGTTTAAAAGTTAGCCGCTGTAAAGTCTGGATTTGAGAGTCGAGGAAGACGCGGTGGTGGAGTAATTCGGCGGAGGCAGAGGAAAGAAAGGAGCCCCATGGAGGACGGCTCGCTGTCGGAGTCTGAGGTGGAAAACAAAGGGACGAGAGGTAGAAATGAGCCGCTCGGAATGCCCATAGCGTCGTCTTCTGGATTTTCACCCAGTTCAGAGGTGCACATTGCTTTCTCCCATGCCTTCTCCTTCTTCTTCTTCTTCTCCTGCCTGTGGTCTACCTCCCCTCATCCCTATGTCTTTCTTTCACTTTTGCGCTTTGGCCCTGGGACCCTTTTAAAATGCCCCCCCTCCTCCCTCTCGCTCTGATTCGTCAGACGGGGAGTGAATGTCCCTCTTTTTGTCTCTCTCTCTCTCCACTCCCTCCACAGTCTCTCGCTCCCTCCTTCTCTCTCTCACTCCCTCTCTCTCTCTCCCATCTCTGATTAGATATACTGATTCCTCCTTTCAATGGACGTCATTTAAGCGCAGACTCCTGCCTTGAGTTGCGTCCTCCGCTTCACGCCCGATTTCCGACCATTCTTTCCTTGTTATTAAGTATTCCTGTTATATTAATAGTCATGAATGCCTTCTATTAGGAGTCCGAGAGGGAGACGAAGAAGCGGCTCTTTTGCTAATATGAGCTCAGGCGAAGGGACGGCAGCACTGTGATAGAAGCCAGGAGAGCAGGGAGAAAAAGAAGGGTTTACCAAGAGAAACTTTTCCACCCGAATCCACCAGCACCGACGAATATCTGCATTTTTAGCCCCAGATGAAGGGCAGCGGGGATCTAACCATTTATTTCTGATGGATTATCGTCCTGCTGCTGTGGCACATATCTGAGCGCCGGGGCCAGCGTGATCTTTACCGGAGAAAAGAAGAGTCCTTTTTTTTCTTCTGGGGGCGATTTTTTGGTTTTTACTGGTTAATTCTCTTCGCTCGCCCCGCAAACACACTGAAGTGTTTTTTTGAACTAAATACGTTTTCTTCTTGAATCGCACCAAAATCCTTTCAGATGTTAGTGCACAGTTTTTCCGCGATGGTAAGTTGCTGGAGCTTTAGCGTGTCAGATACTTGGGGGGGAAAAATTCATAATTTGTTGTTATTCTTTTTTTTTTGTCGGTGAAAATGTTTTGGAAAGCTTGGAGGCATTAAAGGGGTGGGAAAGGATGAAATAATGCCCTGCTCGGTTATCTATTTGAGGAGATTTCCACCTCCGAGAATTTTATGTCTTTTTTTATTTACTTTTAGTTTTCTATCAGCATGTTTTCATTCTTTGCCCAGCGCGTAAAAAGCAGTGTTTTCAGAGTTAACCATCAACATCAGGGTTTATTTCTATTTTACATCCAACTCTTGGTATAATTCCTGTCACACTCAGGCCAGATTTGATAAAAGCATCCAGCAGCTAAACAAAGACAGATATTAAACTGTTTTATTTTGAAACTGCATGAAGCCTTAAACCATTTTCTCCCCCCCATCCCTGGCAGGACCGTCACGACGGCACCAGCAACGGGACAGCCAGGCTACCTCAGCTGGGCGGCGTGGGCCAGAGTCCCTACACGAGCGCCCCTCCGCTTTCTCACACACCGAACTCGGACTTCCAGCCCCCGTACTTCCCCCCACCCTATCAGCCCATCTACCCGCAGTCTCAGGACCCTTACTCGCACGTCAACGACCCTTACTCCCTCAACTCTCTGCACGCCCAGCCACAGCCGCAGCACCCGGGATGGCCGGGCCAGAGGCAGAGTCAAGAGAGCGGCCTGCTGCACCAGCACCGCAGCCTGCCCCACCAGCTGTGCCGGGAGTACCGCAGGGAAGTGCTGTTACCGTCCGGCCACGGCATCGACACGGGACTGTCAGACTCTATCCCTATCCATGGAATACCTCACTCTTTAGAAGACGTTCAGGTGAGGCAGCAGAGACCTGGCTATACTCTTTCTTTTTATGAGCTTTACCTTGATGAAAAACAAAGGGTTAAAATTCTCACTGTGAGTGCTGTGATTTTTTTTTTTAATAGCAGGTAATTAATGCTAGAGCTAAAAATAAAAACATGTTTCACTCATTTAATATTTAAAGCTTTAGAACACACTCAGAGCAAATTTTCTTGATATTAAATTTATGTTTAATATATTTTAAAATCTTTGGTAATCATTTGGTTTAACTCTTGTTATCATATTTTATTAAGCATGCATTTAAAAAAATAAATAAAATGATACATAATGAGTTTATCTTTTGATGCATGCAAAGCAAATAGTTATAGTGTTCTGTTTTCATTTTAATATATTAATTATTATTGTTTTGGTGATAAAGCAGAAGAATCTCCTCATTTCATTCCCAACTATAAAACATATTTTAACAACAGGGATTTTGCTCCATCATATGTTGTTATAATCATGTGTTAATATTAAACAAGTAGAATTTTTTAAAAAGGAAAAACGCTTTTAGACTTAATGTGATTTCTCTGTAAGGAGGAAGAGGCTCGTCGTGTTTTGCAGACATGGTCTTGAGCAGGATTGAGTTTCAGATAAGAACACGATAAACGAGCGATAAATTCGTCAATAATTCCCCATTCTTTTTTAAAGATGCTGCTCCTGAGTTTTTAATCAGAAACAAACACCAATAATCCTCTAATTAGTTCATAGGCCTTTAATAGGCTGCGCTGCCGTAATTACTATCCAATCTAGATTAGAAGTTTCCTTGTGAGTGGAGCCAATCTGAGGGCAAAATTAGGTCAGGATTATGGGGCGACACCGCTTCGTTATTTAAGTCTGGGTTTGTGTTCTGCTCTTATGCGTCCGTGAACGCAACCCGCTGGACGATAATAACAGGTATGGGCCTCGCGAGGAGTCCGTGTTGGCTGATTGTTTGCTAATGATGGCCGGGGCTTTTGTTCGTGCACAGCATCCTGAGGAATCAGAGTTGGTGGTATATTTTGTGCTAAAATTGTCCATTTTTTTGTGCGTTTGTGTCACAGCCTGTTGAGGATCAAGGAATCCACATTCCCGACCAGACTGTAATTAAAAAAGGTAAGCAATTTCCTCCGAGATATCATGCATGTTTCTTCAAGCTGCCGTGCACACACACTCACATACACAGTCACACACACACACACCATTCGCCATTCTGCTCGAGAGAACTCGATGCAATGCGGTAATGCCTGACTGATCCTAATACGCAGTAGCCTATTTTTCATTACATGCTTTCCAAGTGCATCAAACTGGCTGCACCTTTTTCCTCGCTGATGGAATTTACTGTCAGCGTTTCAGAGCAGCGGGGAGATGAGTGGAGCTGCTGGGGCTTTGAAGGCCCCCGTGCTATTGATGGTCAAAGATACCAGGGCCTTATAGCTACAGACGATGCTGTGGTGGAAAAAGCCAATAGCTGCAATCACACAGCATGGTCAAATTTTTAAAATGGAAGTTGGAAGCGCTGGATGGAGAAGAGTCTGTCATTCAGAGAGAGAGAGAGGGGGGATATTCGGCTGGGAGAAAATTCACTTATATGTTGAAGGTTGTTGGATTACGCAGGTTGAACAATTTCTATTTGGTGTCAAATCAGCCTGAAAAATATTGTGAGTGATTTGAGATGGCGCTCTAATGCTTTGAGTGTTTTTCAGCTGAATTATGAGCGATATGTCGCCATTTTTCTTCCGTTTCAGCTTCTAATTCTGTCGTTTCTCCATTCTTTCTTTTTGGAGTCTGTCTATCTGGGTATCAACATGATAATTGGCTTCTTATATTAGTAATCTCAAGAGTTCGTTTAGCTCCTATTGTCTCTATTAGGCTCCCCTGAGCCATTAATGTCACAAGTGATCTATCCAAAGGCGCACAGTCCCCTTTGTCTCCGGTTACTGCACACCAAAACGGTGGAAAGCCCAGTGGTGCTCTGTGCCCCCTCCTCCCTCCTCTCCGCTCGGTGTGAAATCACACTCGGGTAACGGTGTTTTGCTGGATACTAGGATATGTCAAAATAGGTAGACTTTACCAAATCTCTGGGATGGTGTGGTTGCCTTGTGCCGGGCGCGTAAATAGGCTGCAGGAGCGCGCAGATACTGGGGATTCTCGCTGTCTGCTCCTGACCGGTGCTTTCTAGATAAAGAGCAGATAAGTGGAAATATTAGTGATTTTTTTTTTAAACAGTGGGGATCATTCCAGATGTTTGTGGTTTTTCCTGCACACAACAACATTTTGATTATGAGTATTATTTCCATGTATAGGCCTCCATTGCTCGCTTTTCTCTGCATGTCCTTGTTGCTGAAAGTGTACACATGTGGTGCTAAACTCTAAATCCGGGGCCTAAATCCCCCCTTCTCATTTAGTTAAGGCTCTGCATTGCATGAAATTCACTGAGCACGGTCTCTCTCCCTCTCTCTCCCTGCCTCCCCCCTCCTCTTCCTCTTCATCCCACCATCCCTCTCTCTCTCTCTCTCTTTCTCTTGCTATAGGTCCAGTGTCTTTATCCAAGAACAACAACATCTCTGCCATCCCCGTAAATAAGGACGGTCTTTTCGGAGGGGTGGTAAACCCCAATGAGGTTTTCTGCTCGGTTCCGGGTCGCCTGTCCCTCCTCAGTTCCACATCCAAGTACAAGGTCACAGTGGCAGAGGTGCAGAGACGCCTCTCGCCGCCCGAGTGCCTCAACGCCTCTCTGCTGGGCGGGGTGCTGAGGAGGTGAGTCAAGAAAAAAAAAACACCTCTCTCTCCATTTCTACCTGTTTAGAGCGCGTGTGTATGAACTCCCTCACTCCCCTACAATCCATTCTCTCTCTCTCTTTCTCTCTCTCTCTCCTCTGTACCAAGAATAATTAAAATCGACCAACCATGACACCTAGCTCCTGCATTTAAAGCAGGAGAGGTCTGTTAAATTCCATATTAACTTCCCTCTCTCTCTCTCTTTCTCTCTCACTCAAATTAATGTAGGCCTAGTCTGTTTCAACCCCAGCTCTATAGGCCCAGTGAAGGCATTACACATGAAAACATTGGTCTCTTGTGAACTGTCTACTGAAGTGCTGCTGCAGACGCGCAGCCAGTAATAGCGCTGCCTATTAAGTAGGGCTTTATTTATTCATTTTGTACAGTATTTGTCTGCTGCTGAGAAAAAGGCTGGGCTCTTTTTTGGGATTATTTATAGCTTGCATGGGAGATGTAGCAGAGGGTAAAATCCAATGAAGAGAGCTGGACAAGGAGTGTTTAAGAGATTTAAATATGCAGAACAGCTGTTTTTTCCCAGCCAGATGATGTGTTGCCTATATATGTATTTATTGGGTGTAGTTTTAATTCTTTTACTAGTTTTAACTCTGCACTTGTTTTACTCATGCACTGACTGTAAAGGCACCTCTTAATTTCGTTGTAGAAGAAAGTGCATGAGGATTTACGCATCCAAAACTCATCTGACAGTGATTTAGGGAGTTGTAGTTTTTAAAGTAGTTGCCTCATGTTCTTTAAACGTGTGTAATTTTTTGATAACAAAGTGTAAATTTCTACTCTGTTGTCCTTCTCAGGGCCAAATCCAAGAATGGAGGGAGGTCTTTACGGGAGAAGTTGGATAAAATCGGCTTGAATTTACCTGCGGGAAGACGCAAAGCGGCCAACGTCACCTTGCTGACGTCACTAGTCGAAGGTAAGTGCCGTAAATCACGTTCTCCCCTCTCGCGATATCAGGTGCTTGCAAAGTGGGAGTTTTTTCTCTCTCTCTCCCTGTCTCTCTCTCTCCCTCTCTTTCTTTCTCTGTGTTGGAAATCAGCATATGCGCTCATCCGTGTAATGTGGACCGACTTTGCCTCGCAAGTAATAAAGCATGAAGGATGTATGTGTGTGTGTGTGTGAGAGTGTGTATGTGTGTGTGAGAGAGAGGGAGAGAAAGAGATAGAATGGTGCTGGTGATTCTCGTTGCGTTGCAGCGTTATTGGCCCCCTCGCTTTCAGGAGAGCCGCACTTGCAGGTCCACCACCACGGCTGGCCTAGTTTACGCACTGGATGAATTTGTGTTGAAGTCCAGTTAATTATTGAGTGCTGCTTGTTTATTGGGCGCCGCTGAGCTGTTTCACCTCATGGATGAGAAGTCGATTGATTTATTAACCCTCATGCATTGTTTTAAACATTAATACACCCTGGCTTTGGCAGCGCAGGGCCTGCTTTTTAATTCTTTCGTTAATAGCTTCTCATGCTTTGGCTCTCAGTGAAGATTTTCGTTGCATGCAAATGGCATGGAGCTGACCTATTGGGAGCTATATGTTTTGGGTCTATTAAAGAATAAATTAGTCAATTATGGCGCGCTTTTACGCGACTGGATAAATCCATTTTGCTTGCAGTTGGACCTTATTATTCAGTGCAGTGGTATTTGGTGAGCAGTGGCTTTCCAAAGGTGAAACCCTGCGATGGTTCATTGGTCCTTGTTAATCATTACTGCGGAAGAAGAGAGCCGAATCCAATGTGCGTGGTGGAGATTTGGTGCTGTATTGTAATGAGCCTGGAGAAATGTAAGATTCTGGGTAATAAGGAGGTGGTGGCACGTGGGTGGGGGGGTTTGGATGGGTGAAGGCAGCCGGTTATTTAGTGAAGGGACACTCAAGTGCTGTCATTGTTTATGATCCGCTCCATTTTATGGAAACGAGTTTACTGGACTTGAGCTTTGATGCTAATTGGCGCATGCGTTCTTCCGGAGTAGAAGCTTATGGGCAGGAAGCCCTGCAGTAAAAACTCAACTGCTTCAGGAAATTAAAACCAAAGACCTGGGGAGAGAAGAAAAAAAATGTCCAGAAAGAGAAGAAGAAGAGGGGTGAGTTTAGACTCGGACGGAATGAAACCTGAAATTCTCAGAGCTGGAGAATGGAAAAAGAAAGAGATTTAGGTATAGCCTTTTAAAATTGCTTCCCCATGCCTGTGTGATCTGCTGGACTTTCAGTAATGTGCAGGCATTGGTAATCAATGACATGGTGTTAAGCATGACGCTCCGTCTATATTTCACATCCACTTATTGTTTCTGCTCCATATTTAAGAGTTCTCACGGTAGGAGGAGGAGAAAGAGGAGAGGTTGACGTGTATTGACAGCTCTGCAGGCCTGCTTTCTTCTTCCTCTTATTATTATTATTCCGGGTCTTTTATTTTTGTAATTATCATCAGGAGTGTTGTTGAAGCACAGGTGTTATGACCCTTCAGATCAGATTAATCAGGGAGTGTGATCTTTTCTCTCAATCTGATGTGACCACATTAATAAAAGAAAATCACTCAACCTTTAATTTTTCTTTTTTTGTCTTTTTTTTTTATGGTTTTCAGGCGAAGCGGTCCATCTTGCCAGGGATTTCGGTTATGTATGCGAGACCGAGTTTCCAGCCAAGGCAGTAGCTGAATATGTAAACCGTCAGCACTCCGACCCGAACGAACAAGTCCAAAGAAAAAACATGCTATTGGCCACAAAGTAAGTGCTATCATCACGTTTTCACCGTGTCACTGCAGCGTTGTTGCATGCCAGTCTGTGCGCACACACACTTACACAATTACACACACTTATACACACACTTACACACACACACACATACTACTTAATTCAATATTACTGATTTATTTATTTTTGCTATTTTTCCCAAATAGTCAAATAACAATAGAATAAAAATAAGAAGATTTAGAAATAAGATTGGGAAGGTTGTCATTATTGCTCTGTCTGCGTTTTTACGCACGATATTTCCACATGCAAACTGCATTCCTGCCTCCTTCTCTCAGCATTAAATCTAATATTATCAGTCATAATTAAAAAATGCTACAGTGCAGTTTAAAGCAGACTCTTGTTGTTGTTGTTTAGTGTGTTTGGCTAGGGCCTTCCTCTCATCCACACGCACAGCTCCTGTTGTTGTGTTTGCCTTGTGATTTCAGTGACATTGACACATAGCTGGGCTTCATCCAGCGCTACCATTGCTGTTGGTTATTTTTACTCTGCGTTTACTGCAACATGGGCATGGCTTATAAAAAAAAAGAAAAGAAAAGAAGAAGGCATAGCATTTAATATTGATGATGGACCGCTATAATCAAACAGCTGTCAGCTGTAACCGCTTATTACAGCCTTTCTCCTCTGTTATTAAAATACCAAGAGCATGAAATGGAAAGTGAAGATGGTAGAAAATATTTTACTTTATGCTTTAAAGTGTTTTTTATATACATTTAGTGAGTAGGAAAATGGTTGCATGGAAATGGAGGTGGTTTTGGAAAGAAATAAAATCAGAAACTGTTTATTTTTTGCAGTTTAATGAAGAGTGCACGGTGTAAAAAGTTCAGATTATTTAAAAGATTAAATAATCTAATATTGGGTCTGCTTTAGAATTTTATTTCTTATTTTTAATGTATATGTAGAATATAAAACCACGAAGAGTCCTCAGATTTATTTCCACTCGTTTGTACCTGCAGGGCATTTCACCAAATCGCGTAAAATGTTGCTCAAATTATTCCAAATTGGTGGACTTGTGGCAACTTTCTAGTGTCTGCACTGTAAACCTGCTTTACACACTGAGAGTGCCCATGCACCAAGCATCCATGTTGTAGAAAATGGCCGCATTTGTTGGATGTGGGGTCAAAGTTTGGTTTCTGTTCAGCTCCTTTACACTCGTTTTTTTCCTGTTTCTAGGCAAGTGTGCAAAGAGTTCACAGACCTCCTGTCCCAGGACCGCTCGCCGCTGGGGAACTCAAGGCCGCAGCCCATCCTCGAACCAGGAATCCAGAGCTGTTTGACCCACTTCAGTCTAATCTCGCACGGTTTCGGGACCCCGGCACTGTGCGCGGCCGTCACGGCCTTGCAGAACTATCTGACCGAGGCTATCAAAGCCATGGACAAAATGTACCTCAACAACAACCCTAACAGTCACTCAGATAACGGCACTAAAGGGGGAGACAAAGACGAGAAGCACAGAAAGTGATATTTCCATCCCACCTTCACTGAGGGGCCAAACAAACCCAGGGGTCCTTCCTTCTTCTTCTTCAACACCGACCCACATCCCTCCGCCTCGCCCCGGCCCCCACCCATCCAATATAAATATTATAAATACCTTATAAATACTATTGATAAAGTTAAACGTGCCACTTCCTGATCTTGCGCGGTTTTACATGTTTTCTTTTTACATCCCACTTTGGATTGACTGGGGGAAAACGACGCAAGAATCTTCTTCTTCTTCTTCCAACACCTGAACCGTATGAAATGTTATTTAAAAAAAAAAACAGAGAAAAGAAAAAGAAAAAAAAGCTGCAGAGGAACAGCTCCAGGGCGAGGAAAAAGGTGTGTTTGCCTCAGCCAGAGGACTTTTTATGTACTCCCCGTGTTTTTTTTATGAGCTGCAACGAAATGGACTGAAATCCAGCAGAAGCCCTCTATATCTCAATTTTACGATTGTGACAAAAACGAAACTAAAAGAGGATGAATTCTTATCAGTATTGTGAATAATAAACTTGAAACACACAGAGAAATTCCACAGAGCTCCATGTCATGACTTCAGTTGTAGACTCTCTCTCTCTCGCTCTCTCTCTCTCCAACTCGACCAACTTGAACTTTTTGAATTTCAACACGATTCACGGTTATATAAGGGAATCAGTGTTCATGTATGTATATATTTATTTATGTGTAATTTAATGGGAATTGTAAATATGGTGCGTCTGTTGAAACTTCTTTTTTTATTTATCTGGTGCCTCCTGTTTTAGTGGGTTTGAATATTCGGTTAGTTCTTCATGTGATTTTATGGTTCTTAGAAAAAAAAACAGAAGTTTGGGGTATTTTTTATTTCTCTGGGATATTTCAATTCAGCCCTCTTGTAGCATGTTGAGGCGACATTGAAGCAAGTGAACAAATTGAATAGAAATAAAACTTCCATTTCTCTCTCTATATATCATCCTTATTCAGTTTTTTTTAATAATTTGAGACAGAGCATACATGAGACCCTGAGGAGATTTTTTTTTTTTTTTTTTGTGTTTCTATTTTTTATACAAGCTTTTATGTGTTGTGCCAATCAGAATACGTTTCACCTCTTGTTCTCTCCTTGAAGCACCATAAAAGCAATAAATGGAATATTGTCTTTTTTCAAAAAAACATTTTTTGGGACCACCTGATATCTTGTTCTGTCCGATAATGTCCAAAATTGGAGGCGGTTTTAGCTGTATTGTATAGACATGTGCTGGCAATAGTTCCCATGCCTGTCAATGTATTATAGTCCTTTGTTGCCCAGAAAAAAAATAAATATTTGATACGCTTCATCTCGATTATTATTCATATCTTTTAATTTTTTATTCACTGCTTGACACGCCGGGTGTGTTTTTTTTTCTCCTTTCTGTATTTTTTCCCATTTCTGAACGGCTACAGTAATTGAGTTTAAGTCTCCCCTGACGATCGCTCCTTTGCAATAAGCAGCTGAACTCATTGTTTCCCTCAAGTATAATAAAAAAAAATCTTACTTTAAACTCCCTGGTTCAGAGCACGGGATCTTATGCAGGCCAAATGGCTCACAACAATGGATGGATGCGCGTTTGAAGTGCGCAGCGCCACCCCTCCAGCTAAAACCCTCTGAGATGTATACAGGCCTGGTGTGCAATGTTTGGTTGTTATAGGCTATATTTGGCTCCCCCCCCACCCTCACCCCCTCCTCCTCCTCCTCTTTTCACTTCATTCTGTGCTGCATTCAAAGACATGCATCAAATATTTGTTGTGTTGTTTGCCTCTCAGTGTAATCAATGAACAATCAGCGCTCACCATGCTGGCTTTTTTTATGCACATTATTTTTTTTTATCATAATACTCCTGCTTTGCCTGGTATTTAGTCTGCTTTTCCTTTGTGTTTGCCTGACTGGGTCTATAAATGTGGCTATCAAGTTGGCTGTAATAGCGAATCTGACGCTGGCCTTTGCTTTATTTCGCGTGCAGAGCTGCAGAGAGCAGGCCCGTTGCATAACATTTGAGTTGAGTTTGATTGTATATTGATGGCTTGGCACCTATAGCTGGAAATCAATCTCGTGTGGAGCATGAATCAGAGTGGTGATATATGCATCTTGGTATTGTTTCTTGCGTTCCCTATTTCACTGTCTGGTAACCATGCAAGCTTAAAACATTGTACTGCACCCCCCTTCCCTCTCTCTCTCTTCCTTCCTCTCCTCCTCCTCCTCCCTCTCTCTCCAATCTCTGCAGCCATATTTATTATCTGCATGCTTTCCGGGCCCTGGTTGCTTTAATTCTGAGGCAGTTGTTGTTTTGCAGGGGGGTGAATGAAGCCTAACTGTACATGTCCTTGGCATAATTGCGATGCACGGTGCTGGAGCAGGTGAAGCGAGGCATTGTCTGTCAGGCCCCTGTTTTTGTTGGCTCAGGCTTCAGATTGTGTGTGTGGGATCCTGTCCTCAGGCACAATAGCTCACTCATAAAGGGGAGAGACTACCCGGCTGCTCCTGCTATGCTTGGATGTGAGAGGGGGGAATAGCATAAATAGTCACTTTAAGGGGGAAAACAATCGTATTAAAACTGCATTGAAAAGGAAGCCCCTCACGTGTGTCATTAATGCTAATGTTATTTAATAAATTTATCGGGTTTTTGAGGGTAGAACGAACGCATTAGAAATAGTGCTATATCTTTGACAATGGTGGATATTTGTGTGCGTATTATTAGTGTGAGATGAGGAGGATCGCGAGGGCCTGTAATTGTGCCATTCTGCGAAATGCAATTGGAAGTGTCAAAGAAACTCCAAATCCCATTGTGTGTGTGTCTCTGTGTGCGTGTCGTTTGTTTACACTGATACTGCCCTATATAATTTGCATTCCTTTTTTAATAGCGAATTGTAATTTTAACCCTCATTGGATCTCAAACAGGTCGAGCTGGTCTCTCACGTGCAGCGAAAGTCATTTACGCACAAAAACAAAACCATGCAGGAGGTCTGAAACTTGAAAAAAGCAAGTCAGCAATACCCAGCTGAATTCAACCAATTCAATCCATAACTGCTGCTTGACTCAACTAAACCAATTACAGCTGATTCCCGGTTAGTAATTAATAAGTGTGAGGCCTGTTGTTGTCAAATACGCACGAGAATATGCAGAGGAAAATAGACATGCAGGGGGGTTACGCACGTTTTGTGTGATTAAGCGTCTTCTGATTGGGATGCCCAAACTTTGTGTGTGCGCATGCTTGTTTTGATTCATTTATTATCTATTTGTTATAAGGGGTGCTCTGAGTTTTCTCTGTTTTTCTGTATAGTTTGGTTCACAAATGTTGTGGATAGTGTGCACCAGATTCAGATAGATCATGTGTGCGTAAAGATTCATCCAAACCTTGAATTAATAGTTTGATGGATGTACTTGAAATATTTTCCTGCTTTTCATCCACCAGGTGCACATCATCCCTGCACCCACGTGTCCCTTCCACTTTTTTCCAACCTATAGCAGCCATGTTTGTGGTCAGAAAGAATCTAGTTGAAGCTGCTGAGCTCACTGCCTGGTTAAAAAAAAAAAGGAGTGTCTGCATGGCCTAATTACCCCGCAGCGCCATCACTCCAACAGTCTGCACTGTAACGCTCGCAGGCACTGCTTTGGAGCGACTTTGCCTGCATGGGAAGATTTAGGGCAAAAGCCTACAAGGGCCGGATTTGTTCAGTCACTGAACTGCCACAAATGTTAGATTGGTATGATTGGAATTTGATTTAAGCCCAGCTGTCCTGCTGACATTAACACAGAGGGATCTGAGTCTGCTGCGTGTGTGTGTGTTTTGAGAGATCAGTTGTTGCGCACTACTTTGGAAAAAACTCGTATTTGGAAAAAAAAAAAAAAAAACAAGATTGTGTGCGAGCAAAACTGGAAACTTTTTTCTTATTGATGAACCAGATGGTCTCTTTATTGATAGGAATTCGAGAGCTACTTGCATCGCGTGTTACCCACAGTGCATTTCAAACTGTCGACTTCATAATAAGTGGCTTAGACAAGACGCAGGGTTCTCCTAAACGACATTTGATATGGTTATTGGTGCAATCGAATTATGGCACTTGAAAGTTTGCAATGAAGCGCAAAATGGCTAATTGTCCTCAACTCTGACATCAGTCATCATTTTGGGGGTCATTTTTGTACCCCCTCCCCACCACCCCCTACTCATGGGGCCCCTTTTGCCCACTCTGAGAGCCAATAAGGCGTAGACACAGAGGTCAACGACTTCACCATAATCAGCCCTGATTACTTGAGACATCAGGTAATCGATTAGAAAACATTAAGTGACTTTGAATAAACAGAAGGACGCACTGGATCTCAGCGTGGAGCTCAATAATTCCTCTGAAAACTCATTCAGGAAAAGTGAAGGGTGTGATTTCAGATTGGAGCTCTTAATCTGCACACATACGAACACAAACTTTTGCTTTAAAGTTGATCTTTTTGCTCTAAATGGCGTCTTTTCAGCTTCATGAACATTAAAATGAGCTTTCTCACTTATCAGGAATCATTGTTGCCACCTATCAAACACTGATTTCCTTCAATTTCATGGACTTGTGTATCCTCAAATGTATGTAAAAAGGCGGATTAAAAATGTGTTAATGTTTTCCCCACTTGGTTAATTCACTTTATATTCTAGTTTTAGTCATTCTCTCTCTCTTCTCCCTCTTTCTGTCTCTCCCTGCATCCTCTGCAGTCAGCCAGGGGGGGAGTGTCGCCCCGGGCCAAACATATGCTTCTTTCCATTGCACTAATCCAAATGCAGCGTGGAGGAATAATTGCTCGAGTGGCCGTGGCTTCGCAGGGGCTTTGTCCCTCACTGGCTCCCGTCAGCCAGGCACACGCCATTTCAATCAGCTCTCTCTCTCTCACTCTCCCACTCTCTCACTCTCTCTGTATCAAACCTTAGACCTTTTATCAAAGCAGACCCTCACGCTTCATAAGCACACAGCCACATCCTTTTAAAAAAAAGGTTAGTTGTTGTGTTGTTGCTGCTGCTGCTGTCAGGTCATCATATTTCAGCTCTCCATCCTCATTAATATTGACGCTGCACCACGTTGGCACGCTTTTATTGGCAAAACGGTCGCGTGAGCAATGACTGCAAATGAAAATGACTTTTTGGTGACTTTTTTTTTTCTTCTCAGCGCCTCAGACTATTTCAGGGATTTCTCACAGAACCAAAGCACCAAACATTATTCAGTCAGGAGTGGGGAAATCAACACGGTCATCCAAGCAGAAAGTTGACAGATTCAGCTGATTATGAGTTGCTTGGGTTTGTAGCTGTAATGTGGTGCTTAAAAAATGACAAGAGGTGGTTTCACAGATGTTGCTGAAAGCCTGGGACTGTTAGAAAATAAGGGAGGGTGTGCAAATTTACAATACGGATGAATATAAACGAAAAAAATCACATGATAGTAGACTTGTAAACAATGTCCCTGACACTAGAAGTAATAACTTTTTGTTTTTTTGCAGTCAACAGCAAATACAAGCCTTGATAATTATTAAAATATAACAATAATAATAATAATAATAATAATAATAATAATAATAATAATAATAATAATAATAATAATAATAATAATATTTTTCGCTTTATTTTATATGGATTAAAAATCTAAATATTGCAGGTGTCCTAAAGTGAACTTGTTTTGTTACACAGTGTGTTTCGATGGGATAATAATATCTGATAAGTATACAAACATACACAATCTCACGTGGGCCTGTAGTGTCCTTTACGCGTAAAGCACCTGGAGCTTTTAGGCACCAGTGCCATGCATGCACCCCCTTGTTTTATTCTCTGTGAATCAACGCTGAAAAATCACCCCAGTAAAATGTAGCATTTGCTAGGAAATCACAAATTTCCACGGATAAGAGCAGGAGTAAGTCTGAGAGAGAGAAGCGGGGGTAAAGAGGGGGAGCAGCGGAGAGCCGTGGATGTCTGACTGAATTAATAGACATGATAATTTCACACTATTTCATAGTGAGCTATCTGTTCCATCACAGCAAAATAAAAGGGTCACTGCGCAGCTGTGGCGAACCCCAAGCGTTATTATGAAGTTTGATGATAGACACCCCCTCCCCTTTCTCTTTCTCTCTCTTTCCCTCTCTCTCTTTTTTTCTTCTCTCTGGTACTTCGCTTCAGGCCAGCTATAGCTCGAGGCCACGCCGGTGCCTCCCCATGATAAAGGACTTAGACTGTGTCTGCGCGCAAAGAAAGCCGCAGCAGCTCCTCTCTCTCCCGAACCTAATCAACTCGCTGGCTGGGCCCTTTAACGATTGGTATACACCCCCCCTCCAACCCCCCAATTTCCCAGTTCTCTTTCTCCATCCCTCTCTTTTATTTATTTATTTATTTATTTTTCGCTTATTTTCCCTCTCTGGAAGTTTGCTGCGCCTGTGCCAATTTCGACCCCAAATATAATAATAATAATAATAATAATAATAATAATAATAATAATAATAATAATAATAATAATAATAATAATAATAAAATACGCGTAAATTTTAACACCAGAAAAACAAACAAAATCCGGGCACAACTTTTAAAAATAAAATACATTATTTATCTTTCAGTAGAAGTTACTTGGAGAGGAAATATTATAGCTACATCTTTACTACTTTGATTTTCAGATCACTCTTAACACGGTTTAATCCGAGGTGTTTTAAACTCGCCTCAACCATTATTTACTCAAAGTTGGCTTTTGCGCAATTTTACGCATTTTTTTTGGATCAAACTTTGACTCCTCAGCTTTTTCAGAATCTTAACCTGTTTGTTTTTATGTTTTATTTCTTTAAACTGTCTATTGGTTTCCCTGAATAAAAAAAAAAAAACAATGTATAAAGAAAAAGGGACATTGACGCTATAAGCTCTCATTCCCTGGAGCTTCCAGCTTGATAGGGACCTAAAACTCTCATCCCAGGTGATGGGGCTCATTCTGGCCATATGGGTTTGCTGCTGTTGCTGCTGCCTCCAGGTCAGAATCTTTTAACTTGGTCCAGCAGGCAAAAAATAAACACTTAAACAGTGGCAACAATATTTATTCCCACATCTAAAGAAAGAACAAACTGGTGTTCGGTGCTTAATTTATACAAATGCCATTATTTATTCTCTGGAAATGTTTTTTGCTTTTGGTTGTTTGGGCTTTTGAGAGTGATTATGTTGTTAAAAGTGGAGAGTGAGTGACAAAAAAATAAATGTCCGCTTCACTTTAAGAGGAGTTTGAACCGTGAAGGATTGTCTACAGATTTTAAGAGTGAAATGTTGAAGTATCAAGACATATTCAGGTGCATGGTGAGGATATATACTGTACATTTTCAAATATTGTAGAAATTGGATTTTTTTTTTCCAATGGAGTCAAGTTTTTAGGCTCTAAAATGGACACATGGTTGACCATCATGTCTTTGACAACAAATCAGGGAGACAGTAAGAGATAGAAAAAATGGAGGCAGGGGGTTTACTGCATGTGACAAAGGTCATGAGACAGTTTGAAGCCATCACCCCTGAGAGCACATGATGCCTGGGCCTTTAGGGCAGACAGTGAGTGATGGAGGAGCATCTCTGGGACCAATCAATATGAGAAAAAATAGATACAGACCATATAGAGATGAAACAGAGTTGAAAAATCACATTTGCATTGAGGGATTTTAATTTTGAAAGCTATCAGATGTATTGATCATTTCTGCTTCTCTTTTCTGAAATAACCAGAGTAAGTTTTACGCATTCTTGTTACAGAATTTTACATGTAAACAAATCTTGAGAGACTTCATTTACTGCCGACAGTTGTTAAAAGTTAAAGTTTCTATCTGAGCCAAAACCAATAGGACTGAATTTGGGAAGTCTAACAGTACCTGAAGGCACGCTGACCTCTCTGCACATTCAGCCTTAGACAAAACTCTTTATTAACTTTTAAAAATCAGCAAAAATTGTACTAATTCTCTAATGTAGACTTTTTCTGTTTTTGTTTCTGCAGGCTGACGCATTTGCTTTTAAGACAGTCTTATCTTTTTATATTTGGTGAAATAAATGTTAAACCACGGCTGAATTGACATGTTTTGGTCACATTTTGGGCAAAAAATGCTGAAGATTAGGGTTAGAATTTGCTTACAGATAGAAACCACATGAAACCTTGAAGGAATAATGTTTTACAGCAGGAGAACCGCTGTCTTCAAATGTCTCTATTCCATTTCATTTTTAAGCTCTATCTCAGAATAAAACCACGTCAAGTTATTATGTGTCTCTCAAACTTAACACAACAACTTTTTTAAAGTAGTTTTGATGATGTTTTAAAGTGACAGTGATGCCATGGAAAGTTTAATTATTCACCGCAGACCAACAGTACAATCAAGTTTTTCGATCGTCCGCGGTCGATCCTGCGTCCGGCTGATAATAATGTAATAACTGGATGATAAGCAGCCACATTATGAGCTTAAAGGAGAGCCTTGTAGGGTACAGAGAGTTAGAGTGCTTGCTCTGGCCTCTTGGAGCCTGTGTAGAAATGGTTTTGATCTTACCACAGGCTAAACACTGCCAACAGGACTTGACATTGCAGAACAATTTCCCAATTACCTTTTGACATGCATATTGACACAAACGCGCAAAACTGTAATTTTCTCTCTGAATTTGTTAGCTTGAGGGGCTCACTTTCATGCCAGTGGACTGTCAGATGTGCTTGTTCTCTCTCTCCCTTTCTCTCTCTCTCACACACACACACTATCTCTCTTTCTCTATCCCAGTATGTTTCGATGTGAGTGTCCAGAAAAAGGATTCCCTCCTGACAGTTAGAAAATGGAAAAGACCTCTTTCAAAAAAAAGGAGGAAAAGAGTGTGAAGTTCATGGGAAATGGATTTTCTGCCAGTATTTAAATCTAGTCGAAGTTTCCATTTCTGTGATTAAAAGCCTATCTCTGAAAGGGTGTGTTTATTTCTTCACTCCTGCTTCTTGGTGTTCAGGAGCTTTAAAGATGTAAATGTGATCTGATAGTCCGCCTCCAAAAACAAGTTTCATCTAACACCTCTGAACACTCGTGTGCCAAAAACCTCCAACCTTTCCTCATAAACTTTACGGAGCTCACAAACATGTTGTCTCTTCATTGTCAATCTCGAGGTTCCAGCCAAACTCAACATGCCAGCTGACACTGAAATGCCATAATCACTGGGATGTTTTCCTGCCTTTGAGATGTCCAGGCAGCAAAGAGAGGAGAGAGGACGATGGCCGTGTCATCACGAGCTTGTCATCGCCCTCGCTGTGATTGGCACATGCTCAGCTGGATTACAGGAGCCGGTGTTGATGGAGGGTTACCCTGAGACTCTCAGCCGTCTGCTTATAGGATCCCCCGAAAAAATCTGGGTCAGACTCGGTTTGGCTCTGCCCCGAGCCTCCTTTGCCCCGGCATTAGTCCCAATGCTGGTGCTGGTGGAAGAGAAGGATGAGGCCTCAGGGTGAAGGCCCGAGCCTGAACTGGCTTCTTGACCTTCCTATGGTCCTACTTTTCAAAATCAGACCCAGTTAAAAAAGCAGATTTGAATGAATTTGGACGACACCAAGAAGGTGTCCCCCTACAGTTTTCATTGTTTCTGCTCTGTCTTCAGCAATACATGAAAATATTCCTCAAGAAGAAGAATAAAAAGAAGAAGATTCAATGTTGACAGTCTTTGCATCAAGCCCATGTGTGGATCATCACAACAACAAAAAAAGGTCAGAGATGTCAGCACTGAGGGGGTTGCACACAGACAAGCCCCATGTTGGAGATATGGTGCCTTGCTTAAGGGCAGATTAGCAGTGCCCAGGAAGTGAACTGGCACCTCCTCATTGACATACTGGCCTTTAAAGGGACTTGAACCAGCTACTATAGGGGTGTCACAATATACTGGTATTGACAATAATCATCTCAACAACAACAACAACAAAAAAGTATTGTTATCATGCTGTAAATAAGTGCCATGGTTTCACAGTAATGGTCCTTCAGGGCCTGTTATATAATGAGATGAAGATAGATGAAGAAGAAGTTGCAGTCCGCTAGAGAGCTAGCTAAAGCAGCCTCTGAGAAATGATGAGACACTTTTGAAACTGATGTTTCAGATTTATTATGAACTAAGAAACACAGAGTTTGTGTTCGAGTTCAAATGAACATTTTTATTTTTGTTAACTGTTCGTTTAACGTTTTTCATTTAGTTCTGTATCTTTGAAAGCGTCAGGATTATTTAACTTCAAAATAAAAGCAAAGTTTGCCAATGCGTGAAATACAGCAGCCTAAACACAAGACAGAAAAAAACAAAACAAGCAATTTGAATATTATCTTTAATAGATGATGACTTGTAATCTAATTTCATTTATTCATTTAGTTTGTGAAGTAATATGCTGCTCCTACTCCTTCTTGCCTTTCCTCAGTTTGACTGATTGTGCTGTTTTCTTTTCAAGTTTTCCATTAAATATTACAATTATACTATTATCATGATCTTTTACAGCCAAAATAATCATGAGGTGAAAGTCTGATATCGTGACTTTCTAAACAGTCTCTAAAAAGTCAGCTGCCTGACATTACAGCCCTGATTCTGTAAAAGTTTGGACTTAGTCAAAAAAGTTAAAGAAAACTGGAACTCGATGGTTTGCAAAATATTTTTAGCTTAGACTAAATGGAAAGTATCACACGGAAATTATTTCATAAAATGAAATGTTTGAAGTTTAATGGCAGGAATAAAAAGTTAGGACACTAAGTTGTGTAAAAAAAACAGTTATAGAAACATCCTCGAACCAATCTAATCGATTCTCAACAGGTCAGTAACATGACTGGATATAAAAAGAACATTCCACAAAGGCAGAGTCTCTCAGGGCTAAAAATGGGGAGAATTTATCACTCTGTGAAAGTCTGTGTGAGCCGGAGGTTCAGCACTTTCTGAATAATGTACCTCAGAGTGAAACTACCAAGAATTTGGGGATTTCGTTTTGAATGATTTTTAAACAATTAAAATCGTCTTTAGTGACATTCTGATCAGTTTAACAACTTTTTTGAGAATAAGGGGTATTAAAAATGGATCAGTTTAAAGGCCGAATCAAGCATCAGCCCTTCAAAATAAAAGCTGTAGATTAGAAATCTTAAAAAAAAAAAACTAACTTCAGTGTGGTGTATCATTAACATGAAGTTCTGTAGCACAGATTGTTGATTTGCTTTGAATCACCATGCTCCAAGTCCTCTGCTAGTGTGGTAACATGTTAAGCCCTCATGACAACCAGGTCACCACCCCGTCAAGTGTTTACGAAACAAATGTTCAAAAGAAATCGGAAAAAAAAGTGTTTCTGACACCAAACAGTCAACAAATGGGTCACATGTAGAAGAGTCAGGTAAAATCTGATGATGAGTCTCGTAAGTTCTCATTGGTTTCATACCAGAGTGTAGGACTGGGCGATTATATGATCATGATAAATTTCAGTTCGATCACGGTAATCAGCTGTAAACTTATTTACTCGATCAAACATGCGTAAATGTGCGTCACAACAGCCAATCAGAGTCAAGCTTTTCCTGCTCACTTCTGTAAGTTGTGGGAGAAATATCTTGGGTATCTCCAAAGTGACGTCGAACAATTAAGCTGATGTGTAAGGTATTATGGCGATCGGTGAAGAGTATCTTATCTAATTTGCTTTGTTATTTACTTTGTATGTTAATAAAATGTTGAACTAATCTCTAGTTTCTTTAGTTTTTAGTACAGGTTCTTTAAAACTGGCAGTTAAAGAAAAATCGCGATAATAATCGAGATCGGACAATATGACAAAATATATTGTGATCATTTTTTTTGCCAAATCGCCCAGGCCTACCAGAGCGTCATCCAACAAAACATCACTTCAAACAGCATAGCCTCAAAGTGTAGAAGCAGTTATTCTGCAGTGTTTTAAATAGAGACCAGAAAGTGGTCCTTTCTTCAATTCAAGAAAAGGTGTAACTACATAAAACCGCATTTTGGACCCAAAGGATGACACCTGAAAAGATGAATCATTGTCTAAGCCGTCTTGAAGGAATCGACGAGCAGAAATGAGAAAATGCAAAAGCAGACCATGTGAATTAACTACGTTCATCCTCTTTATCTGCCTCCTTAGCCCTGCTACACACTTCCAAAAGTGCATAACCCCAAATGAGCTCCGTCTTTTCTCAGTCGTCACCTAAATGAAAGCAGCCACAACTAAGGGGCCGGGGCTGAACGCCAAAGCTTTGCAGTGGCAGCACCGTGTTTAACACAAGTTCCATTAAACAGAGCCCATTACTACCACTGAAGGAAACGATGCCCGGGGCCTCTCTAAAGTGTTGCGAAAAACCTCATTGATAATTAAATGTTGGTTACCCCCGGTATGCATCGCTCCCGCACTTTGCTTACCAATCAAACCTCCGCCCACCACGGCTGCTGCCATTTGCTCTCTCGCTCTCCCTCTTTCTCTCTCTCTCTCTCTCTCTCTCTCTCCTCGGTGTTTATCGAGGAATCATGCAGCCCCTCTAATAGGTGCCAATTAGAACCAATGGGGGCTCAGGGGTTAATTATTCCCAACACATTATTTGATTGAGCGCATTTAGAGGGATACAGTGTTGGGGAAAAATGGTGACAGGGGTAGCAGTAGATAACACTTTAGCGTTCGCTTATGCACAAGCAGCTGATCGAACTTCAACTTTCTCCCAGCAGAAACCTTATAAACCAACTGATCTGATTAGGATCCTCACATCATTTTAAAGCCCGAGCTTTTCCACCCTCACTCATAACATAACAACCAATATTGATCTCTTAAGGTAGCGTGAGAATACACAGAGCAGGATGAAAGAACCGACTTGTTAATAATTTGTACTGTTGAATAATCTCCCTCACACAAATAACAAAAACGCCCCAAATGTATTTCACTGCTAAAGCAAACAAACAAAAACAACAACCAGTGGAAAAAAATCGTTACGCAGGTTCTTTCAAGTGCAACATAGACCGTATCAGCATCAATAATACAATAATATGTGAAGAGGGAGAAACAAATGTGGACTCAAGCTGCTCTCCTTGAACAGTAAACACTGGCAGGAGAAGAAAGAGTCAAACAAAAAATAAAAATCCTATACACAATGAGCAGTAGGTATCTGATTTATGCTGGGTAAATAGATAATAATCATTATGCCCAAATAGTGGCTCTGCTCAGTCACACAGCAGAGAAGCACAGACATAAAAGTAAGTTGAGAATAAAGCTTTTGACAGGTTGCTAATGGATCGCTGTAGGCCCATCTGTTTCACTGCAAATAGAGGAATGGCGGGGTTTTGATTTGGGTGTTGAAACTGTTACCACTGTCACTGTAAACAATAATTGTCAAACATATTTACCTCGCAATCGCTTTAGCAGATGTTCCGCTTTTTGTTTCAAGCCGCTTTTTTGTGTGTTGTATCTCCCCTCTGCAGACACACCACATGAACCCCCCCACCACCACCACCACCACCATCGCCTCCTCCTCCACCACCACCACCACCACCACCACCACCACCATCACTGCTGCACCCCCAACTGGAATATTGAGCAGGTATTTGCGAAAGGTGCTCCGGGGCACAAGAGTGCGAGGGATTGGGTGGGGTGGTTGTGTGAGAGGAGGAGGAGGAGGGAGAAAGGGAGAGAGACAGAGAGAGGGAGAGAGAGAGAAGGAGATTATCTGGGCCCTTCATCAGAGGTTCAGCCCCTCCACCTCCTCCTCCTCCTCCTCCTGCTCCTGCCCATCGTGGAGCCCTGAGGGCCCGGGGAGGCGGCCCTATGCCTCGCAGCCATGCAACCTCTTTATCACTCTAATCTGTTAATTGTAGGTGCTCAATTGGCACATGGTGGCTTTTTATTAGAGCCTCCCAACATTAACTAGACAGAGACTGTTGCAAAGCTGTGGCCCCTGTCTCTTTCTCTCTCTCTCTCTCCCTCTCTTTCTGTCTACCTTTAAAGACAAAGCCCAGAAGCTCTACTTGGTATTCTTCATTTACTCACATTTACTCCATTCATAAAGCTAACAACTATAGAAATAATCCAATAAAATATCAAGAATAACAAAAGCAATCACTTCTTTTAAGTACGAAACACAGTTTATGTCTCATTTCTTTGACCCTTTGCTGCTCCAGTTCAGAGCCGACTCCTAACTGCAGGCGAGTGATCAGCAGATCTGATCTCAGGTGTTCAGCTCTCCTCCTCCCTCTCCCTCTTCTCCTCCTCCTCCCTCTGTCTTTGTGCTGCTTGTTACAGTCAGCCGATCCCCTCGTACCGTGCAGACTCTGAGGGATGACTGTTGGAAGGCCAGAGGTCTCCCTCCTGTCCCGTCCGGGCTTGTCTGTGGCGACTGCTCTTTTCTTTTTTCTTTCTTTTTTTTTAAACACCCCTCACCCTCCTCTCTTTCTGCAAATTTTTCTGCCTCCGCCTTTGTTTGTCAGACTTGTGGTTTGTATCAATGAGACGGCCTCAAAAAAATAAAAAAAGAAAGAGTGTGGGGGATTTACCCGGGCTGTCCAGGTGACACAGACATGAATGCGCTCTTCACACACTCTCTGCTGCTGTTTTTCTGTGGCCCCAAACAGCTTGTGTTTGTTGTCAAAAGACTGATTAGGAAAAAGACCCTTCTCTGCTGGCACCACAGATCCCTAACAAAAGGGCAACAGCAGCTAAAGTCTGATAAATGGTGTTTTTTTCTGCAGAAACGTCACTCTCAGTATCAGCAATCCACCAAAAAGCTTGTGTTAAAAGGCCATGACGAATTTACAGTATGGTCAGATTGTGCGCTACAAAAGAAGACAAGTAATTTATGAATGCTTTAATGTGAAGAGAACCAAATTACTTGTGAGAAGTCAATAATGAAAATGCTATTTGGTGAGAAAGTTGTTTAGCACTTTCAAAGGTTTGCATGGGGTTGACTGTTTGATGTCAAAGTGGCGAAGATGGGGGGCGACGTTATACTTTCAACAAAGTTTTACCTCATGAACCCCGCCGAGAAATGCAGGCCTGCAACTTGGTGACAGAACAATGGAGTGAGCGATTTATGGCCGGCTATTAACAACTCCTGCTTTCAGGCCCCCATTCTGCAAACAGGTGTTTTACGAGTCCGCCCGCTGTTTATTTCCACCAACTTTCAGAGTTTCCATTTCGAGCCCCGACCAAAGGTTAAAAAAATGAAACAGCTCAGTAGATGACAGCTTCAAATCACATGGTTTACACTCGGTTCCTGTTTGGTTTCACCCAGCTCGAGAGGAAAAGCCCCAGAGAAGAAACGCAGATCCTCTGCCATGATGAATATTGCCCTTGTTATATCTGATCACGGAGCTTTTTTCCATTGGTTCATCACCCCAGAGACAGAAGAATTAGCACTTTCAAACATCCAAACTGCCGTGAAAGAGTAAAAAGCATGACAGGGCAAGAATACAAATCGATTTCGCTTTAAATATGTCATGGTTTGGATCATTTCCACACCACAAAAATAGCCACCGAAAAAACACCGTCTGCTGCTTTCCGCTCTTGTGCCATCACTCCCTGAAGGTTTTAGGCCATCATTCATCACAGTAAACAAGACAAAACAAAACAACAACTTGATAATAAATTGGATTTGGATCAACCAAATTCAATTTGTTTTAAGAGTTTCAATTTTTACAGGCGAAGGACACTTGGTTTTTGGTTCAATGGAGTCTTTGTGCACACAGATTAACAATGAGATAAACTCCCAGCAGAACCTTAGTGTTAGCGTTAGCATTAGCATTTGCGCAGAGCAGGGGTTTCCGTGCAAGTATTTGTTTTGAATGTGTCCGAGTCTTCAATTGCAGCTCTAAATCGTACTTGTTCATCCTGTCTGTTTGATTTTGTGCTTACGAGAGTAGAACTATTTTTGCGCTTAAGCGAGCAAAACTCATTACGAGCTTGTAGCAGGGTGAAGCTTTTATCTGTATTCTGCGGCCCAGTCACAAGGACAGCATGCGGCAGACAACAGTGGGTTTGATACACGACTAAACACGCTGTGAATCGGACTATTTTGGGCCGTCGGTTCCTCAGAGTGTTGCTGGGGCCCTGAACTCTCTCAATAACATCTGCTCACACTCTGCACTCTTCATATTATCATTAATTTGAAGATTGATTTCAACAGTCAAGGTACATTTATATTCAGTCACAAAGCTATGCTCGGGAGCGTTTAGTGAGTGATTGCTGCAGAGTTGGCACTAAAGTGTACAGCTGATTTCAATCAGAGCATAACAATGAGAACATGTATGAAGAGTTACATTCAGAGATGACATCTTATGTTGTTAACATGAGATATATTTTGTTATTAAAAGAGCTGATTGATTAATTGATGTTCTTTAAGTTTTAAAAAGAAAGGTTTTAGTGTGTTTTTTTTCTCTAAAATGGGGGGAAATCTGTGGGAAAGGAGAGGCAGGGTTTAAAGCGTTTCCTGAATGGATACTTTTTCAAGTTAGGGCAGAAGACAGGGAGTAACTCTGCCATCCTGCGTGGAGTGAAACTAATCTAATTCACTTTGAGGAATGTAAGCGGGCCAATGCATACAAGGTGTGAGGCTGCGGCCTGTAAACAAAACTCTCGCAGTGGTTAATTAGAAACTGCCACACAAAGGAAATATCTTTGAAAAGCTGAATATAACCTTAAAATTGCCACTTTGGCAAACTGTTGAGGCTCTGATGTTTTGGCAAAAATAGGTTGTAGGAATACAATATCACTGGCAGGAGAGGAGTGTTATTGCTTCAACAATGTGTACTACCTTTACTGTTTACAAGGAGGGAAACAAGCCCCCTGTACTGTCCGTAATGACTCCTGTGTCTCTACTCTTAATGTGAAAGCTCTCTATCTTCATATCACAGCTGTGGGATTATCTATATAATACCCCCTGGAATAAGAGAAAGAGCACTCTACTATTACAGCAGGTATAAAGTGAGACTTGTCCGAATGTGTAAGCGCCAGACTTAAACTAATTGTCAGTGTTGTGAAGCATTAGCCGTTTCCTCTTCTGTTGACAGCTTTGTCATGGCGGTCAAACTTTGCAGCGGGCTGAACATGCCACGCTCCAGACCGCACTCCAGTTAAATAGCTTTTATTGGGTGACTTTTCGCCGGGCTAAACGGGGATACATTTTATTCGCAGTGTTTGGGGAGAGCCCGAGGTGTGTACGGCCGACATAAGTGGAAAGGCTTTGCAACTTAAAGGAGCCCTTACCTTGCGGCACTGTTTTATTACAACTACTGTTTACATCTCCCAATACATCCTAAGTATTTCCATTATTAAGTTTGGACAAATCATTTGCCTGGGGTTCAAGGTAGTATGCCATTGAAACATGATCCTACTGTTGATCTTATTACTGCCAAAGCAAACAAGCAGAAATCAATTTCAGCAGGAAAGGTAAAGGAAGAAGAAAAAAAAAAGAGGAAATTAGATCAAAACGATCGGGGGTGGCGGTTGCAGCTGTGGGTGCAGCAGAGGGAGAGGTGGGGCTTGGAGGTATATGTACGCCATGAGTGTTTGTTCACTGTCCAAACAAGTCGACAAATAGTCAGCTGCAATTTTCTAAGGCATTAAAATATTGTACCTCTCCTCAGAGCTGCTCACCCCCACCCCTGTGCTGCCCTGGAGGTGAAATCAGACACCTTGGATTATGTTTTTTTCAGATTCATCACATACTGTGCTTGTTTTTAAAGACTCGCTCCACACTGTGAGAAAGTATGTTCCAGCTGCTTTGGTACTAACGACGCCTCAAGTCTGATTACTTGACAGTTTAAAGGCTTTCATCCACCAGGTTTTCCTTTCATAGATTGACTTAATAGAGTGTTAATGAAAATACAGATGCTGTGTCTGTAGACGGAGCATCCTGTATTTATTATTTATTGATGGTAGGAACTCCTATGCACATGTTCTGAGTTAATTAAACGTAAAATAACTGTTCTATAACGACATTGTGTAGATCACACCAAGAGGTCCAGCTCCTAACCCCATTATCCAAAGCTTTAAATCAGATTTTTTTTAGAGACAATCAGTCTTAATATGTAAACTGGACACTACACGAGTGTATCCAAAAGAAAACTCGCAGCCTTGGAGAAGAATATGTGAGAAAAGGATGCGATAAATTAGCCCTGGGAGGAAATGCAAAGCAGAGGCTCTGGCAGCCTGCCACTTGGAGCCCTTATAAAACTGCAACATGCATGGTCTCTGTGCTGTACTCCTCTCATTTGGGTGGCAGTGCAGAGGAGTGGACACGTTAACACTGTTAATACCAGATGAGTGATGTCATGGAAAAGTTAGCCATGTTTCACTGCTTCTCCCCCCCCCCCCCAACAACACCACCACCTCCCCCTCCTCCACCTCATTGTTTGTCCACACAGGGGATGACAGTTCGCATACACACCTTCTAATTGCGTGGAGTACATGTTTGTGCGCAAATATACATGCGTGCTAATGCAAACAGGCATGTGTGCTTAAATGCATGTGCACACAAATACTCATATGCATACAGACCATAAATATTACCACGTGTTTGAGTCACGAAAAAAGGTAAACAACTTTAGATTTGCTTGCTTGTTGCATGCAAATCTCGATTTCTAAACGTGTGTTCACGTATATTCGGCGTTCGATATCGGCGAGATTATGACGCAGAGCAGATCTAAGTGTGAGAATTCTACTGCAAACTAATTTCTAGCTGATTATTTTTAAAATAATTTGCATTTTGCTTTGGTTAACCCAGGGAGAAGAGCCTGCTACTAACATATGGCATATTCTTTAAAGATCATACATATTTCAAATATGTTAATAGGCCACAGAATATATGCAGCGTGAG